GAAAATTAAAAAAAAAAAACCAAACAGGAATTCAAGGCGGCTCCCTGGGCGGATCCCACAGTTTCCATGGCACCCGGGGGGCTCAGGAATGATTTGGGTTCTTCAGGAATGCTCAGTTTCATTTTTGGGGCAGATTCCAGCAGATTTGGGGTTCCTGGAGGGTGAAGAATTCCGGCTTGTTCCCAGCAGTAATTAGCGTTAATTACCCCGCTAATTACTGAGCTCTGAGCAGGAGCTGCGGCAATTGGAAGCCAAGCTGGGCTGGGTGGGAATTTTGGGGTGGGAAATGAGGAATTCAATCGGATTTGGTGTTTCCAGGGCCGAGGAACCTCCTGGGCATCAGGAATTCCAGAGGGAAGGAAGGGAAAAGGGGAAAGAGGTAATTGCTTCCGATGGGCTTAATTAGAAATTAATTATTTATTGGAGCAATCGGGGTTGCAGGAGGATTCAAGGAATCCTGGGAGATTCCAGCCAGGATTTTTTAGGAAGAAATTCCTCCCTGAGGGGCTGGGATGTAATTCCCAGAGGAACTGTGGCTGCCCCTGGATCACTGGGAATGTCCAAGGCCAGGTTGGACAGGGCACCAAAAATCTGGGAAATCCTGGGATTTGTGGCACAAGAACTGAGGATAAAACACAGGGAATGGGAGCACCAAAAACCTGGGAAATCCTGGGATTTGTGGCACAAGAATTGGGGATAAAACACAGGGAATGGCAGCACCAAAGGTCAGATCCTCACTGCTTGTAGGAAATGAGCAGCAGCAGAAGGGTCTGGGGCCATTCCCAGGGAATGAGGACCAGGAGAAGGGATTGGGGCCATTCCAAGGTCTGACACCCCAGCCTCTTCCAGAGCATTCCCACTAAAGGGAAAAGAATCCATCCCAGCTGGATGTGAGCGAGGCAAGCGGCAGCCAGGCAGAACAGAGCTTCCCAACGAAATCTTGGAAAGATCCAACCCCTTTCCCTCTCCTGAACACTGGAGTCATGCTGGAGGGGATGGACATGGCCCTGGAAGGGGAAAGCAGGGGGAGAATGCCCTGAAATCCCAAATCTGAGGCCTTTTCCAGGCTTCCATTCAGGGAATGATCCATGGACGGGCAGGGAATGGGTAGTTGGTCCCGGGGTGGGATTCCCTGACCATTCCCTGCCTGTTCCAGGCAAGGTCTCCTCCAATGCCCATTTCCTCCCCTTTTCCCAAGTTTCCCACCCCATAGCTCGGGGACATCCCAGTGTCCCAAATCCTCCCAAACCCTTCCCAAGCCCAGCTGGAAAAGCCCCAGTAGCTCCCAAAGGAAACCTCTCCCTGCACGCAGGAGCATCCCCACATCCTCCCAAGATTTTGGGAATGCAAACCCCTCTGGAATGTGGGGAGCTGGGAAAGGAGTCTTGGCAGGGATTTCTGGAGTCAGGAAGGGATCGAAGTCGTTTGTAGCATTGCTGTCACAGTGATCCATTCCCTCAATTCCCACTTCCATCCGGGAACGTTCCTGCTGATGCCGGGGGAAAATCGGACGCCGTTGCCAGGGCAGGAATGATTTATTTGGGCATAAAACCCATCAGAATTCCTTGGAGTCTCCTCCAGGATGGGCTCAGCTGCAGAGATTGATTTGTTTACTGCAGCCACAGAAAGCGGCGGCTGCTCCCGGGAAAACACATCCCAAACTCAGCCGGGGATTTTCCAGCCTCTCCCGGTTTTCCTGGAGCAGCCGAGGGAAGGGACCGAGCCCACTGCTCAGCCCCCAGATTATCAGGGGGACAAAAAAACCCAAAGTGGTTCAGATCCTCCAGGTTTGGGAATTGGCTGGGGCCTCCCGGGTGCTTGGAATCTTCCAAGGAGATTCCAGGCTGCTCTTCCAAGGAGATTCTGGGCTCCAAGCATTGATTCCTTTGCCATTTTTGGGGTTGGATGAAGGCAGAGCTGAGATCCCTCTGGCTCCGTCCTGGCGGGAATGGAGCCCGGCTCCGGAGGGACACATGGAGCCAAAATCCAAGTGGGATTTGGGGGTTAAGGCTCACCCTAAATCCACACATTCCTAGGAAAAATGGGATTGTCCTTGTTTGGCTGACGGATGGCTGTGTTTGGAAGGGGTTCTATGAAAACCCAGCTGTCGCTCCCGTCCTGGGCAGCGTTTCCTTGGATCAGCCCTTCCCGGGAACCGGAATATCCTGGATAGGGACACCATTCCCTAAATCCGGATTATCCCCCCCTCCAAGGAGATCCCGCAGCTCCATCCCGCGCTGGAGCTCCCATTTGATAACCCCAAAGGTGTTTTTCACCCTCAACAATTCCATAGTTCTGTGAGCCCTTGGCTGCTCCTTGCAGGGAGGGGAAATCCTGGGAATCATTCCTGCCACGGCTTTTCTCCTGCTCCATCCTGTGGCTCGGCCGGGAAAAACCGCCGTGAAAATTAGCGGCAGCATCCCTAAACCCTAAATTCCAGCTGGGAATGCCCCAAAAGCTCCTGCTCCCGGTGGATTCACACCCCTTTTCCCCAGCTTTGGAATGCAATGGGATTCCCAAGTTTGGGGACGGATCTGCCCCATCCAGGCCATCCCAAATTTTTCCTAAAGCTCCCAGAGCACGAGGGATGCTGCACAAGGAAAATCCATGGATTTCCTTCCCTCCTGGTGGAGCTTTGCCTCAGGCACAGAGCTCGGGCTCTACCAGGAGTGTCCCCTAAGCCCGGGATGAGGGATCTGGAGCCAGGTGAGGGTCAGGGGAATGTGGGAATTACACCTGGAGAGTGGCAGGGAATGTGGAAATTACATCTGAAGAGTGACAGGAAATGTGGGAATTATACCTGGAGAGTGACAGGGAATGTGGGAATTACACCTGGAGAGTGACAGGGAATGTGGGAATTACACCTGGAGAGTGACAGGGAATGTGGGAATTACACCTGGAGAGTGACAGGGAATGTGGGAATTATACCTGGAGAATGGCAGGGAATGTGGGAATTACACCTGGAGAATGGCAGGGAATGTGGGAATTACACCTGGAGAATGGCAGGGAATGTGGGAATTACACCTGGAGAGTGACAGGGAATGTGGGAATTACACCTGGAGAGTGACAGGGAATGTGGGAATTACACCTGAAGAGTGACAGGGAATGTGGGAACACACCTGGAGAGTGGCAGGGAATGTGGGAACACACCTGTAGGGTCACGGAGAATATCGGGACCCACCTGGAGGGGAAGGCCTGCACGCAGCAGTCAGTGACACGGCGGGGATCGGGCCCAGCTTGGGCTCGGTGACCCCAAAGATTCCAGCCTCAGGGATTCCGGTGTAAGCGGCGCTGCTCTGGCGACTCCTCCTCCTTCCGGGGGGTGCCGGGCCAGCACCGGAGGCTGCTGACCCCGCTCGGGCCCCGGAATTGGGGAAAAAAAGGGGGAAAAAAGGGGTAAAACGGCGGTGCCGCCCCTTCCTCTCCCGGGCTCCCGCCAGGCTCCCTCAGAGCGCGGCCCCGCCCCTCGCCCTCACGGCCGCTGCTGTGCGCGCGCCGCCGTTCAAACCCGCCTCGGGGGCGGGCGCCCCGCGCGCTGATTGGCTGCCGCGCTGGCACCCCGCGCTCTAATTGGCAGGGAGGAGCGGAGGGGGCGTGGCCGCGGCGGTGGAGACGGCGGATAACCCCTGAGCGCGGTCCGCAGTCGCAGCCATAGCCACAGCCACAGCCATGGCCTCCGACAGCCCCCGCGGAGCCGCCGGGGGCGCCGCCGCCTTCCTCTCCCCGACCCGGCGGACCTCCGGCACCCCCGAAACCCCCGTGTTCGCTGAGTGCCGCCCCAACGACGATGAGAGCGAGAGGCGCCAGCGCCGCCGCTCCAGGGTGGTGGAATCGTCGCTGCAGAGCTTCGGCTCCCTCCCGCTCAGGTACGGCCGGTGCGCGGGGCTCGGGCTGAGGGGAGAGCCGGACACCGACCCCGCTGTGTCCTGGGGTGAGGGACAGCCGGACACCGACCCCGCTGGGGTGGGGATGAGGGACAGCCGGACACCGACCCCGCTGGGGTGGGGATGAGGGGAGAGCCGGACACCGACCCCGCTGGGGTGGGGATGAGGGGACAGCCGGACACCGACCCCGCTGGGGTGGCGATGAGGAGGGGTCCGGAACACCGACCCCGCTGTGTCCCGGGGTGAGGGACAGCCGGACACCGACCCCGACCCCGCTGTGTCCCGCAGGTCCGAGAGTTTGGAGTCGCCGCTGCCGCAATGGAGCAACGCGCAGATCTCGGAGCACTACAGCACCTGCATCAAGCTCTCCACCGAGAACGTGAGTGGGGCGGCCGCGTTTGGGGGTTAAAGCCCCTCAGCAGCGGGGTTTGAAACGCCCGGGGCAGCTTCAGGGACCATAAAGGGGTGTCTGGTCCCACTGGGCCATGGGTTCTGTCCACACGGTTCTGGAGTATCTGGGCAATCCAAGGAAAAAGTTCCTGTGGGGCTTTTTCCTGCCTGTTCCTCTCATCCCATGGAGCAGAGCCTGGATCCATCCTCCCACATTCCCCCTTGGATATTTAGGGCTGAGGTCCCCTCTCAGCCGTCTCTTCCCGAGGCTGCCCAGCCCCAGCTCCCTCAGCCTTTGATAACCAGGGAGATGCTCCAGATCCCTCATCTTTGTCACCCTCCGCTGGAGCTCCTTGTCCCTCCTGTCCTGCTGACACTCCTGGGGCTGATCACTCCCTGTCCTGCTGGGAATGCTCTTCCTGGTGGATCCCATTGGTGTCCTTGTCTGCAGGACCCTGTGGCACTCAGGTGTTGCAGCATTTTTGAGAGAAAGAGGACATGAGTTATGAGATTTGAGCTACTCTAGTCTAGGCCTCAGATTTGGGCCTTGTGGGCCTTCCAGCCTCTGATGCAGTTAGAAATTCAGAGCTTGGGGTGCAGATAGAAATAGTCTTAAGGTGTGATAAGGACCACTGGATTGTTTGGGTGTGAATTAGTATAGGTTTTATAGTGTAAGGTGTAGGCCGTTTTAAGGAAAAGGTAAACAATGTTAGCCTACCAATTAGAGTGTCTTTGTTTTTGTAAACTATGTAGAAGCTGATATAAACTACCACCTTATCTTGGATAAATGGAGAACACTCCGTTTATCAACCACATTAGTTCAGACCTGTGTTTTGTCCAGCTTTCTGTTTTTCTGCGATTCCCTGGCTTTTCTCAAGGACACCTTGTTGTCCCCCAGGTCCTTCTCCATAGGCATCAACTCCAGCCTGTGCCAGTGTCCAGGGCTTTCCCTCCCTACCCGAGTTTGAATGTCAGACAATTCTCTGCCCAGCTCTCACTCCTCTTCCAAGAGGAAGCTGTGGCCATGCCTGGGCTGGCATTGCCCTCGGTCCCCGGTGCCACCTGGGCTGTCCCCTCATCCCCAGGGTGTCCCCAGCTAGGTGAGGGGTCCCTAGCCAGGGGAAGGGTCCCCAGCTGTGCTTTCTTGCAGAAAATCACCACCAAGAACGCCTTTGGGCTGCACCTGATCGATTACATGAGCGAAATCCTGAACCAGGAGGACTCGGGGCTCACCAACTTCCAGGTCAGAGGGGTCCCTGCTGCTGCTGCTTTGTTTTTGTCATGCCCTTTTCTGGCCCAGACATGGGGCATCTGAGAGGCATTTTACAAACTTGTATTCCATTTTCAGTCTCATGAGAAGGGTGAGACAATGCAGGTGTTATAATTCACACCATCACAATCAGAAGCCAAATATTTCCTAATTACCAAACACTGTAGGTGTTTCTTAGCCTGTCAGCTTTTGCTACACTATTTTAAAGTTTTACGCCTACTTTACCTCTCCTAATTCTATCTCACAACAAAAAGTTCTAATAAATACACCAAAAAAAAATCTAATAAATACACAATATGTTGTAAGTGATATATTATGTTACTATATTAATATATATTTGTTAATATATAATATTAATACTAATATATGTTAACATTAATATATAATATGATAATTTTTAAAAAGTTATTATGAGTAATAATTAACCAGCGTTAATCCCACCACACTAATTAATGCATTAACAAAAAAAAAAATCCCAATTTAACAAACCAAACCGTATTTTTACCTCTCTCCTAATTCTATCTCCCAACTAAAAATAAACAAAGACACTCTAATAAATACACTAATAATTAGCCAGTGCTAAACCCACCACACTAATTAATACATTACGAAAAATTTCCCAAATTAACAAACCAAAAGCACTGCCCAATCCTGGCGCTCCCAAACAATTCCTAAGGGATTTTTTAGCTGTGATCCCCAAAAAAATGAACCAAACCGTGGGGAGAACGCCCCTCTGGGCAGCCCAGAGCTGTCACTGCTGCCTTTCCCTGCTAGCCCCGATGTTCCTGGGGGGCTCCAGGTGGGATTGCCCTGCCCAGCCGGAATTCCCAGGAATTCCCATTCCCCGCAGATGGCAGCGGGGACTCTGGATGCCAGCGCCAAGATCTACGCCTCGCGCGTGGATCGCATCCACGCCGACACCTTCAGGGTCCTGAGCCACCTGGGCAACGAGACAGCCTCTGCCAGGGACCCGGACAGCCCTCAGCAAGGTGGGAATTCCCTCTTTTCCTCCCCAAGAACCCCGGGAATTCCCTCATTTCTCACCCGGGATCTTCGGGAGTTCTGGAGGGGTTTGGGATTCATTGGGTTGGGAGATCCCAGATTGCTTCTCCTGGAATGCTGGGGCGGGGGGGTGGGATGAGGAGCTGGAGCTGTCACTCAGGGATTTCAGATTTCAGTTTGGGGCCAAACAGGGGCACTTTGGGATCAAACAAAGGCATTTTTTTGCCCATCAGAATCCATAAAATGCCAGCAGTGCATTGCTCATGCCCTCAGATCCTGAGGAATCTCAGTGCCTGCTGTAGTTTGCTGTACAAATCCCAGGTTTTCGCCCTCCTTTGGGGTATCCCAGCCCTTCTGAGGTGGAATTTGTCCCTTTTCCCATGCCAGGCTCCAGCCCAGACCCCAAGGATGCCAAGAAGTCTCAGCCAAAGAAGAAGCAAACCTTCAAAAGCATCGAGCAGAACCTGAGCAAAATCAACAGGCCCGACAGCAGCCGCAGGGCCGAGGTGGGCCTGGGCTGCTCCTCATCCTCCCTGCCCTGCTCCTCATCCTCCCTGCCCTGCTGTCCTCCTTTCCTGTTCCTGATTCCCACCTCCATTCCCTGATTCCCAGCTCCATTCCCAATTCCCTCCTCCATTCCTGGTTACCATTCTCCGATTCCTTTCCCCACTCCCCCAGTCCCCTCTGATTCCCATTCCCTGATTCCCATCTCCATTCCCCAGTTCCCATTCCCAGATTCTCATTCCCCAATTCCCCTCTCCATTCCGATTCCCGCTCCCTAATTCCCCGTCCATTCCCATTTCCACTCCCCCAATTCCCTTCTCCTTTCCCTGATTCCCATTCCCAGATTCCCCTCCCCATTCCCTGATTCCCATTCCCAGATTCCCCTCCCCATTCCCTGATTCCCGGTGCATTCCCGCTTTCCAGGTGGATCCCATGTTCCAGAGATCAATCGCCTCCTTCGACGAGTGCAACACTGCCGGCGCTTTCATGACGAGGCTGCGCTGCCAGGACTTCAGGAGCCGGCTCCTTTTCCCTTCCGAAATTGTCCCTCTGCCCTCCTCGGAGAGCCTGGCCCTGCCCAGCACCCAGCCCGTCACCGTGCCGGGTCTCAAAGGTGAATCCCAGCCTTTTCCTGCCCTTCTCCAGCTCCTTTTCCCTGCTCTTCCTGCCCTTTTCCCTGCTTTTCTTGCTCTTATCCAGCTCCTTTTCCCCCGTGTTTCTTCACTGCTCGGATCCCTGGCATTTGGAAAGCTGGGAATTTTCCAGGCTGCTGGAAAATGGAGAATCTGGGAGGTTTGAGGTCCTGAGGAAGGTGGGAATTCCTGATCCAGATTAGGGATTCCAGATCCAGGTGGGAATTCTTGAATTTCGGATGCTGTGCAGGAATCTGGGAGGTTTGAGGTCCTGATCCAGGTGGGAATTCCTGCTAGGATCCCAGGAATTCACCTGTGTCCTACTGCTCCTCAGCCCTGCTGACCTCGTGCCTGGAAAAACGCCGGATCTGCTCCTCCCTGGCCGGATTCCAGTTCACCAACTGGGATGAGGAGTCCCACATCGAGGTGGGTGGGAATCTCTGATCCAGGTGGGAATACCTGATCCAGGTGGGAATTCCAGAGCGAGGTTGGGAATCCCTGAGCCAGATTCTTGATCCAGGTGGGAATTCCTAAACCAGATTCCTGAGCCAGTTTGGAAATCCCAGAGCTAGATTAGGGATTCCAGAGCCAGGTGGGAATTCCTGAGCCAGACTGAGGGTTCCTGAGCCAGGTTTGGAATTTCCGATCCAGGTTTCAAATTCACAATCCAGGTTTGGAATTTCCGATCCAGGTTTCAAATTCACAATCCAGGTGGGGAATTCCTGATCCAGATGGGGATCCCTGATCCAGGTTTGGAATTTCCGATCCAGGCTGGGCATTCCTGATCCAGGTGGGGATTCTCGATCCGGCTTTGGAATTCCCAATCCAGGTGGAAATTCCTGATCCAGGCGGGGAATCCCCGATCCAGGCAGGGCATTCCCGATCCAGCTGGGAATCCCCGATCCAGGCTGGGAATCCCGATCCAGGCTGGGAATCCCCGATCCAGCTGGGAATCCCTGATCCAGGCTGGGCACTCCTGTGTTGCAGTCGGCGTCGGCACTCCTGGAGAAGTTCCGGAAGAGCAAGCATGCCTTCAATCCCAACCTGGATCCCGACAGCGAGGATGAGGAGGGCTGCGCCCCCTCCCAGCCGGAATTCCAGCCCGAATCCCCGGCCGGGGACGGGAGCCAGGAATTCCCAGCCAGCGGAGATGGAGACTCCCTCGGCCACAGCAGGAGGTGGGGCTGGGATCCAAGGATGAGGCTGGGCTGGAATTCCCAGTGCCAGGGAGGAATTCCCGGGAATTCTGATGGAATTCTGAGCAGCTGCCATTCCTTTTCCAGGAGCGATGGAGCTCCCTTGGCAGAGGGGGACATCAGCGTGATGAGCCAGCACGTGTCCCTGAATCCCGGGGAATATTCCTACTTCAGCCCCCGCGTCCTCTCCATGTGGGCCGGCCCCGAGCACTGGCGCTTCCTGCCCCACCAGCCCCGTGAGTGTCCAGGGCTGGGAATCCTGGAATTCCGGGCTGGGAGGGGCTCAGTTCTGGAATTCCGGGCTGGGAGAGGCTCAGTTCTGGAATTCCGGGCTGGGAGAGGCTCAGTTCTGGAATTCCGGGCTGGGAGGGGCTCAGTTCTGGAATTCCGGGCTGGGAGGGGCTCAGTTCTGGATATCCGGGCTGGGAGGGGCTTAAATCCTGGAATTCCAGGCTGGGAGAGGCTCAGTTCTGGAATTCCAGAATGGGAAGGGCTCAATCCTGGAATTCCGGGCTTTTCCCCGCTCTTCCTCAGCAGCCCCTGGCGCAAAGAAGGATTCCCGGCAGAGGGTTCCCAGGACGGCTTTTGAGCTGGACTTCGATGCGAAAATCGACTTCGAGTCCTATTTCCGGCAGACCAAGGTGCCCACAGAGCCCTTTTCCCACAGCAGCCCGGAATTCCCGGGATTTGGGTGTCCTGGGGGGCACCTCCGACCCTGCCCCTTGCCAGACAAAACTCTCCCTGTTTTCCCATGGAAAGCTGGTGGAGCTTCCCGTTTTTCCATGGAGCTGTCCGATCCCGTCCCCAGGCACCCACAACCTTGTCCAAATCCACCCTGAAACGCCACAACAAGCGGAACACCACGCTGCCGGCAGACTTCAACTACGACCCCCAGAACCTGCTGCGGCTCTTCCTCAAACCCCATGTCAAGGTGAGAATTCCCAAAGGAATTCCAGGGAATCCTCCCGGGGAGCCATTCCAGGGAATCGTCCCAGGGAGTCATTCCAAGGAATCATTCCAGGGAACCATCCTGGGGAATCATCCCAGGGAATCATCCTGGGGAATGAACCAACTAAAGGAATCATCCCAGGAAATCAGTCATTCCAGGGAATCAATCATCCTGGGGAATCATCCCAGTGAGTCATTCCAGGAAATCATCCCAAAGAATTATCCCAGGGAATCATCCTGGGGAATCAGCTAACTCAAGGAATCATCCCAGGGAATCATCCCAAGGAATCATTCCAGGGAATTAGTTATTCCAGGGAATCAGTCATCCCAGGGAATCAATCATCCTGGGGGATCATCCCAGGGAATCAGTCATCCCAGGGAGTCATTCCCAGCACCAAACCTCTCCTCACCAGAGCCTGGGAATGTTCTGGATGTTCCCAGGACTGCTCTCACCACAAACCCTCCTGGGAGGGCAAAAAGGGGGAAGAGGGCCCAAGGCCCGGCCTTTTTCCAGGAATATTTTGGAATGTTTTCCCCCAGGTCAGGCCGAGCTCAGATCCCATGGGAGCCTTGGACAGCGAGGATGCAATTGAGGATTACGACTACAACAACCCCAACGACACCTCCAACTACTGCCCTGCCCTGCAGGTACGGCCCCGGGAATTCCCGCTGGGATAACCTGGGGAAATCCATGGATGGAGAGTTCCTGAGGGGAGGAACGGGAGCTGCAGGGCCCTGCTGGCATCCAGCTCTGCCTGGACATTCCCAGGGCTGGGAAAACTTTGGGATTTCTGCTCCCTGCAGCTGCCTTGGCTTCAGCCTTGGCCCAGTTCCATGGGGATGAGCCCAAATCCCATGGGGATAAACCCAATCCCATGGGGATAAACCCCAATCCCATGGGGAAAAACCCCAATCCCATGGGGAAAAACCCCAATCCCATGGGGTAAAACCCCAATCCCATGGGGTAAAACCCCAATCCCATGGGGTAAAACCCCAATCCCATGGGGTAAAACCCCAATCCCATGGGGAAAAACCCCAATCCCATGGGAAGCCAGGCAGGAATTCCCACCCTCTGGAGCAGCTCCTGCTGCCTCCGGCTGCTCCCTGGTGGCCCTGGTTCCCCCTCATGTCCCCTCGTGTCCCCTGGCAGGTCTCCGACAGCGATGACGATTCCGATCCCGCGGAATTCCCGGGCCAGGCCGAAGCGTTGCCGCTCCCGGCTCATCCCGAGGCTCCGGAGTGCTCCGGGATCGCCAGAGGGAACGTCCCGGAATGCACGGAGCTGGAGCTGATCGACGAGCCCCACAAGGTCACTGGGAACACTGGGAACAGGGACTGGGAGCACTGGGCTGGAAATTCCTCGCTGGCATTGGGAATTCCTCCCTGGGCTGAAGAAAAAACCTTTCAGCACCTCCAGGGTTAAAAATCCCAGGACACCCCTCTGGTTCCAGGGATTCCCAGGACTGGCATTCCCAGAGGAACAATTCCCAAATGAAACTGGGATTGGCATTCCCAGAGGAACAATTCCCACATTAAATATTGGGATTGGCATTCCCAGAGGAACAATTCCCACATTAAGCACCGGGATTGGCATTCCCAGAGGAACAATTCCCAAATTAAACATTGGGATTGGCATTCCCAGAGGAACAATTCCCACATTAAGCACCGGGATTGGCAGCGAGGCTGCACTCACTGTTACTCCCATGGAAAATCAGGAATGCCGATTGTTGTAGCTGTGATCCCGATGATCCTGGTGATGATCCCAGTGCTGATCCCAATGACAATCCCAGTGATGATCCCGGATTCCCCCCTCAGATCAAGAAGATCCCCATCCAATACGCCAGGACGGCCAAGAGGATTGACATGAGGAGGCTGAAGAGGACCATGTGGAAACTGCTGACGGAGCGGGAAGAGGTTGGGAAGGGAAATTCCCGCTGGGAATTCGGCAGGGGTCCCTTCCCAGTTCCAGGGATCAGCCCCAATCCCATGGGATTAACCCCAATGCCATGGAATAAACCCCAATTCCGTGGGATAAACCCCAGTTCCATGGGAATGAACCCCGAGTTTCCCGTTGGCCAGGACGGGCTGAGGTCCCCAGGGGTTTTCCTTGGAATTTCGGGGCTCTGCATTCCTGGATTTTCCCGAGCAGGGGGAGGAAAGCGACGAAGAGACGGACAAGAAGGTGGTCGGACTCAAAACGCTGAGTGGCCTCACCAAGGATCTGCTCCACAGGTCGGGAATGGGAAAAACAGGAAGAATGGGAATGGGAAAATCCCGAACGGGACAGGGAAAATCCTGAATGGGAATAATGGGAATGGGAAAATCCAGAATAGGAACAGGAATGGGACAGGGGAAATCCCAAATGGGAACAGGAATGGGACAGGGAAAATCCTGCATGGGAATAATGGGAATGGGAAAATCCAGAATGAGAACGAGAATGGGACAGGGGAAATCCCGAATGGGAACAGGAATGGGACAGGGAAAATCCTGAATAGGAATGGGAACAGGAATGGGAAAATCCCTCATGGGACTGGGAATGGGACTGGGAAAATTCCTGTGGCTGTTGGGATGGGACTGGGAACGGGACAGGACAAACCCTGTGGTTGTGCCCAGGGCAGAGCCGAGCTGTTCCTGGCCGCTCCGGCATTCCCGGGCTCTGATCCCGATCCCGCTTTTCCACAGGCTCCCTCCTAGCATGGCCGCCGACCTGTCGGTGCCCTTGGCCTTCAGCTGCCTCCTGCACCTGGCCAGCGAGAAGGTGAGAGCTGGGAGCCATTCCCAACTATCCCGGGAATTCCAGGGAATACTGCTCGTTTCAAATAATCCCAGTTTTTCCAGGGTTTGTCCCTCAGACCCATCCAGAGCATTCCAGACTCTGGATAAGGGAGCAGAATCCCAAAATCCCAGAATTCCTGAGGCTGGAAAAGCTCTCCCAGGTCACAACGTGCCCAATCCACATCGGTATTCCTTCCACATCCAGGAATTCCTTGGAATTCCTCCAAACTCCCCTGGGGGCCCCTTCCCATGAGGAAATTCCTGCTCTGTCCCAATTCCCTGGAAAAGCCCCCAGCAGGGCAGGAGGGGCTGGGATTGTTCCTGAGGCTCATCCCAGGGGATTTTATTCCAAAGCTTTTCCTTCCCATTCCCAGAATTTGAAGCTGGAGAACACCGAGGACCTGTCGGATGTCCTGGTGAGAGGAGAAGACTGACCCCATCTGTCGGAACTCAAAATGTCCCTCAGACATTTTTAGAGGTTCCAGGCCTTGGTCAGAAGCATTTTAGACCCTGGCAAGCAGCAGAAAACAGCTGTAATTTTGAGTTTAAACCATGGAATTTTAAAGGTGAAACAAGCAGTCACAGAGGATTAGATAATATAGTAAAAGTAGTCACAAATTAGAGGGTAAAATGTTTAAATATTGTACAAGAGAGTTTTAACACCTGTACAGGGGGGGTTTTACTTTATACAAAAGAGTCAAGAATTCTAAAATGGAAGAATGCTGAGAATTCCCAAATCCCAAATCCCTCGGGAAGGACATTCAGGGATGTCCTGGCTGGACAGATCCAGCCAAGATCCAGCAGCTTTTCCCTGGGATTGAGAATTCCTGCACTTCACTGTGAACCCCGGCTGCTCTGTGTCCCAAAATTTCCTCCTCTCTGTGTCCCAAAATTTCCTCTCTCTCTGTGTCCCAAAATTTCCTCTCTCTCTGTGTCCCAAAATTTCCTCCTCTCTGTGTCCCAAAATTTCCTCTCTGTGTCCCAAAATTTCCTCTCTGTGTCCCAAAATTTCCTCTCCTTGTGCTTCCCAGTCTGTAGTTCCCACTTTTTTGACTGACTGTTACTCCTGGTCTCCATTCCCTGGGATTATTCCTGGTTTTTCACTGTTATTAGAGATAATAAATTCTGAACACTTTGGAGAGGGACCTGGAGGAGTAACCCCAGAGCGGGGTGGGGCAGCAAATGGGGACAAATCCCTAAAAAAAGGGAATGCAGGGATCAGAGCCTGGAGCAGCAGCTGGGAATGGGATCCAGGAGCTGAATTCTGGGATTGGGATGAGTTCTGGGACTGGGATCAGGTCTGGGATGGGGAGAGGATCTTTCTGGGAATGGGGTCCCCAGGGGAGGGGGAGTCTCCTCCTCCTGCTTTTCCTGGGAATGCACTTACCATGGAGGGGTCTCCTCCTCTGGACACCCCTGGAATTCTGTTCCTGCCTTTCCTGGGATAAGGATCCCATGGGGAGGGGTCTCTTCCTGCTGAGACCTCTGGAATTCTCCTCCTGCTGGGAGGAGCTGGAATTCTCCTGGGGCTGGAGCTCCTTTGGGAACATCCAAACCCGCAATTCCCGATCCGCCGGGCTCTTCCCGGGATTTCTCCTCCCGGGGCTGCTGCTCCCGGCTTTGGAATTCCAGAGGCTGCTGCTCCGGGGATGATTTTCCAGGAATTGATGCTCCAGGCACTGATATTCTCGGAGCTGCTGCTCCAGGAATTGTTGTTCCAGGGGTTGATATTCCAGGAGATCCGGGGGGATGCGAGGGCAGAGCTGGAGCGATCCCGCACCCAAAAAGGCACCGGAGCTTCCTCTTCACCTTCCTCCTCCTCGGAGCGGCGCCGTGTCCCGGACCCGGCAACGAACGGGGGGACGGGTCCCAAATTCGGAGAGGGGTCCCGGTAATGGGGAGGGGGCTCTGGGGGCTCCTCCTCAGGAAATCCCGGAAGGATTTCGGGATTTTCTACCCTCGGAGTTGTGGGGTCGGGGCGGTCCCACCCAGGGGTGCTCAGCTGGCCCCGGGACGCTGAAACCCGAGCTGTTCCTAAAATCCCTTGATTTATTCCTGAAATCCATCCCCGAGCCGATGGAGATGGGAAGGCCGGACCGGGAGCGAGGGGAAACTGAGGCAGGGCCCCTCCTTCCCGCAGCTCCGGACCAAACCCGGGAATAAAACCCCGAGTGGGGCTTTTTGCTGGTTTATTTCGGCCATTCTTGCTAAATCCCGGATTTATCGCGGGGAAGGGGAAATTCGGTGGCACCCGCGGCTCCTTCACCCCTTCCTGCCCCGGGAGGGGCGGCAGGAGCCCGGTGTCCCCCCGACTTCCCCCCGCTGCCGCTTTCTCGGGCTTTTGGCCCAAAATGAGTCACCGGGGGATTTTTTTTAATTTTTCTCTCATTTTTCGGGACTCGCTCAGCAGCCGAAGCGGGGTGGGGATCCTCGGGGGGCTGAGCCCCGGCTCTCCCCGGTGCCGCGGGACGGGGATTGGCGATCCCGGGACAAGGAACGGCGAGCCCGGGAAGGGAGCGGAGCATCCCGCCGTGTCCCCGCCGTGTCCCCGCCGTGTCCCCGCCCTCGGGGCGGCTCCTCCGCGGGGAGCGGCGCTTTGGGGCCGGGGAAGTCCGGCCCAGTCATTCGGGGCGCGGGGGGAGAAGCCCCAAAAGCGCGTCCGTTCCGGTAAGGAAGGAGTCAATGGCTGCGGCTCGCACACGCCACTTCCCCGAGCGGGGCTGACTCATCCCGGGCTCGGTCCCGCTCCGCGACACCCGCGCTCCGCTCCGGAGCCTCCGCCGGTGAGTCCGGGGCTCCCGGGGGGCTGGGGGGGTCCCGGAGCCCCGCGGGGTCCCGGAGCCGCGGCCGCCCCGCGGGACCCCGGGCAGCCCCCGGGGGTACCGGGGGGGTTCGGGCGGAGCGGCGGCGCGGGATGGGGAGCGGAGGATGACTTACAGCCCATTGCTCTGGCACGGCCTGGCAGCGCTCCCGCGCCGTTCCGGGCCGTGACGCTCCAGCCCCGCCGGGATTTGGGGGATTCGGGAACGGGGAGCGGCCCCGGGCCCGCGGGGCGGGGTTCGGGATGAGCGGGGAAAGCGCCGCCGCCGAAGCGCCCCTAAGTAGCGTTGGGATAATGACGGTTGGTAGCTCGTTAAGGGTGTAATTAGAGCCCGGTGCCGCCCCCAGCCCCGGTACCGGCGGGTCGGGGGTTGCGGGAATTGTTGGCACCGGCGGGGCTCGTTCAGCCCCGAACCGGGCGCGTTTTGCCCCAAAAGCCGCGCGGTTTCTGCGCTCGGGGCGCCGCCGGGAAGGGAGGAAATCGCGTCAGCGGTGCCGGGAACCGAAGCGGGGCCGCGGGGGCGGGACACGGCGGGGACACCGGTACCTGCACACACCGGGGTGGGACACCGGTACCTGCACACACCGGGGTGGGACACCTGCACCTTATAAACACCTGTGGGTGTGTGGGACACCTGTACCTGCTGCACACCTCTACCTGCACACCTCTGTGTGTGTGTGTGACACCTGTACCTGCTGCACACCTCTACCTGCGCTCAGGTGCGCTCACCCACAGCCGCGCACACGCCGCAGCTTCAGGACTACAACTCCCAGCGTGCCCCTCGCGGGAGGGCGGGGACAGGCAGCGCGGCCGCCCAATAGGAGAAGGGGCGTGTTGTCTCCAGCCAATGGGCAGCGAAGGGGGCGCGCCGGCCCCGCCCCACGTGGCGCGGGCGCGGCCGGTGAGCGGAGCGGGACCGGGGGCGGCGGAGGGGCTCGGGTGGGACCGGGGGGCGTGGGGAGCCCCCGGGGACCCCCTGGAGAACCCCTGGAGACCCCCTCCTCCCGCCCCGCTGCCTCCCCAGGTTGGCATCGCCGCTTTCCGCCGCTTTCCGCCGTTTTCCCGGGGTTTTTCCTCAAACCGCGGGAGGATTTGGGGGCAGGGAGGGACGGACGGACGGACGGACGGAGCAGCTTCGGGCCGGTGCCGTGCCCGGCGGGCAGCCCCGAACCGCCCCGAGCGCCCCGGGATGTCAGGAGAGCAGCAGCGATTTGGGGTCCCACCCTCCCCCCGTTGTTTCCCCTCCAGGTCCCGCCCCAAGGGCAGCGATTCCCCCCATGGAGAAGGAGCAGGAGCCGCAAGGAGACCCCCGAGACCCCTCCAGCCCCGCCGTGAGTGCACCCCGGCGCTTTTTGGGGGGTGCCGAACGCCCCAAAATTCCGGGCAGGGAGGGAGCAGCGCTTTGGCCGCCGGTGGAAGTGAGGATGAGGCAGAGAAACGGGAAATTCCCAGTTTTGGGTGGGGGGTGAGGGGGAGATGGACCAAAATTGGCATTTTTGGGGGGAGAAGTGAGCGGTCCCGTGGCAATAGGATCGTTTTTGTAGTTATTTTTTTATCCTCGTGAGGAAAAGGGGTTTGGATTTTGTGGCGCTGGAGCTTTTCCCTCCCCCTCAGCAGAAAAAAAAAAAAAAAAAAAAAAAGAAAAAACCAAACCACCAAAAAAAGAAAAAAAAAAAACAGAGAAAGCTTTGAACTCTTTCAGCCGTTAAAATCCGGTGTCTGTCACAAGCCGTTAAATGAATAGAAAGAACAAAAAAAAAAACCAAAAAAAACCCCAAAATAATAAAAAAAGAAAGACAAAAAAAATAGTAAAGGACGGACTTGGGAACCGAGCAGCTTCTTTGCCCAAAAATAGCAACAAGTTTTATAACTCCGGAAAATGTAGAACAAACAAACGAGGAACATTTTTAGCTGAGAAAGGCGGCGGCGGCGGCGCGGGGGGGGCGGAATTTCGGAATTTCTGCCCGTTTGTTTTCCTGGAAGCCGCTCCTCGTGTGCTCGCCCGCATCCAGCGCTGTGAGCAACTTGGCCACCGGCCCGGGGCCCCGGGGAACGGGACCGGAGAGCCCCGGGGCTGCGGGGAACGGGACCGGAGAGCCCCGGGGAACGGGACCGGAGAGCCCCGGGGCTGCGGGGAACGGGACCGGAGAGCCCCGGGGAACGGGACCGGAGAGCCCCGGGGCTGCGGGGAACGGGACCGGAGAGCCCCGGGGCTGCGGGGAACGGGACCGGGGCTGCGGGGAACGGGACCGGAGAGCCCCGGGGAACGGGACCGGAGAGCCCCGGGGCTGCGGGGAACGGGACCGGGGCTGCGGGGAACGGGACCGGAGAGCCCCGGGGCTGTGGGGAACGGGACTGGAGAGCCCCGGGGAACAGGACCGGAGAGCCCCGGGGAACGGGACCGGAGAGCCCCGGGGCCCCGGGGAACGGGACCGGAGCTGTCCCGGGGCTGCGGGGAACAGGGGGTGCGGGTGGAGGGGTCGCAGCTCCCCCAAAACTCAGCCCCGTGTCCCGCAGGACGCGCCGGGGGCCGCGGATGGCACCGAGAGGGACAAGGCGGCGGGAGAAGGTGGGGACAAGGAGGACAAGGAGGACAAGGAGAAGGAGAAGGAGGAGGAGGAGGCTTTCCTCGTCAGCCTCTACAAGTTCATGAAGGAGCGGCGCACGCCCATCGAGAGGATCCCGCACCTCGGCTTCAAGCAGAGTATGTCCCCAGCCCGGGGACAGGGACAGGGACGGGGACAGGGACACGGGTGGCCGTGCTCAGCTCCCTCCCGTGTGCTCCTGACCCTCAGCATCTCCCCTTTATCTGTTCCCAGTTAACCTCTGGAAGATCTACAAGGCCGTGGAAAAGCTGGGAGCCTACGAGCTGGTGAGTGCTGGCCGTGGAGCCGGGGTGGCCCCAGGGTGTCCCCAGGGTGTCCCCTGGGTGCCAGAATGTCACCTGGGCATCTGGGTGTCCCCTGGACATCAGGGCTAGACACGAGTGTGACCCTGCGGTTCCAGAGTGTCCCTTGGGCATCTGGATGTCCCCTGGGGTGCCTGGTTGTCCCCTGGGGTTCCAGAGTGTCCCCTGGGTTCCTGGCTGTCCCCTGGGGTGCTGGATGTCCCCTGGGTTCCAGGCTGTCCCCTGGGTTCCAGGCGGTCCCCATGGGTGCTGGATGTCCCCGGGGTGCTGGCTGTCCCCTGGGGTTCCAGGCTGTCCCCTGGGTGCCAGGATGTCCCCTGGGGTTCCAGGCTGTCCCCATGGGTGCTGGCTGTCCCCGGGGTGCCCGGGCTCACCGCTCCGTCCCTCTGTCCGTCCCTCCCGCCGCAGGTGACGGGCCGCCGGCTCTGGAAGAACGTCTACGACGAGCTCGGGGGCAGCCCCGGCAGCACCAGCGCGGCCACCTGCACCCGGCGCCACTACGAGAGGTGGGACCGGGCCGGGACCGGGGCCGGTGCCGGGGGGGTTGTCCCGCCGCGTGCCTCAGTTTCCCCCGGCGCGGCGCTGACCGCGCTCCCCGCTCGCTCCGCAGGCTCGTCCTTCCCTACGTGCGGCACCTGAAGGGCGAGGAGGACAAACCGCTGCCCCCCAGCAAACCCCGCAGGCAGTACAAGGTCTCCAAGGACGACAAGAGCAAGAGGGCCCGGAAGGAGAAGGGCCGCGAGCAGGTGCGGCCCCTCCGCAGGGACGGGAGCAGCTCCGGAACCGGGTCCGGAACGTGCCCGGGGAGGGATGGATGGGCCCGGCCGGGGGTGGGAGCGGTGCCGGGACCCCGGCCCGGGATGCGGCAGCCACAGCCCGACCCCTCTGCCCGCAGGCGGCTCCGGACAAGGCGCGGCCGGAGGCGGGCGCGGAGGACGCGGCGGAGCGGGGCCGGGGGACAGAGGGACGCTCCAGCCCGGCCAGCCCGGCCGTGCCGGCCCCCAGCCCCTCGGGGAGGTGTCCCAGCCCCTGCAGGAGCCACAGCGAGACCTACAAGCGCCTCTTCTCCAGCTTCTACTCCAAAGGCAACCACCCCATCATGTCCCCGCTGGCCAAGAAGAAGCTGCTGGCGCAGGTCAGCAAAGCCGAGTCCTTGCACTGCCACAAGCGCCACTGCCCCGAGGTTCGGCGGGCACCGAGCGACACCGTCCCCGAGGCACCGGGAGCTGCGGACAGAGCTCCGAGCGTGCCGAGCGAGGCGTCCCCGGCGGGCAGAGACATCCAGGGCTGCCCGCAGGACGGGGCCGCGGCTCCCGCCGTCTTCACCGGCTACTTCCACGCGTACCGCAGCGAGGGCCCGCAGCCCGCCGGCTGCCCCCCGCTCTGGGGGTACTTCTCCAACCTGAAGGATTTTTTGGAGCCGCCCTCCGCCTTCCCGGAGGAGCCCGAGCAGCCGGCGGAGCTGCGGGGCCGGGGCTGCTGGGTGCCCCCCGGGGCCACCTTCGGCCAGTCGAGCCGCCACGAGGATGATGATGATGATGATGATGAGGAGGATGAGGAGCCCTTCGTCCCCACGGCCAGCTCAGGCGCCGTGTCCCCCTTGGCCAAGCAGGGCAGGGCCGGGCACCGCGGGCTGGCCAAACCCAGGGCCGTGGTGGCCGCTCCGCCTTTCACCGCTCCGCCGCCGCCGGACGCTTTCGAGGGAGCCGCGCTGCGCTTCCCGGGCACCTTCGGGAACCCCCTGGAGCAGCTGAAATCCCGGGGCGTGCCGGTGGCCCCGGCGCTCTCCGTCAGCCCCTTGGTGATCCCGGCCTTCCCCAGCCCTTTGGTGGTGGGCTCGGAGCTGTGCCGCCCGCTGGCCACCGGCTCCTACGGGAGCTCGGCCCGGTTCTACCCGGCGGCTCCGTGGCACGGGCAGCGCTCCTGCAGCTCCCCGCACGGCCCGGCCTTCCCGCACCACGCCAGGCCCTAGCGGGGGACAGCCGGGGACATCCCGGGGACATCCCGGGGGACATCCCGGGGACATCCCGGGGACATCCCGGGGGACAATCCGGACCGGCCCGTTTTAATTCCCCACCTCGGAGCTGTCTGCACCCAGCCGCGGCTCTGCTGGGGACACCCCACGGTTCTATTTTCTATATATCCACACAGAAATCTATAAAAAAGGGATTAAAAGCCGCGCTGCAGGTTTCTGTTCGTGCCCTGCTGGGGGTGGCTGTCCCAGCCCTGGTCCCCCACAGCCCAATTTGGGGTTTGGGGGAATAAACCCGGCCCGGCAGAGCTCGGGGTGTCCTCGATTTCTGGGATCGGGGCAGGGCTGGGGGGATCCTCTGCCCCAAAGCAGAGCTGCAGGGCTGAGAATTCAGCCGTGGGGAGGGAAGGAGGAGCTTTTCCCCCTCAGTTTTGGGGGAGCTGCAGCAATTCCATGGGGCAGCTGCAAATCCAGGTGGGAAAGAGGCAGCAACAGCTCCAGGTCCTTTGTGCCTCTCAGGCCCTCTTTGCCTCCAGGTGATTTTTGCCTCCAGGTGATTTTTGCCTTCAGAATCCTATTTTTGCCTCCAGATCCTTTTTGGCTTCCAGAACCTTGTTTTGCCTCCAAATCCTTTTTGCCTCCAGGTGATTTTTGCCTCCAGGTCCTTTTTTTGTCCCTATGTCCTTTTATTGCCTCCAGAATCCTTTTTTGCCTCCAGATCCTTTTTACCTCCAGAATCCTTTTTGCTTCCAGATCCTTTTTTACCTCCAGAATCCTTTTTGCCTCCAGGTCCTTTATACCTCCAGAATCCTTTTTGCTTCCAGATCCTTTTTACCTCCAGAATCCTTTTTGCTTCCAGATCCTTTTTGCCTCCAGGTACTTTTTTACCTCCAGGTCTTTTTTTTGCCTTCCAGGTCCTTTTTTGCTTCCAGAATCCTTTTTTGTCTCCAGGTCCTTTTTTGCCTCCAGGTCTTTTTTTTGCCTTCCAGGTCCTTTTAGTCCCCAGGTCCTTTCTGCCCCAGCTGCTGCACCTGAGCCGTTCCAGACCATCCCAAGGCTCTGTGGGAGCTCCAGGCCCGGCTCTCCCCGTGGCAGCTGGACAGGGCACAGGGGTGGTGGCACTTCCTTGTCCCCAGGGTTGTGACAGCTTTGGGGGCAGCAGGAGCTGTGAGCCACAGAATCCGTGGAAAGGCCAAGTTTGGGAATTGGGAACAAGCTGGAATAGGCTGGATTTTGGGAAAGGTTCTTCCCGCAGAGGGTGCTGGGCACGGCCCCGAGGCTGCCCGAGCTCAGATTTTGGGGGTCTGTGCAGGGCCAGGGGCTGGATTGATGATCCCAGTGGGTCCTTTCCCACTCAGCAGATTCCAGGATTCTCTGATTATTTCAGGCAGCTGCCCAGCGTGGGTCCTTCCCTGCTCTGTCCCTCCATCCCTTCACTGCTCACAAAATCCACCCTCAACAAAAGCCAGCCCCAGAGTGGCCACAGCCACAAACTCAGGCCAAAAGCACAACAAAATTAAAAAAAAAAAAAAAAACCATAAAAAAAAAAGGAAGTTTTTATTAAACAGCAACAAACCCAGAAGAACATCCCCCCTTTCCTACCCTCCAGGAATCCTGGGGGTCCCCACAGCCCCCAGGGCGGCGTGGCTGCTGCTGGCCAGCCCCACGGTGTCCCCAGAGTGTCCCCGCCGTGTCCTGGAGGTGCCACCTCGGGGTGCCCAGGCTGGCACGGGGCAGCCTCGGCAGTGCCACACCAGCCTGGCCTCCCACACCACGGGGGCTCCGTGGCCGTCACTGCGGACAAGGGGACAGGGTCAGTGCCCTGGGGACATCCTGACCACCCCGGGGTGGACAAGGGGACAGGGTCAGTGCCCTGGGGACATCCTGACCACCCCAGGGTGCTGAGATTGTTCCCAGCAAGGCCAGGCCCCCACAGCTCAGGCTGAAATCTGTGTCCCTGGCAGTGGAATTCAGGATGAGAAAGGAATTCCTGCCTCCAAGGGCTCGGAGCTCTCCTCCCACCATCCTCACCCAAACCAGCTCCAGGCCCCACGGAGCTGTGGCTGTCCCCACACTGAGGGGACACCCCACAATTCCAACCCCCCTGGGGCAGTTCAGTGAAAAGATAAACTCGGTTTTACTCTGCTTCTCACCTCCCAGCCACACCAACCCTCAGGTTTCTCCTCCCCCTGCTCCCAGGGGGGATTCCTGTGATGCCCACCCCACAGCACAGCTCAGCCCCAGATTTAAATTCCTGCAGAATTCCCCCAGCTGGAATTCCAAGGGGAATCTCAGCTCTGGCTGCTGCTGAGGCCTTTGGGGAGGGTTATGGTTACGTAACCCCGCTGATGTCAGGGCTAAAATTAGGAACAAAGCCTCATTTCCTGTCAGAGCTGCTTTCAGTTTGCTTTTGGAGCAGCCCTGGCACGGTCTGAGCCCTGCCTTGAACACACAAGCTCAGCATTGTAAGGAAAAGTCAGAATCCAAAAAATTAACCCCTTCCTGGATGGCCTCACCCTGCACAACAGCTCCATCCCTGCTCCGGGCTGCCCAGAAGGTTTGGAGGTGACAGGGACAGCGAGGCAGCACAGCAGCTCTGAGGGATTTGAGGTTCATTTGAGCCCAAAAAGGGCACTGGGTGGGATTTGAGGTCCCTTTCAGCCCCAAAAGGGCACTGGGTGGGATTTGAGGTCCCTTTTAGCCCCAAAAGGGCACTGGGTGGGATTTGAGGTTCATTTGAGCCCAAAAAGGGCACTGGGTGGGATTTGAGGTCCCTTTCAGCCCCAAAAGGGCCCTGGGTGGGATCTGAGGTCCCTTTCAGCCCCAAAAGGGCCCTGGGTGGGATTTGAGGTCCCTTTCAGCCCCAAAAGGGCCCTGGGTGGGATCTGAGGTCCCTTTCAGCCCCAAAAGGGCCCTGGGTGGGATTTGAGGTCCCTTTCAGCCCAGACCACCCCAGGATTTCACGGGATCAAGGACAATCACACCTGCAGAGACACAGTGACAGGGTGACACCGCCCTGGCTGCTGCCACCCCCTCCTCACACCCCAGAGATGGCACAGGCACACCTGGCAGGGCCAGGAGCTGCCCAGGTGAGCCAGGAGAGGCTCCTCCTTACCTGAGGGCCCTGGGGCTGCTCCTCCAGCTGGGGCTGTGCCGTGCCCAGCCCCGCCTGGCTCAGGGTGCCCACGCGGCCGGGCTGTCCCCGCAGGGTCACCGTGATGGTGGCCGGGGCCTTCAGGCCTGCAGAGCACACAGAAAACCTCCCTGAGACACAGGGCTGGTGGACAACAGCCCCAAACAGGGCTGGGGCTTCCCTCAGAGGGGCTGCTTGGGAAGGAGCAGCCCTCAGAGCAGGAGGAGCTTTGGGAAAAAAGCTCCAGGTGCCGGCAGCACCTTCATCCTTTCTTCCCTCCTCTCTCTCTCTCCCCTTTTCTTTCTTTCTTCCTTCCTCCCTCCTTTCCCTCTCTCTCTCCCCTTTTCTTTCTTCCTTCCTTCCCCCGTCTTTCTTCCTTTCTTTCTTTGTTCTTCCTCCCTTCCCTTTCTCTCTCCCTTTTTCTTTCTTCCTTCCTCCCTCCCTCTCTTCCTCCGTCCCTTCCCTCTCTCCCTTTCCACTCCTTCCTCCCTCCCTTCCCTTTCTCTCTCCCTTTTTTCTGTCCTTCCTTCCTCCCTCCCTCTCTTCCTCCCTCCCTTCCCTCTCTCCCTTTTCACTCCTTCCTCTCTCCCTTCCCTCTCTCTCTCCCTTTTTTCTGTCCTTCCTTCCTCCCTCCCTTCCCTCTCTCTCTCCCTTTTTTCTGTCCTTCCCTTCCCTTCCCTTCCCTTCCCTTCCCTTCCCTTCCCTTCCCTTCCCTTCCCTTCCCTTCCCTTCCCTTCCCTTCCCTTCCCTTCCCTTCCCTTCCCTTCCCTTCCCTTCCTTCCCTTCCTTCCCTTCCCTTCCCTCCCCTCCCCTCCCCTCCCCTCCCCTCCCCTCTCTCCCGGGCTGACCTGTGGCCTGGTTGGAGATGTGGGCCAGCCCGGGCAGGCTGCTGGCCAGCTTGGCCAGCCCGCCGTTGCTCAGCAGCTGGTGGATGGCCGTGGGCTTGCCCGAGGCCCCCAGGGCCAGCGAGGTGGCCACGGGGATGGTGCGCACCAGGGCGCCCGCCTCGGAGCCCAGCGCAGCCAGGCCCTGCAGCGCCCCGGGAGCCTTCAGCGGCGGGCCCTGCGAGGAGAGAGAGCCCTGAGAGCTGCAGGGCTGAGCTCTGCAAGGACAGAGCCCGGAGAGCTGCAGGGCTGAGAGAGCCTTCAGCACCAGGCTCTGCAAGGACAGAGAGAGCCCTGAGAGCTGCAGGGCTGAGAGAGCTGCAGGGCTGAGAGAGCTGCAGGGCTGAGCTCTGCAAGGACAGAGAGAGCCCTGAGAGCTGCAGGGCTGAGAGAGCTGCAGGGCTGAGAGAGCTGCAGGGCTGAGCCCTGCAAGGACAGAGCCCTGAGAGCTGCAGGGCTGAGAGAGCTGCAGGGCTGAGAGAGCTGCAGAGCTGGGCCCTGTGAGGACAGAGAGAGCCCTGAGAGCTGCAGGGCTGGGCTAGGCCGAGCTTTGCAAGGACAGAGTCCTGAGAGCCTGCAGAGCTGGGCTAGGCTGAGCTTTGCAAGGACAGAGAGCAGCCATGAGCTCCTGCAAAGCTGAGCTTTGCAAGGAAGAGAGCAGCCCCGAGCTCCTTTAGGCTCTGCAAGGACAGAGGCAGCCCTGAGCTCCTTTAGGCCGAGCTCTGCAAGGACAGAGGCAGCCCTGAGCTCCTTTAGGCCGTGCTCTGTAAGGACAGAGGCAGCCCTGAGCTCCTTTAGGCTCTGTAAGGACAGAGGCAGCCCTGAGCTCCTTTAGGCCGTGCTCTGTAAGGACAGAGGCAGCCCTGAGCTCCTTTAGGCTCTGTAAGGACAGAGGCAGCCCTGAGCTCCTTTAGGCTCTGTAAGGACAGAGAGGAGCCCTGAGCTCCTTTAGGCTCTGTAAGGACAGAGGCAGCCCTGAGCTCCTTTAGGCCGAGCTCTGTAAGGACAGAGGCAGCCCTGAGCTCCTTTAGGCTCTGCAAGGACAGAGGAGCCCTGAGCTCCTTTAGGCCCAGGCCAGGCTGGGATGGCCTCTCCCCTGTCCAGCAGAGCCTTTGGGGGGTTCCACAGCTCTCCCCAGCCCCGGGCAGGGCTGGCCCCGGTGGATTTGTCCCTCCCAGCCTCGGAGTGGGACCCTGAGGGGTCTCAGTGCTGCTTTCCCTGATCCCTCCCGGCTGCTCTGCAGCTCAGCTCTGGGGCTGCCTGCACACACAGAGCCCTGGCACAGCACAGCCCGGCTCCCTCTGCCCCCCAGAACCCCATCAGCGCCCCAGAACCCCCCCTGCCCCGTGGGAGAGGCCCCTCACCTGCACAGGTGAGCCGGCGGCCGCCGCGCTGGGGGCCAGGCTGGAGGCCTTGGTGCCCAAATCCTGCAGGCTGAAGCTCAGCCCCTGGAGCAGGCTGCTGGCAGAGGCTGCTCCTGAAACACAGGGCAGGACAAGGTCAGCCTGGGATCTGAGGGCCCTCTGAGCCCAAAAAGGGCCCTGGGTGGGATCTGAGGTCCCTTTCACCCCCAAAAAGGGCCCTGGGTGGGATCTGAGGTCCCTTTCACCCCCAAAAAGGGCCCTGTGTGGGATCTGAGGTCCCTTTCACCCCCAAAAAGGGCTCTGTGTGGGATTTGAGGTTCCACCAGCACCAAATTCTGGCGCTGGCGTGGGGCTGCAGAGCTGTTCAAAACCCAAACACTCCTGGAGCTCTGGCAGCCTTGGGGCCGTGCCCATTCCTGGAGCAGTGCCCAGCACCCTCTGGGGAAGAACTTTCCCCAAAACCCACCCCAAACCTCTTCCCCCTGGGGACAGAACCTTTCCCCAAACCCACCCCAAACCTCTTCCCCCTGGGGACAGAACTTTTCCCCAAACCCACCCCAAACCTCATCCCCCTGGGGACAGAACCTTTCCCCAAACCCACCCCAAACCTCTTCCCCCTGGGGACAGAACCTCTCCCCAAACCCACCCCAAGCCCCCCTGGTCCTGCTCCATTTCCTGCTGCAGCTGCAGAGGGGTGGCTGTGGAGCACAGCAGCTTTTGGGGTTTTGGCGTTTTCCACCCAAATGCCACAATCCCCACGACAAAGCCCCACCTGAGCCAGGCCAGGCAGGGCCAGGAGGGGCTCCCCAGACCCTGCCAGCTCTCCCCTGGTACCTGGCAGGGCAGTGGCCGGCTGGGCTGGCAGGCCGTGGCCGCTGCTGGCCACCAGCCGGCTCTGCAGGGCGTGGAAGGCGCTGGGGGCAGAGCTGCTGGGGATCCCGGCCTGGGCCGGGCTCAGCGAGGCCTCCGTGCTTGAGCTGAGCCTAAAAGGGAAGGGAGAGAGGCCGGTGAGGGCTGGGACAGAGAGTGGCACAGCCAGGGGCTGGGAGGAGGGAGCTGGGCTGCACAAGCACAGCAGGGGAATGGCAGGGCTGGACGGCTGGAAAAAAACTCTAAACATCATCAATTCCATGAGAAACTTCCAGGGCAGCAGCCAAATCCAAGGATTTCTAAACTAGGAGAGCCTGGTGGCTGTGCTCACCTCCCAGGCAGGGCCACCACCTGCCTAAACCCCACTTTTTATTAATTTAAAATTTAATTTTATAAATAAAACAGATGTTACTTATTTATTTAAAACCAGCTCTTCTTCCTCTCCTATCCCAGATCACAGAATCCTGGGATGGTTTGGGCTGGAAAGGGCATTAAAAGGTGCCACCAGCAGGGACACCTCCCCTGTCCCAGGTCACTCTGAGCCCTGTCCAACACCTCCACGGCTCCTCTGGGAATGGGATCAGTCAGAGCCCAGTTCCCCAAAGCTCGAAAATGTTTCCATTTCAGGATGGGGAAAAGGTGTCAAGGTGAGATTTACTCCCCAACAGTGCAGAGCTCATGCCCTTCACGAGCTGATTTGGGGCTCTTCTCCCTTGCCTTTGCCACAAAAACGTTCTTTTTCTTGCAAAGGTGCCAGAAGGGAAGGATTAAACACAGAATTTCTGCCAAAGCCACCACAGAGACAGAGAGAAACACACCTGAGGTTGGGAAACCACGGCAGACACGAGCACAGCTGCAGCACCTCCACTCCTGCCATCCCCAGGCCCCACTGGAGTTTCCAGGAGCCCCCAGAGCCTCCCCCACGCCAGAAAATCCCAGTGGGGAGCAAGACACCGGAAAGCTCCACGTGCAGGAGAGAAAGAGCCCCCAAAATTCCCAAATTCCCACTCACTTGGGGGTGGAGAGCAGCCCCGAGAGCTCCTTGGTGCTGGACACGGCTTGGCCCAGGGGCAGCGGCTTCCCGGAGACAACTGCAAGACAAAAAGGAGAAGGCTCAGCCCCTGTCCCCCACAAATCCTCCGGGATTCCTCTGGGATCCCCCTTTTTCCAAGCACCCATCCAGCTCCCAGAGCATCTTCTGCAGGAATGGCAGACTGGGAGGAGCAAAATCCAGTTAGAACACAGAAACGATGGAATGGCAGAGGCAGGAGGGAAGGAATCGCCTCCCGAAATCTCTAAGGAACCTCAGGCCCCTGCCACCAACTGCAAATCTCTCTCCTAGAGGTTCTCTCCACTAATCCCCTCCTCTCCAGGGATGGATTGCTGGGATCTGGGTGGCTTTGTAAGGATTCTTGGCTCAAGACACTTTACAAAATACACAGGGATGCGACAAGTCACGGAATTTGTTTATTGCAGCATTGGGGGATACAACTGCCTTCCTTCCTCGTGCACTCCTCCTGGCAAAGAGGCAATTCTCCTTTGGGTTCATGTTTACTTCTGCAATTCATTTCCTTTCTGTGGAAAGAAGTTGGGAAAATTAAAAATAAAAATAAAATAATGATTCTGGAAAGCAGAGGTTTTCAAAGCTGCCAGAAGATCTAGTGAAACCTTCCAGAAGGACGTGGATTTGGTGTCTTGTGGCAGCTCAGAGATGCTGAAAGGAGCACAGAGGTGCCTGGAAAGGAGCAGAGCTGTGAACACCTGGGATTTCCCAGCAGGATGGAGCTGCTGGCCTCTGATTCCACAAATGCCACGGGCAGGGGCTGCTCCGTGGGAGGAAGGTGCTGAGGGACAGCAGCCAGAGCTTCGGGGCTCTCCTGTGATGGCTCAGGGCAGAAGAGGGAGCCCAGCAGCTCTTCCTGGGGTGCAGGGGCAGGATGGAGCTGGGTTTGCTGGGATGGGAATCCCAGGGGGATCAGCAGAGCGGGCAGCTCGGCCGGGTGGGGATCTGGAGGGCACAGAACTCCGGATTCCAGAGGGAGCAACTGCCCCAAATCCTACAAGCAGCAGCGGGGTCGGGGCGGGAGGAATGCGGAGAGAGGGGTCCAGCAGCACCAGCAGCACCAGCAGGACCAGTAGGACCAGCACCCTGCTCCCAGTAGCACCAGTAGCACCAGCACTCTGCTCCCAGTAGCACCAGCAGGACCAGCACCCTGCTCCCAGTAGCACCAGCAGGACCAGCACCCTGCTCCCAGTAGCACCAGCAGGACCAGCACCCTGCTCCCAGCAGCACCAGTAGCACCAGCACCCTGCTCCCAGTAGCACCAGCAGGACCAGCACCCTGCTCCCAGTAGCACCAGTAGGACCAGCACCCTGCTCCCAGTAGCACCAGTAACACCAGCACCCTGCTCCCAGCAGGACCAGCACCCATCCAGCTCCCAGCAGCAGCTCCAGGCCTCCAGAGGAAGGTGCATGACCTGAAGGAGGTGCAGGATCCCATCCCCATCCTGTTTTTGCAGGAGTGTGGAATTCCAACGCTCCTGCCAAGCTCCCTCAGCCACTCACACCAGGAGTGTGAGTCTCCACCTTTTCCCTGCAGCTAAATTCTCCAAAAACAGGGATAATGAAGCAAAAAGCAGGCCTAAGGAAAAGCAGGGCTAAGGAAAAGCAGGCCTAAGGAAAAGCAGGCCTAAGGAGAACCAGGCCTAAGGAGAACCAGGCCTAAGGAAAATGAAGCCTATAAAAAATGAAGCCTAAGGAAAAGCAAGCCTAAGGAAAAGCAAGCCTAAGGAAAAGCAAGCCTAAGGAAAATGAAGCCTAAGGAAAATGAAACCTAAGGAAAATGAAACCTAAGGAAAAGCAAGCCTAAGGAAAATGAAGCCTAAGGAAAATGAAACCTAAGGAAAAGCAAGCCTAAGGAAAAGCAAGCCTAAGGAAAAGCAAGCCTAAGGAAAAGCAAGCCTAAGGAAAAGCAGGCCCAAGGAAAAGCAAGCCTAAGGAAAGGCAGGCCCAAGGAAAGGCAGGCCCAAGGAAAGGCAGGCCCAAGGAAAGGCAGGCCCAAGGAAAGGCAGGCCCAAGGAAAGGCAGGCCCAAGGAGGCACAGCTCCCTCCCCGCCAGGCCCTGCGGGTGCCACAGCCAGGTCCCCACTCACTTGCAGCCTGGGTGCCGAGGGCTGCTCCGGTGCCCGTGGCATCTCCGTGGGAGACAATGGTCACCTGGATTTTGGCTCGTTTGGAGGCCTTGCTGCACTGCCTGGGGCTGGGGCTCTGCTGCCTCTTCAGCTGCACTCGCCCACCTCTGCCAGCCCCCTCCGAGGGCTCGGGGGCCACCGCAGCTGGGGGACACAGAAGGGGCTGCTGGAGCGCCCAGGGTGGCTCGGGGTGCCGGGAGGGGAACGTGCCCACAAGCAGCTCCCTCTGTGCCAGCCTGCCCGGCTCCCTCTGTGCCAGCCTGCCTGGCCATCCCTGATCCATCAGAACCTTCCCAAATCCATCCCTGATCCATCAGAGCCTTCCCAGATCAATCTGAACCTCCCCAAATCCATCCCTGATCCATCAGTGCCTTCCCAGATCCATCAGAACCTTCACAAATCCATCATTGATCCATCAGGGCCTTCCCTGATCCATCAGAGCCTTCCTAAATCAATTCCTGATCCATCAGAACCTTGACAAATCCATTCCTGATCCATCAGAGCCTTCCCAAATCCATCCTTGATCCATCAGAGCCTTCCTAAATCAATTCCTGATCCATCAGAGCCTTCCTAAATAAATTCCTGATCCATCGGGGCCTTCCCAAATCCATCCCTGATCCATCAGAGCCTTCCCAAATCCATCCCTGATCCATCAGGGCCTTCCCAAATCCATCCTTGATCCATCAGAGCCTTCCCAAATCCATCCCTGATCCATCAGCTGCGGGGTCACAGCTGCAGCTGACACCCATGGACCTGCAGGTGACACTGCTGTAGGTGACACTGCTGCAGGTGACACCCACCAGCCTGTCCAGGTCTGCCCTGAGCACGGCCAGGAGAGGAGGAGGATGCAGATCCATCCCCAGGTGCTGCTGGAATTTGCCAGGAGGGCTCCTCGGCCACAGAAGCACCCCCCGAACTCCTCAGGCTCACCACCAGACCAAAGGTTTTTAACCAGCCTCCAACAGGACACAAACCCCCACAGCTCAAGCTGGCTCCTTCTCCACAGCAGGTTTTCCACGGGATGGGTCTGGAATTCCCCAGATCCCAGTTTCCACCTCAGCTCAACAGCCTCAACATCTCCTGAGCACCTTCAGGGTCTCCCCAGGTAGCCCTGAGGGAGACACTGGACCAGGGTGCCCCAAAAGGATCAGAGCATGGCTGCAGGGGGTTTGGTCAGCCTGAGAGAGAATCCTTCCCACTTCCAAGCTGCAGAAACATTTCCAGCCCCCTTCCAACCCTCCAAGGCAGTGACAGGAGCTGAGCTGCAGAGAAAGCTGCCACGAGGAGCTTGGAATTCAACAGAGGACAGGGAAAATAAAAACCTACGCAGGTCCAGAGAGAGAAAACCCAAAATTCAGCTGCTGGAAGGGTGGGGAAGCTGCAGGGAATTACCTTGTGCCTGCTTGTGGGTCAGGACAGCGTCTGGCCTCGGCACCGGCCTCCTCTGCAGCTGCGTGGGGCCCACCTGGCTGGGCTTGGGCAGGGCCAGCGCGGCCACCTTGGTCTTGGGGCTGGACGTGGGGCTGCTGGACACGCTGGACAGGTCCTGCTGGGACAGAGGGACACTCAGCCCACGCTGCCCGAGGCAGCCCTGGCCTGAGCACTCATTTCCCTCACCCCGAGAATCCTGGGGTTTTTAGGGCTGGAAAAGACCAGCAGGGTCACCACCAGCCCTGTCCCCCAGTGCCACATCCATCTGTGTTTTGAACAACCCACCAGCCTGTTCCAAAGCCTTACAACCCTTCCCATGAGATAATTTCCCCAAATCTCTCATCTAAACCCCCTCTGAGGCCACATCCCCCCGGGTACCCTCTCACCTCCCTCTCCCAGCGCTCAGCACAGATTTGGGAGATTTTGGTGGCACGAAAACCCCTCTCTGCACACCCCCAGCTGGAATTAGGCCGGGAGGAGCCCCCACCTCGGAGCCTGAGGGCGAGGCTGGCACTTTGGCTGCAGGGGAGGCGGGTCTGCTGCTCCTCTCGGGCAGCTCGAAGGACAGATCCCTCCTGCTGCACTCACGGGGCTTCTTCTTCCTCTCGGCGTCCAGGTCGCGGGGCTCGGAGCCCGAGTGGCTCTCGGCCCGGGTCAGCACCCCTGTCAGGAAGTCTGCAATCTCATCCTGGCAATTTTGGGATAAACAGTGGGATTCAGTGCTGGGCAGGTCTCTGAGCAGTGGATCTTGAAGCAAGGAAATGAAGAATTCCCAAGGGGATACACAGGTAAGGCTCTGTGGGTTTGGTATTCTGCAGGAAATCCCCAAAACCTCACAGAGAGAATGCACATTTCTCAGTGAAGCTCACAAAACACCGATTCAGGACTTGTGGGGAAAAAACCACAATGGTTTCTCCCAAAATGCTGCTGTGCCCCCAGGCAGATGTGTTGGGACACTCAGGAAACTGCTCAGGTTAAGGGGCACCCCCCGGGATCTCACACCTCCCTTCCAAACCCCCCTCAGGAGAAGATCCAACCCATCCCTGCTGTAACCTGGGACCTTCCACCTTCCCTTCCCTGATCCCTGTGGGTACCTGGATGCACCTGTCCACCATGCTCTGGGTCAGCCCTTCTGACTTCTTTTTGGCTTTGCTTATCCTAGGGGGAAAAAAGAACCAAAACAGGTGGAAATCCACCCTCTTCCACGAGCACACTGCCATCATTCTTCACCTGATGAGGACAAAGATCCTTTTTGTGACTCCCCAAAACCAAGCTGACATTTCAGAGCTCTGCCTTCACGCCCATTGTCAGTTTTAGGCTTCTTTCTTTCCTCTCCTTTACTGATTTTCACTGCTAGAGATTCCTGACTCCTGTGATGCTCCAAAACCTCCTCTGTGCTGCTGGGTGCAGCCCTAAATTGAGCCCAGCCCTAAATCAGGCCCAGCCCAAAATCAGGCCCATTCCCATGCAGGTTTTTCCCCAACACAGACAAGTCTGGAGTTTTCCCATGCAATTCCCACCTCGTTCCAACACCAGATTTGGGGCTGGTGTCCCTAGCACGCTCAGGTGCTGCCCAGAATTCCCAGGAAGAGAGAGCCCAGGTGTGGCAGAGCCTCACCTGAGGTTGTCATCGGCTCCTCCCACCACCACCATGCTGTTGTCCGCCCGGATCTTCTCCCGGAAATCCTCCATGGCTTCCACGTTGCACTGCAGGGAGTTCTGCCCGATGACGAAGAGCACCGGGGTCTTCATCTCCAGGAGGGGGTCATCCACATCCTGCAACAGGGTGGGATGGAGCTGAGGGGCTTCCAGGGGGGATTTACTGAGCCCGGAGGGAAGCTCTGCTGCAGCTGCAGCATGCTCCAGAAAAGGGAGCAGGAAATGGAGCCTTTCCAATGGAATCCCATTGCCCTCGGAAGGAGCCACTTCCCAGCGTGGCTGTGTCCAACACCAGTCCCCATCCAGTCACACCCAAAAGGGACAGTCTGGGCTCCGTGGAAATGACAGAAAATGAGGGAAACAGCACAGGGATAACCAGGGACACGGGACAGGGATAACCAGGGACACGGGACAGGGATAACCAGGGACACGGGACAGGGATAATGAGGGACATGGGACAGGGATAACCAGGGACACGGGACAGGGATAATGAGGGATCTAGGCCATGGCTAACGAGAGTAACAGCTCCTCCAAGCAACTCTCACACCCACACTCCCTCAAAAAACCAGCCTTGGGCTTCCAGGAACCGTTCCACCAAGCAACCCAGGGAGGTTTAAAGACAAGCAGGGCTCTTTAAGCAGCTCCATCTGGTCCTTACCCCTCTGGGGCCATCCACGGTGAGCAGGGGGAAGCCGAGGCACACGACAGCAGTGACATATTCCATCACGGAAACCTGGGCAGGGAGAGAGCAGTCAGAGCCCAGCAGGGATATATTCCATCACAGGTCAGAATTCCCAGAGCCCGGCAGGGACACATTCCACCGCTCAGCATTCCCAGAGCCCAGCACATCCCAGGAATGAAGGCTGCTTTGCCACAGCTCCTCTGGGAATTCCATCCCAGCCCCTCGCCACCCTCCCAGCCAGGAATTCCTTCCCAAGATCCCATCCAGCCCTGCCCTCTGGCAGTGGGAGCCATTCCCTGTGTCCTGTCCCTTCATCTCTTGTCCCCAGTCCCTCTCCAGCTCTCCCGGAGCCCCTTCAGGCCCTGGAATGTGCTGGAAGCTCTCCCTGGAGCCTTCCCTTCTCCAGGTGAGCATTCCCAGCTCTCCCTGGATCCTTCCCTTCTCCAGGGGAACATTCCCAGCTCTCCCTGGAGCCTTCCCTTCTCCAGGGGAACATTCCCAGCTCTCCCTGGAATTTCCCTTCTCCAGGGGAACATTCCCAGCTCTCCCTGGATCCTTCCCTTCTCCAGGTGAGCATTCCCAGCTGTCCCAGCCCAGCTCCAGAGGGGCTCCAGCCCTGGAGCAGCTCGCTGGCCTGCCCTGGACCTGCCCTAGCAGACCCACACCCTCGCCGTGCCCCCGAGGACACGGAGCACGGGGCACTCACGTGACAGGCCACCAAGGCACCCGTGTTCCAGCCGATCAGGATGATCTGCTTGTGAGAGAAGTGGTTGTGGATCTGCGGGACACAAACCAGAGCTGGAGAGCCGGGACAGACACGGGGCAGTGCCCAGGGTGGCACAGCTCCCCTGGGCATGGGGCAGGGGGCACAGGGGGGCCTCGGGCTGTCCTCACCTCGGCCACCTTGCCCCTGACGGCGCCGATCATGTGCTCCAGGCACTGCAGCACCCCCACCCCGCTGCCGTTGTTCAGCAGGGACGTGGCGATGGGGATCACCTGCCAGGAGAGGGGAGTCAGGGACAGCCAGCAGGGCTGGGGACAGCAGCAGGGACAGCCAGCAGGGCTGGGGACAGCCAGCAGGGCTGGGGACAACATCAGGGACAGCCAGCAGGGCTGGGGACAGCCAGCAGGGACAGCCAGCAGGGCTGGGGACAGCAGCAGGGACAGCCAACAGGGCTGGGGACAGCAGCAGGGACAGCCAGCAGGGCTGGAGACAGCAGCAGGGACAGCCAGCAGGGCTGGGGACAGCAGCAGTAGGCCCATAGAGGCAGTCCCACAGATTCAGTCCAACAGAGGAACCCCATACAGCCACCCCACAGAGGAACCCTAATGATCCAGCTCACAGATCCAGCCCCACAGATCCAGCCCCACAGAGGAACCCTAATGATCCAGCTCACAGAGGAATCCCACAGAGCCAGCTCCACTGATCCAACCCCACACAGCCACCCCACAGAGGAACCCCACTGATCCAGCTCACAGAGGAACCCCACTGATCCAGCTCACAGAGGAACCCCACAGATCCAGCCCCACAGATCCAGCCCCACAGAGGAACCCCACAGATCCAGCCCCACAGAGGAACCCCACAGATCCAGCCCCACAGAGGGACCCCACAGATCCAGACCCACAGAGGAACCCCACAGATCCAGCCCCACAGAGGAACCCCACGGATCCAGCCCCACAGAGGAACCCCACAGACCTTTCCCAGGCAGGAGAGCTGGGACTGCCAGAAGCGGTGCCGCCGGGACGTGGGGAACAGGGAGTTGGCGGGGCCGGAGGAAGCGATGAGGATCAGGGGGGATCCGGGCAGTTTGCTCTGCAGAGGCCAACAGGAGCCGTGTCAGGGACAGCACCGCTCTCAGGAAAGGCTCAGGCTGGATTTTGGGAAAGGTTCTTCCCCAGAGAGAAGAGGTTTGGGATGGATTTTGGGAAAGGTTCTGTCCCCGGAGGGTGCCGGGCACAGCCCAGGGAATGGGCACAGCCCCGAGGCTGCTGGAGCTCCAGGAGTGTTTGGGTTTTGGGGTGTCTGTGCAGGGCTCCCAAGGTGGAATTCTGGGGTGTTCATGCAGAGCTCCCAGGGATGCCCAGGGTGGGATTTTGGGGTGGACTGATGATCCTGGTTTTCCCTTCCCCTCACGGAGCAGAGGAGCCCAAGGAGAGGACAGAGGCAGACCATGGGAAGAGTGAATCTGCCACGGGACCCCCCACTCACTGGTTTATTGTGGGACAGGACACCCACTGCGGGGTCCCAGGGTCTCTTGAGCAGCAGGGACAGCGCCTCAGCGCCCGCTGCTCCCGTCTTGGCCGTGGAGGAGTGCAGCATCCTGTCGATCAGCGTGGGGATCTGCAAGCAGAGGCCGGGGGGGACTGAGAAAACGCACCCAAACCACGGGACAGCACTTCCAGCCTCTCCCCTCTGCCAGCTGTGACAGCCAAGCTCCTCCTGCTTTTATCACCTTTCCCTTCAGGGTCTGCAGGGCATCCAGGTATGCAGCCAGCACGGGCAGGCTCAGGGTCTCCACCAGCGTGGTGTGAAGCCACTGGATGAGTTTGGTGTCCCAGTTGACGCTGGCCAGGGCCTGGCGCACCCTGCGGGCACATTTATCCACAGCGATCCTCCTCAGCACCGGCTCGTTGCAGGCCTGGAAGCAGCAATTCCCAAAAAACAGCTCAGGGGAAGGAAGATGGAGCACGGCACTGCAGCCCCATCCCTAGGGAAATGTCAGCGAGAGCTGCACAAACATCTGGAGTGAGGATAACATCTGTCCGAGGAGGAGGAGGCTGAGGGGAGCCCTCAGAGCAATCCAAACCTTCCAAGGGGAAGCTCTGATCCCTGGGACAGGATCCAGGGAACGGCCTGAGCTGGGCCAGGCTCAGGCTGGATTTTGGGAAAGGTTCTTCCCCAGAGGGTGCTGGGCACTGCCCAGGGAATGGGCACAGCCCCGAGGCTGCTGGAGCTCCAGGAGTGTTTGGGTTTTGGGGTGTCTGTGCAGGGCCAGGGTGGGATTTTGGGGTGTCTGTGCAGGGCCAGGCTGGGATTTTGGGGTGTCTGTGCAGGGCCAGGGTGGGATTTTGGGATGTCTGTGCAGGGCTCCCAGGGGTTGCACTGATGATCCACGTGGGTCCTTCCGGCCCAGGACATCCTCTGATCCCACAAAAGCCACGGCTCAGGGGAGCCCAGAGCTGCTCCTGGGGCTACCCCAGGGTCACAGTTTCCACGCTGACCACCCGGGTTTCGTGGGAAGGCCAGAGCCCAGCCCCTCTCACCCCTTCATTGGCCAGGCGGGCCAGCCTGTCCGACTGCAGCGCTTTGTGGATCTTGTTGAACAGCTTGTTCTGGGCCATGGTCCAGCCCGTCCTGCGGGGACAGACACAGCGGGGTCACCCACCAAACCACCACAGCGCTCCTGCGTCCTCTGCTCTGCAATTGCCAGCCCCCTGTTGATGTGCTCCTCCTAGCCTGGATTCCTATTCCCTGGAATTCCCAGCTTGGATCCCCTTTCTCTGGAATTCCCAGCCCATATTCCCATTCCCTGGTGCTCCCAGTCCCAATTCCCATTCCCTGGCATTCCTAGCCCATATTCCCATTCCCTGGCACTTCCAGCCCATATTCCCTAGCCTTCCCTGCCATTCCTAGCCCGGATTCCCTGGCATTCCCACCTGTTGACATGCTCCTTCCAGCCCATACCCTCTGCTCCTCCCAACCCATATTCCCATTCCTAACCCATATCTCCTGCTGTTCCCAGCCCAAATTCCCGTTCCCAGCCCCAATTCCCACCTGTTGACGTGCTCCTCCCAGCCCCAATTCCCATTCCAAGTCCCAATTCCCATTCCTAAATCCCAATTCCCATTCCTAAGTCCCAATTCCCATTCCTAAGTCCCGATTTCCATCTGTTGACGTGCTCCTCCCAGCCCCAATTCTCATTCCCAGTCCCAATTCCCATTCCCAGCCCCAATTCCCGTTCCCAGCCCCAATTCCCATTCCTAAGTCCCGATTCCCACCTGTTGACGTGCTCCTCCCAGCCCCAATTCCCAGTCCCAATTCCCGTTCCCAGTCCCAATTCCCATTCCCAGCCCCAATTCCCATTCCCAGTCCCAATTCCCATTCCCAGTCCTGATTCCCGTTCCCAGCCCCGATTCCCACCTGTTGACGTGCTCCTCCCAGCCCCAATTCCCATTCCCAGTCCCGATTCCCGTTCCCAGCCCCAATTCCCGTTCCCAGCCCCAATTCCCGTTCCCAGCCCCGATTCCCGTTCCCAGCCCCGATTCCCATTCCCAGCCCCGATTCCCGTTCCCAATCCCAATTCCCGTTCCCAATCCCAATTCCCGTTCCCAGTCCCGATTCCCAGCCCCGATTCCCGTTCCCAGCCCCAATTCCCATTCCCAGTCCCAATTCCCGTTCCCAGCCCCGATTCCCGTTCCCAGCCCCAATTCCCATTCCCATTCCCGATTCCCATTCCCAGCCCCAGTTCCCACCTGTTGACGTGCTCCTCCCAGTCGTCGGGCGGCGGGGGCGCGTCGGCGTCGGTGCGGGCGAACATGACGTGCCGCTCGCACTCGTTCATCACGCTCCGAGCCTTCTGGTTGTCGTACAGCGGCACCGGCGTGGGCGTCACCGTCTCCACGTCGATGGGGACATCGGCCTCCCTGCCACCCACACGGGGGTCAGGGCAACGAAGGGACACCCTGGCCCCCACCGCGCTTGGGGGGAACCGGGGGGTTTGGGGGATCCAGGGGGGTTTGGAGATCCAGGGGGGTTTCAGGGATCCAGGGGGGTTTGGGGATCCAGGTGGGTTTGGGGGATCCAAGATTTTGGGGTTCCAGGGGGTTTGAGCAGCTCTCCCAGGGATGCACAGGGTGGGCTGGACTCAGGGACCTCAGTACTCAACTGGCGGCCCCTGGACCACCAAACCAAGCAGCTTGGACACCCCAAACAGAGACCTCTGGGCTCTCAAACCAAACCTATTCTGCACTTTCAAACTCATCTCCCTGAAGGCCCAAACCAAGCATCCTGGACCACCAAACCTAGAAGGCCGAAAACTGAGACCCCTGGACACCCCAAACCAAAACCTCTGGACACCCCAAATCGAGATTCCTCACTGCCCCCCTCACCCATCAGAACCCTCCCCAGTGCCTCCAGTTTCCCCCTCACAACTCCCCCCCCTCGCCCTTATGACTGTCCCCAACCCCACAGGATCCTCTCCTTTCCCCTCACAGACCCCTCAGCCCCACAGGACCCCTTCTTTCCCCTCACAGCCCCACAGGACCCCCTCAACTCAATTTCCCCTCACAGCCCCACAGGACCCCCTCAACTCAATTTCCCCTCACAGCCCCACACGACCCCTCAATTTCCCCTCACAGCCCCACAGGACCCCTCCTTTCCCCTCACAGACCCCTCAGCCCCACAGGACCCCTTCTTTACCCTCACAGCCCCACAGGACCCCTCCTTTCCCCTCACAGCCCCACAGGACCCCTTCTTTCCCCTCACAGCCCCACAGGATCCTCTCCTTTCCCCTCACAGCCCCACAGAACCCCTCCTTTCCCCTCACAGCCCCACAGGATCCTCTCCTTTCCCCTCACAGACCCCTCAGCCCCACAGGACCCCTTCTTTCCCCTCACAGCCCCACAGGACCCCCTCAATTTCCCCTCACAGCCCCACAGGACCCCTCCTTTCCCCTCACAGCCCCACAGGACCCCCCCAGTCTCCCCCTCCGAGCCCTGCCGCCCCCTCCGCCGCTCGGGCTCTCACGGGGCGCTGCCGAGGTGCCTCCGCGGGGTGAGGAAGAGGAGCCGGGCGGGCCGGGCGGCGCTGGCGTCGGGGTGCGCGCTCCAGGGCTTGGCGTAGCTGTGGTCGAGGCACACCAGGTCCAGCTCCCGCTCGTGCGCCGACAGCTGCAGCAGCAGCGACGTGCCCATCCTGCGGGCCGACCACTGCAGCTCGCGCTCCCTGTCGCGCTCCCTGTCGCGATCTCTGTCCCCGGAGCGCTGCGACATGGCGGGAGCTCCGCCCCCCCCACTTCCCCTCCGCCCGCCCCTCACGGCGCCGCCGCGCGCGTGCGCGGGGCGCGTTCCCGCCTCCCCCCCTCAGCGCGCGTGCGCGGGGCGCGCTCCCGCCTCCCCCCCCCTCAGCGCGCGTGCGCGGGGCGCGCTCCCGCCTCCCCTCAGCGTTCTGTGGGCCGGGCGCGCTCCCGTGGGACCGTGGAATGTCCCTTGGGGACCAGAGAATGTCCTCGGGACGTGCCCGTGGGGACCCGGGAATGTCCTCGGGATGTGCCCGTGGGGACCCGGGAATGTCCTCGGGATGTCCCCGTGGGGACCCGGGAATGTCCTCGGGATGTCCCCAGCAATGTCCCCGTGGGAAGGGACATTCCAGTGTCCCTGGAGGCTCACCCTGCCCCGCGCAGGACACGGGGACACTGCTACTTTACCGGTGGCAGCCGCCCTCGCGACAGTCCCCGCGCCGCCACCCGCCGTTGGGGCTGGGACAACGGCGAGCCAACCGCCGGGCTGGTGGCCGGAGGGCTGGTGGCACCCGGGGCTGGCACGGTGGTGGCACCCCGTCGGTGACAAACCTGCCGCCATCCCCGATGGCAGCACCTCGGGGGTGGCACTGTGGTGGCACTCCCCGGTGACAGCTCCGTCGCCGGTGCCAGCGCTCCGTGGCCATGCTGCGGTGCCACGTAGTCGCCGCCCGCATTCCCGGGGCCACCGGCTTCGGTCCCGGTGTCCTGCTGTCCGTCTGCTTCCGAGGTACGGCGGGGCTGGGGACACACCGTGCGTGTGGCCAGTCCCCGGTGTCCCCATCCGAGGTGCCACCACCCCCCCTGTCCCGCACAGGTGTCCCCAGGAGAACGCAGGTGATGCCCGAGGAGCGCAGCCTCACCTGGAATGAGGTGAGGTGGCCCCGGGGTGACCCGTGGTGGCACAGGGACATCGGGTCACCCCCCTGAGCCGCGTCACGCCCCTCAGGAGCTGGTGTGGCCGCTGGACATGTGTCCCCTGAGTGCCACCGACACGCTGGGCCTGCGCCTGCGGCGCGGGGACTGCCCGCTGCCCATGGGGTGAGTGCCACCCCTCACCCACGGCCACCACCTGGCCACGGCCACCCTCACCGCGTCCCCCACTCCCACAGGGACCTGGGTGCCACCACGGTGTCCTTGGACCAGTTGGTGGCCAACCCCAACCTGCCGATGGCCGTCAGGGACATCCCGCTGCTGGACTACCGGGAACGGCCCACGGGGGTGAGCGCCCGCCCCACAGCACCCACAGCACCCACAGCACCCCAGGGTGGCACCGTCCCCGTGTCACCGTCCCTTTGCAGTGCACCGTCACCCTCCGCTGCCACCACGACCCGCACGGCGCTGCTGGAGATGTCCCCATTGTCACCCCCGGGCACGGCCAGGTGGTCCCGGAGGTGGCGGTGACACCCGCCGAGAGGAAAGAGGATTTCCAGGTACGGCACCCACGGGCGCGGGGGCACCCACGGGCGCGGGGGCACCCACGGGTGACGTCCCCTGGCCGTGCCACCCCGCAGGTCCGGGTGAGGGTGGTCAGGGCCCGGCGGCTGCGGGGCAATGACATCCAGGCCGTGGTGAGGGTGCGGATCGGGAGGCAGAAGTTCCGCAGCCGCCGCCGCAGCGGGAACAACCCCTACTTCAACGAGGTGACACCGCGGAGGGGACAGGGGACACGGGCACGGCGTTGTCACCCGGCCCGCCCTCACTGCCCCTTCTCCGGTCGCAGGTGTTCTGCCAGGATTTCCGCCTGACCCCCGAGCAGCTGGTGGCACTGCCCATCCACATCCAGGTGGGACCGAGAGGTGGCACCGGGGGGACAGGGACAGGGACACGGGGATGGGGACAGAGGGACAGGGATAGGGACACAGGGACAGGGACAGGGATAGGGACACGGGGATGGGGACAGGGACACAGGGACAGGGACACGGGGATGGGGACAGAGGGACAGGGATAGGGACAGAGGGATGGGGACAGAGGGACAGGGATAGGGACACAGAGACAGAGACAGGGTCACAGGGACAGGGACAGGGACAGGGACAGGGACACGGGGATGGGGACAGAGGGACAGGGACAGGAACACGGGGATGGGGACAGAGGGACAGGGATGGGGACACAGGGACAGGGACAGGGATAGGGACACGGGGATGGGGACAGGGACACAGGGACAGGGACACGGGGATGGGGACAGAGGGACAGGGATAGGGACACAGGGACAGGGACAGGGACATGGGGATGGGGACAGAGGGACAGGGATAGGGACACAGGGACAGGGACAGGGATAGGGACACGGGGATGGGGACAGAGGGACAGGGACATAGGGACGGGGACAGGGACAGGGATAGGGACACAGGAACAGAGACACAGGGACAGAGACACAGGGATGGGGACAGGGACAGGGACACAGGGACAGAGACACAGGGACACAGGAATAGGACACAGGGACAGGAGCAGGGACAAAGGGACACAGGGACACAGGGACAGGGACACAGGGACACAGCGACACAGGGACACAGGGACAGGGACACAGGGACACAAGGACAGGGACACAGGGACACAAGGACAGCCGTGTCCCCTTCACTGTCCCAGGTGCTCCATTCACCAAACATTTGCACCAAAGCCGTCATCGGCACCTTCGAGGTGAGGAGTGGGGGAGTGGGATTGGGGTTTGGGATTGGGGTTTGGGGGTTTGGGAATTGGGGATTGGGAGTTGGGGGATTGGGAATGGGGCATTGGGAATGGGGTGTCAGGAGTGGGATTTTGGGAAGGGGTGTCAGAGCACTCCCCGTCCCTTTGCCGTTCCCACAGCTCGACATCGGCACCGTCTACTCTGCCCCAGGTAACGACAGGGTTGGGGTGGCACTGGGATGGCACTGGGGTGACACTGGGGTGGCACTGGGGTGGCACTGGGGTGACACTGGGTGTCACATTTTGAGTGACATTTCACGCCAGCACTGGCCTGGGGTGAAGCCTCATTTTGGGGGAGCACCGTGCGTTTTGGGGAGGTTTTAGGCGGGCGCTGCGGTGCCAGCGGGGTGGCCCCGGTGGCACCGGGGAGGTGACCGGGGTGGCCCCGGTGGCCCCGGGAGGTGACGGCGGTGTCCCCGGCGGGGCAGGGCGCAGCCTGAGCGGGAAGTGGCTGAGCCTGAGGCCACCGCAGCACCTCCAGGGCCGCTCGCAGGGTTTGCTGCAGGTCAGCCTGGCCGTGCGCCGCGCCGGCGAGCGCGCCCCGGTGAGTGCCACCCCCCCCTGCGCCCCAAAATCCATCCTGGGGGTCCCCACGGTGTCACCTCCCCCCTCCAGGAGCAGCAGGTGCCGGCAGGGGACGAGGACGTGGAGGCCAACCTGCTGCGGCCACCGGCCTGCGCCACCACCCTGCAGATCCGCGTGTTCCGCGGCGAGGACCTGCCGCGGGGTGGGGACAGGGGGTGTGGCGTGGGGACATCGGGGATTGGCACGGGGACACCGGGGATTGGGGTGGGGACACCGGGGATCGGGGTGGGGACACCGGGGATTGGGGTGGGGACACGGGGATTGGCGTGGGAACACGGGGATTGGGGTGGGGACACCGGGGATCGGGGTGGGGACACCGGGGATTGGCGTGGGGACACCAGGGAATAGGGGTGGGGACATCGGGAATTGGGGTTTAGGGACATCGGGAATTGGGTTGGGGGCACCGGGGACTGGCACGGGGACATCGGGAATTGGGGTTTGGGTTGGGGACATCGGGAACTGGAGTGGGGACATCGGGGATTGGGTTGGGGACATCGGGAATTGAGGTGGGGACATCGGGAACTGGAGTGGGGACATCGGGAATTGGGTTGGGGACATCGGGAATTGGGGTGGGGACATCGGGAATTGGGTTGGGGACATCGGGAACTGGAGTGGGGACATCGGGAATTGGGGTTGGGACATCGGGAATTGGGTTGGGGACACCGGGGATTGGGGTGGGGACACCGGGGATTGGCACGGGGACATCGGGAATTGGGTTTGGGACATCGGGAATTGGGGTTTGGGGACATCGGGAATTGGGTTGGGGACATCGGGAATTGGGTTGGGGGACACCGGGGATTGGGGTGGGGACACGGGGATTGGCACAGGGACACCGGGGATTGGGGTGGGGACACCAGGAATTAGCGTGGGGACACCAGGAATTAGCGTAGGGACACCATGGGGACACCGAGGACTGGCACGGGGACACCGGGGGTTGGGGTGGGGACATCGGGAATTAGGGTGGGGACATCGGGAACTGGGGTGGGGACATCGGGAATTGGGTTGGGGGCATCGGGAATTGGGTTGGGGACATCGGGAATTGGGGTTGGGACATCGGGAATTGGAGTGGGGACATCGGGAATTGGGGTTGGGGACACTGAGGAATTGGGTGGGGATACCGGGAACTGGGGTGAAGGGTGGATTTGGGGACCCCCTGATTGCCGCATGGTGGTGGCACCGGGAATTTGGGGTGGGGGTGGCTTTGGGGACCCCCCAAAAAGCCGCTGCTCGCCATCCCCGCGCAGCGGAGGCGCCGTGGCCGCGCGTGGGCCGCCCCACGGGCCCCCCGAAGGTGTCGGTGCGGGTCAGCTTTGCGGGCAGGACGGTGAGCGGGGAATTTGGGGTGCCGGGCAGGGATTTTGGGGTGCCCCCCGATCCTTTCGGGGGCTCACGGCTGTCCCACCGCAGCTCTGCACCCGCGGGGTGCCCACGGACACCAGCCCCGAGTGGAACGAGGTTTTGTTCTTCCCCCTGCGGGTGAGGAGCGGCCCCGACCCCAAACAGGGGCACCCCAAAAATTGGGGGGGACCCCCCATTTCCACAGCCACACTCGGCGCTGTTCTGTCCCCGCAGCTGCCCCCCATCTGTGACGAGATCGTGCTGGAAATCCTGCGTGGGTGAGCGGGGGGCGCCGCGTGGGTTTGGGGACACCCCCGGGTTTGGGGACACCCCCCGGGTTTGGGGACACCCCCCGGGTTTGGGGGACACCCCTCGGGTTTGGGGACACCCCTCGGGTTTGGGGACACCCCTCGGGTTTGGGGACATCCTGCGGGTTTGGGGGACACCCCTCGGGTTTGGGGGACATCCCCCGGGTTTGGGGGACACCCCTCGGTTTTGGGGACCCCCCCCCACATTCGGGGGACCTCTGCCCATGCCCCCCCAGGTCCTGCCAGACCAAAGCCATCGGCAGGGCCACCCTGAGGCTGTCCCAAATCTCCCGGGACCCCGACGAGCTGGAGGGTGAGCGGAGCTGTCCCTTTTTTGGGGTCCCCTTTACCAGACCCACCCCGAACCCCATTTCTGTGCCCCCAGAGGGGACCCCCGGGTTCTTCCCCTCCTTCGGGCCCAGTTTCCTGCCCTTCTACGGCCCCCGGCCCGACGCTGCCCGGGTAGGAGCGGGGTTGGGGGGAAATGGGGTTTTTGGGGTGGAAACGGGACATTTAGGGGCAAAGGAAGGATTTTGGGGGGCCATGGGATGTTTGGGGTGAGAACGGGGCAGTGGAGGAGGAAATAGGGGGTTTGGGGGGGGAATGGGATCCTGGGGTTGTCAGTGGGGTTTGGGGAATGGGAAAGGGAATTTGGGGTGTTTGCAAGGCCAGTGGGGCTTTTGGGGTGAAATGGGATGGAGGGAATGGAGAATGGGGTGTAAATGGGATGGGAAATGGAGAACGAAATTTGAGGGGAAAATGAGGAATTGCTGGGGGACACGCGGGACTTTAGGGGACAATGGGACATTTGGGGTGAAAATGAGATGGGGGAAACAGAATGGGGTATTTAGGGGAAAACAGGAATTTTTAGGGCAGGACTTTGGGGGACAATGGGACATTTGGGCTGTAAATGGGATGGGGGAAAGGGAATTTGAGGGAAAAATGAGGAATTGCTGGGGGACACGCGGGACTTTAGGGGCCAATGGGACATTTGGGGTGCCCACAGGACACCCCACAGCCCGAGCTCGTTCCCCAGGACTCGGGGCCGGTTTACCGGGGCCGGCTGCTGCTGGAGCTCTGCACCCACGCGGGGACTGTGCCCCGGTGCCAGCGGGACGCCGTGGCCGCCGTGGACGCCGAGCGGGCGCAGGTGGGGACACGGGGACACGGGGACACGGGGCTGGTGGCACCCGCGGGGCCAGCTGAGCGTTTTTGGGGTGTCCCCTCCCCGCAGAGCCGCCCGCCCCGCTGCCAGCTGGGGCTCTGTGGGGTTTTCTACTCGGGCACCGCCGTGCCAGGCGGCCCCGAGGGGCTGAGCCTGGAGCTGGGCATCGGTGCCACCGCGGCCGCCACCGCGCCGGTCCCGCCCGCCTTCGACGGTGAGCGGGGACAGCACCGGGCACCGGGGGTAACGGGGGTACTGGGGTACCGGGGGCACCGGGGGTACCGGGGACATCGGGGGTAAAGGGGGTACCGGGGGTATTGGGGGTATTGGGGGTACCGGGGGGCACCGGGGGTATTGGGGGTACCGGGGTACCGGGGGTACCGGGAGTACCGGGGGTACCGGGGTACCGGGGGGTAAAGGGGGTACCGGGGGTACCGGGGGGTAAAGGGGGTACCGGGGGTATTGGGGGTATCGGGGGTACCGGCACGTGTGGGAGGGACTGGGAGGTTTTTGGGGTAAATTGGGGTGTTTTGGGGTGTTTGGGTTGAATTTGGGGTGATTTGGGGTGTATTTGGGGTGATTTTGGGGTGTTTTGGGATGTTTTTGGGTTGAATTTGGTGTGATTTGGTGTGTCTTTGGAGTGATTTTGGGGTGATTTTGGGGTGATTTTGGGTGTCTTTGGAGTGATTTTGGGGAGTTTTGGGATGTTTTTGGGGTGATTTGGGGTGTCTTTGGGGTGTTTGGGTTGAATTGGGGGTGTTTTGGGGTGTCTTTGGAGTGATTTGGGGTATCTTTGGAGTGATTTGGGGTGTTTTGGGGTGTCTTTGGGGTGATTCTGGGGTGTCTTTGGAGTTATTTTGGGGTGTTTTGGGATGTTTTTGGGGTGATTTTGGGGTGTTTGAGTTGAATTTGGGGTGATTTTGGGTGTCTTTGGAGTGATTTTGGGGTGCTTTTGGGGTGATTCTGGGGTGAATTTGGGGTGTCTTTGGGGTGATTTTGGGGTGTTTTGGGATGTTTTTGGGGTGATTCCGGGGTCATTTTGGGATATTTTGGGGTGTTGGGGACACGGCGCTGGGGACACGGATTGGGGTCACCCGGCTGATGTCACCTCGGACCTGGGGACAATTTGGGGATCTCGGATGACCCCGTGCCACCTCCCGGGAAGCCACAGCCGCCCCTCAGAGCGCGGCCGGGTCCGTCCTGATCCCGAATTTCCCAATTTTCCCGATTTTCCTGATTTCCCGGATTTAGGGAACTTCTACCACCACCTGCCCTGGTTTGGGGACAAACCCGTGGTCGCTGTCACCTCACAGTGGGAGGACACCGGACACCGCTGGGACAGCCTGAACCTGCTGCGAGCCCTGTGCCAGCGCCTGGTGAGACCCCAAATCCCGCTGGGAGTGACCCCAAACCCGGCTGGGATTGATCCTAAATCCCGCTGGGAGTGACCCTAAATCCCGCTGGGATTGATCCTAAATCCCGCTGGGGGCGACCCCAAATCCGACTGGGAGTGATCCTAAATCCGGGTGGGGGCGACCCCAAATCCGACTGGGAGTGACCCTAAATCTGGGTGGGGGTGACCCCAAATCCAGGTGGGAGTGATCCCAAATCCTGCTGGGAGTGACCCTAAATCCGGGTGGGAGTGACCCCAAATCCGGCTGGGATTGATCCTAAATCCGGCTGGGAGTGACCCCAAATCCGGGTGGGAATGATCCCAAATCCCGCTGGGAGTGACCCCAAATCTGGCTGGGACTGACCCCAAATACGGCTGGGATTGATCCTAAATCCGGCTGGGAGTGACCCCAAATCCCGCTGGGACTGACCCCAAATACGGCTGGGATTGATCCCAAACCTGGGTGGGAATGGTTGGGGGTGGGATTGACCCCAAATCCATCTGGGATGGGGTGGGATGGATCCCAAACCTGGGTGGGAATGGTTTGGGGGTGGGGTTGACCCCAAATCCCTTTGGGGCAGGAGGGGAACCTGGCCGAGCTGCGGGGACACCGCGGGGACACCGCGAGGGACGTGGGGACGAAGCTGCTGCGGGAACTGGGGCAGGACTGCGAGTGAGTGACCCCAAATCCCCAAATCGGGGACTGGGGCCGGGGATCCCAGTCTGGGGGTTACTATGGGGCTGGCAGCCGGGCTTTGGGGGATTTGGGACGCAGCGGGTCACTCCGGAGGGGAATTTGGGGTGGAAATGGGATGAGGGGGACGTGGGGTGTTTGGGGGGGCCCTGTGTGGTTTGGGGTGATTTTGGGGGGATTTTGGGGTGATTTTGGGCTGTTTTGGGCCCTGCAGGGCCACTCTGGACTGGGGTGACCCTGGGGTGATTTTGGGATGTTTTTGGGGTAATTTTGGGGCGATATGGGATGTCTTTGGGGTGCTGCAGGGCCACCTTGGACTGGGGTGGTTTGGGGGTGATCCTGGGATGGTTTTGGGGTGATTTTGGGCTTTTTTGGGGTGCTGTGGGGACTCCCTGGACTGGGGTGGTTTGGGGGAGATTATGGGGTGTTTTTGGGGTGATTTGGGGCTGTTTTGGGCGCTGCAGGGCCGCCTTGGACTGGGATGGTTTGGGGGTGATCCTGGGATGGTTTTGGGGTGATTTTGGGGCGCTGCAGAGCCACCTTGGACTGGGATGGTTTGGGGGCGATTCTGGGGTGTTTTTGGGGTGATTTGGGGCTGTTTTGGGCTCTGCAGGGCCGCCCTGCGCTGCCTGGAGGAGCAGCCCGCCCTGACCGCCCTGGACCAGCAGCTCCGCAGCTGCCGCCGCCTCCTCCTGCGGCGGCTGCGGGCCGAGGCCGGGGCCGGTGAGCGGCACGGTGACACTCTGGCGACAGCGGCCCGGGGGTGGCTGCGACGCGCGGCCGCGCTGGCCGTGGAGGTGACACCCAAAAACCCCAAAATGCACAAACCCAAACCCCGCCGGGCTGAGCTTGGGGCAGTTCCCGTGGCCGCTCTCACACCGCTGTCCCCCTGTCCCCGTGTCCCCGTGTCCCCGCAGCCCCAGGCCGGTGTCCCCGACGTGCAGCTGTGGCTGCTGCGGGGCCACCTCCGGGTGGCCTCGGCCCGGGTGGCCGCCACCGATGTCCTGTACTCGCCGCGCTGCCCCGGCGCCTGCGGCCGCTTCTGCGGGAGGATCGTCACCCTGTTCCTGGTGGGACCCCGCTGTCCCCTGCTGTCCCTCCGTGTCCCCTGCTGTCCCTCCATGTCCCCTGCTGTCCCTCCGTGTCCCCTGGTGTCCCCTGCTGTCCCTCCGTGTCCCCTGGTGTCCCTCCGTGTCCCCTTGGTGTCCCTCCATCTCTCCTTCATGGCCCCCTGGTGTCCCTCCGTGTCCCCTTGGTGTCCCTCCGTGTCCCCTGGTGTCCCTCCGTGTCCCCTTGGTGTCCCTCCATCTCTCCTTCATGTCCCCCTGCTGTCCCTCCGTGTCCCCTTGGTGTCCCTCCGTGTCCCCTGCTGTTCCTCCGTGTCCCCTTCGTGTCCCTCCATGTCTCCTTCATGTCCCGTTGGTGTCCCTCCCTGTCCCCCTTCCTCACTGCTCCATGTCCCCCTCCATGTCCCTTCCATGTCCCTTCCATGTCCTCTCCATGTCCCCCTTCATTTCCCCCTCCATGTCCCGTCTCTGTCCCCTCGCTATCCCCCATCTGTCCCCTCTCTGTCCCCTCTCTCTCCCCTCGCTGTCCCCTCGCTGTCCCCTCGCTGTCCCCTCTCTGTCCCCTGTCTCTCCCCTCTCTCTCCCCTCTCTGTCCCCTCCCTGTCCCCTCTCTGTCCCCTCTCGGTGACCCTGTCCCGCAGGGCTGTGGGCACCGCCCGCCGCAGGTTCGGGTCCGGCTGTGGCTCGGGCGGGTGACCGAGAGCGGAGAAGTGTCCCGGCTGCTGGCGGGGAGGCTGCGCTTCTACAGCGAGACGGTGGGGACAGCAGGGGACAGCTGGGGGACAACATGGGGACAGGGGAGGGGACAGCAGCCCCCCGTGTCCCCTAATGCCACCCCGTGTCCCCGCAGTACGAGGAGCAGCCGCGGCTCTGGGGAAAATGGGGGTCCCGGCGGCTCCGGGGGCTCCCCGCGTTCTGCGGCGGCTCCGGCCGGGCCGCGCCCCCCCGGGACGAGCTGCGGCCCCCCCGGGACGAGCTGCGACCCCCCCGGGGCTGGCGCTGGGACGGGCCCTGGAGCGTGGAGCGGCCGCGGCGGTGAGCGAGGGGACAGCCACCCTGTCCCCGTGTCCCTGCGGGGCGGGCGGGGCCAGCAGGGTGTCCCCCGGTGTCCCTCGGTGTCCCCCGGTGTCCCTCGGTGTCCCCCGGTGCCACCAGCCCTGTCCCCCGGTGTCCCCTGGTGTCCCCAGGCTGCGGGCCGAGGGCAGAGCGGTACCGGACGAGCTGTACGAGAACCAGAGCCGCGAGCCCGGCGGGGACTGGGCCAGCACGGCCACCACGGACACCGTGAGTGGGGACAGCGTGGGGACAGCGCGGGGACAGCGCGGGGACAGCGTGGGTGACAGCGCGGGGACAGCGCGGGGACAGCGTGGGGGACAGCGCGGGGACAGCGCGGGGACAGCGCGGGGACAGCGCGGGTGACCGCGGAGTGTCGCGGCTCAGCTCTCGGCTGCTGTCGCAGGCGGGAGTGGCGGTGCCACCGAAGGAGGAGGTGGCGTGTCCCCAGGGCTGGCGCGTCACCTGTGACTGGCACGTGGACACGGAGGGGACCGAGGATGAGGACGGTGAGGGGTGACAGGGACGGGGGTGACAGGGACGGGGGTGGCAGGGAGGAGGGGATGGAGACGCGGTGACAGGGACACGGTGACAGGGAGGAGGGGATGGAGGCGCGGTGACAGGGACACGGTGGCAGGCCCGGGTGGCACGGGGGACGCTGAGCCGCCCCTGCAGGTTGGCAGTACGCGGTGGGCACGGAGGATGGCAGCGCCCCGGCAGCCTGGCACGGAGAGGGACAGCAGTGTCACACCCTCCGGCGGCGGCGCTGGGTGCGGATCCGCCACAGCGACAGCGACAGCGACAGCGGGGCACAGGAGCGCGACACGGACACACGCGGCACCCTGGTGACACGCGGGGACAGGGATGGGGGTGACAGGGTGGGGGTGATGGGGGTGACAGGGTGGGGGTGACAGAGGTGGGGATGGCAGGATGGGGATGGCAGGATGGGGATGATGGGGGTGACACGGGTGGGGGTGACAGGGATGGGGGTGATGGGCCGATGATGACAGGGAAGGGGGCGATGGGAATGAGGGTGGCAATCCCCGTGTCCTGCTGTCCCCCGTGTCCCGTTGTCCCCCGTGTCCCGCTGTCCCCCGTGTCCCTGTGACCCCGTGTCCCTCTGTCCCCCGTGTCCCGCTGTCCCCGTGTCCCTGTGAGCCCGTGTCCCGCTGTCCCCATGTCCCGCTGTCCCTGTGTCCCTGTGTCCCCATGTCCCGCTGTCCCTGTGTCCCACTGTCCCCATGTCCCCCTGTCCCCGTGTCCCCGCAGGACCCCGAGGAGCTGTGGGAGGACGAGCCGTGGCAGCCCGAGTGTTTCTGGGGCTGCACCTTCCGCCCCCCGGTCCCGGCCGGTCCCCGGTGCCGCCGGCGGCGCTGGCAGCGCGGCCTGGTGCCCGCCGAGCCCGCGGCCGTGGCACCGCTCTTCCTGCTCCAGGGAGCCCCGGTAGGAACGGGAGGCACCGGTAGGAACGGGAGGGACCGGGGGGAGATGGATGGATGGGAGGTGTGGAATGATGAAGGATGGAGCCCCGGGAGCGGGGCCGTGCCGGGACAGCGGCACACGGGACAAGGGACAGGGGACAGCCGGGTCCCCCCCGCCCAGCCCGGTCCTCTCCCAGGACACCGAGGAACCGGCCCGGGACAATCCCGCTGTGGCCCCGCAGCTGCCGGGGGGCTCCGCCCTGACCCCCCGTCAGGAGCCGCCGCTCTTCATCCTCTGCACCTTCCAACGTGAGCCCGGCGGCCGGGAGTGACCGGGAGGGACCGGGAGGGACCGGGAATGACCGGGGAGGGGTCGGGAGTGACCGGGGAGGGACCGGGGAGTGACCGGGAGGGACCGGGAGGGGCCGGGAGGGATCGGGGAGGGGCCGGGAGTGACCGGGCAGGGATCGGGAGTGACCGGGGAGGGACCGGGAGTGCCCGGGAATGACCGGGAGGGGTCGGGAGTGCCCGGGGAGGGGCCGGGGAGGAACCGGGGAGGGACCGGGGAGGGACCGGGGAGGGACCGGGAATGACCGGGAGGGGTCGGGAGTGACCGGGAATGACCGGGGAAGGACCGGGGAGGGACCGGGAGTGCCCGGGGAGGGACCGGCAGTGCCCGGGGCTCGCAGCCCCCCTGACCCCCGGCTGTCCCCAGGGCCCGGCCGCTTCCAGCTCCGCTGTTACATCTTCCAGGCGCTGGATCTGGCGCCCGGCAGCTCCAGCACCTCCATAGGTGGGACCCCCACCCCGGGGCGCCCCCGGGCCCGCTGCGCCCCGCCGGCAGCGCAGGGCGGTGACGGTGTCGCTGTCCCCAGATGCCACCGCGCAGGTGTCGTTCGTGTCGCGGAGCCAGAGCACGCGGGCGGTGCGCGGGGCGCAGGAGCCGCGCTGGGAGCAGACGCTGCTCTTCCCCCGGGTGCCGCTCTTCGGGGACCCCCGGAGCGTCCGGGAGGACCCCCCCGCCGTGCTGGTGGAGGTGTGGGACCGGCGGGGACAGGTACGGGGGGCGGCGGGGACAGGTACGGGGAGTGGCGGGCCCGGGGCGAGGCGTGGGGAGGGGACACGGAGGGAGGGAGGGATGGAGGGATGGAGGGAGGGATGGACGAGGAGTGGGACGTGGGATAAAAAAGGAGATGAGGGATGGGAGGATGGAGCAGTGTGGAGAGGGAGGGAGGGAGGAGAGAGGGAAGGATGGGAGCAGAGGGAAGGATGGACGGGACGGATGGAGGGATGGAGGGACAGGGATGGAGGGACAGGGATCAGGGATGGAGGGACAGGGATCAGGGACAGAAGGACACGGATCAGGGATGGAAAGGTGGTGGTGTCAGGGATGGAGGGACACAGATAAGGGATGGAAGGGTGGTGGTGTCAGCGATGGAAGGACAGGGATCAGGGATTGAGGGACAGGGATCAGAGATGGAAGGGTGGCTGTGTCAGGGATGGAGGGACACGGATCAGCGATGGAAGGACGGCGCTGCCAGCGATGGAAGGACAGGACCAGCCCCGGCTGGGCCAGCCCCGCGCTCAGGCCGTGCCTCGCAGGGCCCCGCGCTGTTCCTGGGCCGCTGCGTGTGCTCCCCGCGGGTCTGGCTGGACGCGGCGCTCCGGGAGCCGCCCCCGCTCCAGCCCCGGGCGCTGCGGGGCCCGCGGGGCGCGGCCGGGGAGCTGCTGGCGGCCTTCGAGCTGCTGCAGGAGCCCGAGGTGAGGCGGGCACGGGGGTGACACTGCGGGGCTGCGCAGCCGGGACCCGGTGGCATTGTCGCCGTGTCCCCCCCACGGCAGGACGGGTCCCCGGTTCCGCTCAGCCCCCCGCCCCTGAGCAAGGACGGGTTCGGGATCCCCCCGGAGCTGCGGCCGCGCCTGCAGAGGGTGGCACTGGAGGTGGGGACAGCGCGGGGACAGCGCGGGGACAGCGCGGGGAGAGGGGAATGGGATGGAGGCGGGGCTGGGGTCGGGACGGGGATGGGACAGGAACGGGACAGGGATAGAGGTGGGATGGGGACAGGGATGGGACAGGGATGGGACAGGGATTGGCACAGGGATAAAGGTGGGATGGGGACAGGGATAAAGGTGGGGTGGGCACAGGAATGGGGACAGGACTGGGACACGGATAAAGGTGGGATGGGGACAGGGATGGGGACAGGGACAGGGGATGGGGACGGGACAGGGACAAGAACAGGAGCCAAGACGCGCGCGGGCACAGGGCGGAGGCACAGCCAGCCCAGGGGTGGGGACAGGGACACGGGAGGTGACAATCCCTTCAGCCAGCGCCCCACGGGTGACAGAGCCGCGTGTCCCGCAGGTGCTGGCCTGGGGGCTGCGGGGGCTGCGCGGGGCCGTGCGGGAGCCGCGGCTGGAGCTGCGCTGGGGGGAGCAGAGCCTGTGGACCCCCCCGATCCGGGACATGGCCACCAACCCCAACTTCCCCAGCAGCGCCCTGCTGCTCACCCTGGTGAGGGCCGGGATGTCCCCACGGGTGTCCGGGATGTCCCACGGGTGTCGGGGCTGTCCCCACGTGTGACCGGGCTGTCCCCCAGGCTGTCCCTGAGTGTGTCCGGGCTGTCCCTGTGTGTGACCGGGCTGTCCCCGCAGGCTGTCCCCGAGGATGAGCGCTTGGTGCCGCCCATCCGCCTGCGGCTCTGGGACCGGGCGGGCACCGAGCGGCGGCGGCTGCTGGGCCAGGCCCGGGTCGGGGACCTGGGCCGGTACCGGTGTCCCCCGCCCCGCCCGGAGCCACTGCTGGGCTCCGGCGATGGCTGTCACACGGTTGTGTCAATGCCAGGTACTGCCCGTGCCACCCCTGCCATTCCCTGATGCCACCTGTCCCATCCCTGCCATTCCCTGGTGCCACCCGTCCCATCCCTGCCTCACCCTTTGTAACCCCTGCCCATGCCAAGTGTCGCCAGCCCATCCTCCATGTCCCCAGCCCGTCCCCACTGTCCCCAGCCCTATCCCTGCCCCGTCCCCCGTGTCCCCACCCCATCCTCCGTGTCCCCAGCCCGTCCCTGGTGTCCCCAGCCCATCCCCCGTGTCCCCAGCCCGTCCCGGTGACCCCTGCCCTATCCCTGCCCCACCCCTGGTGTCCCCAGCCCATCCCCGGTGTCCCCACCCCATCCCCGGTGTCCCCATCCCTATCCCTGCCCCATCCCCGCTGTCCCCAGCCCATCCCGCTGTCCCCATCCTGTCCCCCATGTCCCCTCCTCACCCCGCTGTCCCTGTGCCCCCAGAGGAGCTGGAGCCCCTTTCCGTGCCCGTCCCCTCCAGCCCCTGCAGCCGCTGGTGGTCCCGGTTCCTGGCGGGGGCTCAGGTGAGTGCCCCCGGCCGCCTGGCACAGCCCTGGCACAGCCCTGGCACCGCTGGGCCCTGGCACAGCCCTGGCACCAGCCCTGGCACCGCTGGGCCCTGGCACCGCCCTGCCTGTGCCTCAGTTTCCCCCGAGCCCTTCGCTCCCCACAGGATCTGCTCGGCCGCCTCAGGAACAAGTGGGCTGAGGACCAGGTGGGCACAGGGACGGGCACAGGTGGCACCCGGGGTGGCACCAGCGCCAGCTGTGCCCACCCGCTGCTCCCCGCCAGGAGGAGGAAGAGGAGGAGTACGAAGGGGAGGAGCAGAGGGACTGGTGGAGCAAATTCTACGCGTCCATGGAGGACAAAAACCCCAAATCTCTGAGGGGAAACAACAGGGACAGGCTGAGGGTGAGGCAGAGCCTGGGGACAGGGACAGGGACAGGGACAGGGATGGGACAGGGACAGGGACAGGCTGAGGGTGAGGCAGAGCCTGGGGACAGGGACAGGGACAGGGACAGGGACAGGGACAGGGACAGGGACAGGGACAGGGTGAGGCAGAGCCTGGGGCTGCCCTGGCACCGGACAGGGACAGGGACAGGGTGGGGACAGAGCTGAGGGGACAGGGATGGGGATGAAGCTGGGGAGGGGACAAGGCTGAGGATGAGGAGGGAATGGGGACAGGGATGAGGATGAGGAGGCCATGGGGACAGGGATGAGGATGAGGATGGGGAGGGCATGGGGACAGGGATGACGATGAAGCTGGGGAGGGGACAGGGATGAGGATGAGGAGGGCATGGGCACAGGGATGAGGATGAGGAGGGAATGAGGACAGAGATGAGGATGAGGAGGCCATGGGGACAGGGATGAGGATGAGGAGGCCATGGGGACAGGGATGAGGATGAGGATGAGGAGGCCATGGGGACAGGATGAAGAAGGGCCGGGGCCATGCTGAGCACAGCCCCAGGACGGGCCCGGCCCCGCAGATTTACAGCTCCGAGCTGGAGGCGGTGCCCGAGTTCGAGGGGCTGCAGGACTTCTGCCACTCCTTCCCCCTGTGCCAACCCGGCCGTGCCCCCGCGCCCGTGGGCACCTTCAAGGTGGGTGACCCCCACCCTGGGGTGACCCCGGCAGCGGGGCGGGACCCCGGGGGGCACCTCGGGGGTCTCTCAGGGGCTTTTCCGTATCTACCCCGTGCCCGAGGAGGCCGGAGCGGCCCCGGCCCCGCGCTGCTTCCAGCGGCTGCCGCCCCGCCAGCCGCAGCCCTGCCTGGTGCGCGTCTACATCGTGCGGGCCTTCGAGCTGTCCCCCCGCGATGTCACCGGCCTGGTAGGGACAGCGGGGACCCGCGGGGCCGGCCGGGGCGGGCGGTGTCACCGACGTGTCCCCTCCGTGCCCCAGAGCGATCCCTACGTGCGGGTGGCGCTGGGCAAGAAGACGTTGGGACAGCGGGACCAGTACGTGCCCAACACGCTGGAGCCCGTCTTTGGCAGGTGCGGCGGGGCCCTGGCACTGCCACCCTGGGACGGGTGGCACTCTCACCCCCGGGGTGGGTGGCCCTCGGCGGTGTCACTCCCGGGGGGCAATAGGGAGGCTCATCCCGGTGGCAGCGTGGCCCTGTGCCAGCCTGGCCCGGTGCCACCGGATCGCCAATCCCTGTGCTGGTGTGCCACCACACCCCTGTGACATTGCCGGTGTCACCACCTGTCCCATTCCCTGTCCTGCCATGTCCCTGTGCCATCCCCTGTCCCATTCCCAGTGTCCCCAGCTGTGCCATTCCCTGTCCTGCCATGTCCCTGTGCCATTCCCTGTGCCATTCCCTGTCCCGCCGTGTCCCTGTGTCCCCAGCTGTCCCATCCCCTGTCCCATCCCCTGTCCTATTCCCAGTGTCCCCAGCTGTCCCATTCCCTGTCCTGCCATGTCCCTGTGCCATCCCCTGTCCCGTTCCCTGTCCCCGTGTGTCCCTGTGTCCCCGCGTGTCCCTGTGTCCCCAGCTCCCCTGTCCCCAGGTCCCCTGTCCCCGCGTGTCCCTGTCCCCGCGTGTCCCTGTGTCCCCAGCTCCCCTGTCCCCGCGTGTCCCCGTCCCCGCGTGTCCCTGTCCCCGCGTGTCCCTGTGTCCCCAGCTCCCCTGTCCCCGCGTGTCCCTGTCCCCGCGTGTCCCTGTGTCCCCAGCTCCCCTGTCCCCACGTGTCCCTGTCCCCGCGTGTCCCTGTCCCCGCGTGTCCCTGTGTCCCCAGCTCCCCTGTCCCCGCGTGTCCCTGTCCCCACGTGTCCCCGTCCCCGCGTGTCCCCATCCCCGCGTGTCCCTGTGTCCCCGGCTGACCCCCTGCCGCCCCAGGATGTTCGAGCTGAGCGCCACCATCCCCCTGGAGAAGGACCTGCGGGTGACAATCCTGGACCGCGACAAAGTGCCCCCGGACCAGGAGATCGGCAGCACCACCATCGACCTGGAGAACCGGCTGCTGGCACCGTGCCGCGCCCACTGCGGGCTGCCCACGCGGTACCGCGCGTGCGTGTCCCGGCCGGCACCGGGGACACGGGGAGGGACACGGGAAAGGGACACGGGACACGGGGGGGGACACGGGGATGGACACGGGGATGGACACGGGAAAGGGACACGGGAGAGGGACACGGGGAGGGACACGGGGATGGACACGGGGGGGGGGACAGGGGGCACGGGGGGGGACACGAGAAAGGGACACAGGAGGGGACACGGGGCACGGGAGGGGACACGGGGATGGACACGGGGCACCGGGAGGGACACGGGAGGGGACACGGGAGGGGACACGGGGCACCGGGAGGGACACGGGGCACGGGGAGGGACACGGGGATGGACACAGGGAAGGGACACGGGAGAGGGACACAGAAGGTGGGACAGGGAAGGGACACGGGGGGCACAGGAGGGTCGGGGGCACAGGAGATGGCACGGAGCGGGCACAGAGAAAGTTGGGACCCGAGGAGGGGCAGGATGGGAGTCACAGGAGGATTGGGGGGCACAGGACGGTCGGGGAGCACAGGAGGGTTGGGGGGCACAGGGGGTGGCACGGAGCGGGCACAGAGGGCCGGGGGCGGGCACGGGGGTCGCTGCCAGCCCCGGTGCCACCGGCCTGTCCCCAGCGCGGGTCCCTCATGCTGGCGGGACCAGCTGTGCCCCAGCCGGGCCCTGGAGCTCCTGGCGGGCACCCGGGGGCTGCCCCCGCCCCGCTACAGCCGCGGGGGCACCGCCCTGAGCCTGGGCGGGCACCGCTTCGAGCTGTGCCACTTCGGTGAGGGCAGCGGGGGGCTGGGGGGGTTTGGGGGGATTTGGGGGGGTTTGGGGGGTCTGGGGGGGTTTGGGTGGGTCTGGAGGGGTTTGGAGGGCCTGGGTGGGTCTGGGGGTGTCTGGGGGGGTTTGGGGGGATCCTGGGGAGGGTTTGGGGGGGTTGGGGAACCTGGGGAGAGTCTTGGGGGGTTTGGGGGGTCTGGGGGATGTTTGGGTGGGTCTGGAGGGGGGTTGGGGGGTCTGGGGTGGGTCTGGGGGGAAGTTTGGGGAGGTTTGGGGGGATTTGGGGGGGTTTGGGGGGGTTTGGGGTGTTTGGGGGGTTTGGGTGGGTCCGGTGGGTAAATTGGGGTGTCTGGGTGGGTCTGGGGGGTGAATTGGGGTGTTTGGGTGGGTCTGGGGGGGGTTTAGATGGTCTGGGTGGGTCTGGGGAGTAAATTGGGGTGTCTGGGTGGGTCTGGGGGGGTCTGGGGGGGTAAATTGGGGTGTCTGGGTAGGTCTGGGGGGTCGCTGACAGGCGGGTGACAGTCGGTCGGTGTCACAGAACGGGGCCACCCCCCGATGCCACACTCGGGGTCCCCCCGGGAGCGTCTGGCCCTGCACGTGCTGAACCTCTGCGGGCTCGTCCCGGAGCACCTCGAGACCCGCGGGCTGCGGAGCCACCGCCAGCCCGGCCTGGAGCAGGTGACGGGGACAGGGATGGGGACACTGGGGGACACTGGGGACACTGGGGGACGCTGGGGACACTGGGGCCGGTGCCAGCCAGTCCCGATGTCCCCAGGGTAAGGTGCAGATGTGGGTGGACATTTTCCCCGCCAGCCTCGGGCCCCCCGGGCCCCCCGTGAACATCGACCCCCGCAAGGCCGAGGGGTGAGTGAGGGACAGGGACATCCCGGTGGGGACAGGGCCACCCCCGTGGGGACGGGGCCACCCCCGTGGGGACAGGGCCATCCTGGTGGGGACAGGGCCATCCCGGTGGGGACAGGGCCGCCCCGGAAGGTGACACGTCGCTGTCCCCTCCCGAGGTACGAGCTGCGCTGCGTCGTGTGGAACGTGCGGGACACGGACCTTGGGGACATCAACCTGCTGGGCCAGCGCATGAGTGACATCTACGTGTCCGGGTGTGTCCCCATCGTGTCACCCCCCAGCACGTGTCCTGCTCATCTCAGAGCCCCTGGCGGGTCCTTTGTCACCCCGGGGTCCCCATCCCCAGGGTCCCTTGTCACCCCAGGGTGTCCCCATCCGGAGTGGTGACAGCGGTGTCCCCTGGGGGTGGCACGGCGGTGACAGCGCTGTCCCCGCAGGTGGCTGGATGGGATGGGACGGGTGCAGCGGTGACAGCGGTGTCCCCTGGGGGGTGGCACAGCGGTGACAGCTCTGTCCCCGCAGGTGGCTGGACGGGCTCCCCGAGCAGCGGCAGCGCACCGACATCCATTATCGCTCCCTGGACGGCAGCGGCGCCTTCAACTGGCGCTTCGTGTTCCCCTTCGAGTTCCTGGCGGCGGAGAAACTGTGCGCCATCCGCCGCAAGGTGCGCGACAGAGAGGGGACAGAGCGGGGATAGAGAGGGGACAGAGTGGGGACAGAGCGGGGACAGCGCGGGGACAGAACTGGGACAGACCGGGGACAGAACGGGGACAGAGCGGGGACAACGCAGGGCCACGTCCCCGGGACAAATCAGGGACACGGTCTGAGGGCATGGCCCGGGGACACGGCCCGGGGACACGGCCCGGGGACACGTCCCGGGGACACGCGCGACCTTGCCGTGTCCCCGGGCAGGAACACGCGTGGAGTTTGGACGAGACGCTGCTGAAGGTGCCACCCAAGCTGATCCTGCAGGTGTGGGACAATGACAAGCTCAAGGCGGACGATCTGCTGGGTGAGAGCCCGCGCCACCTCCGGGGGGACACTGCAGGGGACAGGGGACAGCCAGCGGGGACAGCGAGCGGCCGTGGGTGACAAAGAGTTCCCAGTGGTGATAAGGAGCACCCACGGGTGACAGAGGTGTCCCCTGGCCTGTCCCGCAGGGATCCTGGAGCTGGAGCTGATGCGGCTGCCCCGCCCGGCCCGCAGCGCCCGCCTGTGCCGGGGCTCGCCGGGGGAGCTGCCCTGGCTGTCCCGGGCCTGGCTCTCGGTGTCCCGGTTCTCCGTGTCCCGGTTCTCCCGGTGCCGGTTGTCCCGGTGCTCGCCGCTGAACCTGTTCCGCAGCCGGAGGGCGCGGGGCTGGTGGCCCTGCACCCTGCAGGAGGAGGAGGGCGGCCAGCGGCTCTCGGTAGGTTGGGGACATCCAGGCAGGGGTGGGGACACCGGGGACACATCCAACCGCCCCGGGGTCCCCGCAGGGGAAGCTGGAGCTCAGCCTGGAGCTGCTGACGGCGCGGGAGGCGGAGGAGCGCCCGGTGGGGAAGGGTCGGGAGGAGCCCAACCAGCACCCGCCGCTGCCCGAGCCCCGGTGAGCCCGGGGCGAACCGGGAGGAGCCACCGGGAAGGGGACGAGCGGTGGCTGAGCCCGGTGTCCCCGCAGGCGCCCCAAGTCCTCGTTCCTGTGGCTGCGGTCCCCGTTGAGCCTCGTCCGTCACGGAGTCCCGCGGCGTTACCGGCTGTGCCTCGGGCTGGGGCTGTTGGTGTTCCTGCTGCTGCTGCTGCTCCGCTCCTTCGTCCCGCTGGCAGCGGCCCCGCAGCGCCCCGGGGTGCCCCCTCAGCCCCCGCAGCGTCCCGGGGTCCCCCCTCAGCCCCCCGTGTCCCCCTAACGCCCCGGACACCCCAAACCCAGCCCAGGACACCCCAAACCCAGCCCCGGACACCCCAAACCCAGCCCAGGACACCCCAAACCCAGCCCAGGACACCCCAAACCCAGCCCCGGACACCCCAAACCCAGCCCAGGACACCCCAAACCCAGCCCCGGACACCCAAAACCCAGCCCAGGACACCCCGAACACCCCAAACCCAGACCCGGACACCCCAAACCCAGCCCCGGACACCCCAAACCCAGCCCAGGACACCTCAAACCCTGCCCAGGACACCCCAAACCCAGCCCCGGATACCCCAAACCCAGCCCAAGACACCCCAAAACCAGCCCCGGACACCCCAAACCCGGCCCCGGACACCCCAAACCCACCCCGGACACCCCAAACCCGGCCCCTGACACCTCAAACCCAGCCCAGGACACCCCAAACCCAGCCCCGGACACCCCAAACCCAGCCCAGGACACCCCAAACCCAGCCCAGGACACCCCAAACTCAGCCCAGGACACCCCAAACCCGGCCCAGGACACCCCAAACCCAGCCCAGGACACCCCAAACCCAGACCAGGACACCCCAAACCCAGCCCCAGAGACCCCTCCCCATGAGGCTGGGACCCCCAAAAATGGGGCTGGGACCCCCAGAGACCCCTCCCCATGGACCCAGGCATGACAAAAAGAGACAAAACTCCAGGAAAACTCTCCTTGGAAAACACCAAAACCTCCCCGGGGGCCACAAAACCCCCTCTGGGGGCCACCAAAATTCCCCCGGGGGCCACTAAAATCCCCCTGGGGGCCACCAAAATCCCCCCGGGGGCCACAAAACCCCCCCCGGGGGCCACCAAAATCCCCCCGGGGGCCACAAAACCCCCTCTGGGGGCCACCAAAATCCCCCCGGGGGCCACCAAAATCCCCCTGGGGGCCACAAAACCCCCTCTGGGGGCCACCAAAACCCCCCTGGTGGCCACCAAAACCCCCCACCCCCGGACTGGCAACCGGGACGTGGCCACCACTGGCCAAAGTGGGGTTCATCTTCTGGACTTTGGTGGCCACAGAACAGCAGAAGTCTGTGCCAGGGAAGGTTCCAGCGCTCCTCAGCCGGGCTGGCACCGTCCTTTGGGGGTCCTTGGCACCCTGGCACGGGTGGCAAGCGGGATGTGGCCACCACTAGCCCAGGTGGGGCTCGTCCAGGGGGTTTCTGGTGGCCACAGCAGCAGAAGTCTGTGCCAGGGAAGGTTCCAGTGCTCCTCAGCTGGGCTGGCACCGTCCCCGTGCCAGGGATTTGGGGGTTCTTGATGCCCTGGCATGGGTGGCAAGTGGCATGTGGCCACCACTAGCCAAAGTGGGGTCATCTTCTGGACTTTGGTGGCCACAGCAGCAGAAGTCTGTGCCAGGGAAGGTTCCAGCACTCCTCAGCTGGGCTGGCACCGTCCCTGTGCCAGGGATTTGGGGCTCAGTGCCGTCCTCACAGCCTGGCACGGGTGGCAACGGGGATGTGGCCACCACTAGCCAAAGTGGGGTTCATCTGCTGGACTTTGGTGGCCACAGGAACAGCAGAAATCTGTGCCAGGGAAGGTTCCAGCGCTCCTCAACTGGGCTGGCACCGTCCCTGTGCCAGGGATTTGGGGCTCCGTGCTATCCTCGCAGCGTGGCACAGGTGACAAGTGGCATGTGGCCACCACTAGCCAAAGTGGGGCTCATCTGCTGGACTTTGGTGGCCACAGGAACAGCAGAAATCTGTCCAGGGAAGGTTCCAGCGCTCCTCAACCAGGCTGGCACCGTCCCGTGGGGTCCCTGGCAGCCTGGCACGGGTGGCAAGTGGCACCATGGGGTCCCTGGCAGCCTGGCACGGGTGGCACCGGGGATGTGGCCAGTGCCAGCCCGGGTCAGTAGAAGTGCTTGCGGCTCTGCTCCTGCCACTTGTTGTAGAGGATGATGCCGATGACGATGGCGAAGACGAAGGCCACCAGCGAGAAGAAGACGATGAGGAACAGGGCCAGGCCGCTCATGGGCTCCAGCGGCGCCTCCACTGCGGGGATTTGGGGTTTTGGGTTTGGGATTTTGGGGTTTGGGGATGAGGGTTTGGGATTTTGGGGTTTGGGATTTTGGGGTTTGGGATTTTGGGGGTTTGGGGTTTGGGGATGAGGAACAGGGCCAGGCCGCTCATGGGCTCCACTGCGGGAACAGGGATTTGGGAATTGGGGTTTTGGGTTTGGGATTTTGGGTTTTGGGGGTTTGGGGTTGGGGATGGGAGTTTGGGGTTTTTTGGGGTTTGGGATTTTGGGAAGTCTGGAGTTTGGGGTTTGGGATTTTGGGGGTTTGGGATTTGGGGACAGGAGTTTGCGATTTGGGAGTTTGGGGTTTGGGATTTTGGAGTTTGGGGATTTGGGGGTTTGGGATTTTGTGGATTTGGGGTTTGCGATCTGGGAACAGGAATTTGGGATTTGGGGATGGGATTTTGGAATTTGGGGCTTTGGGATTTTGGGGATTTGAAGTTTGGGATTTGGGGTTTTGGCTCAGGCTCAGTTTCCCCCCAACCCAGACTCAGGTTCCCCCCAACCCAGACTCAGTTTCCCCCCAAACCCTGCCTCAGTTTCCCCCAAACCCCACTGACTTCCCGGCAGCCTCAGGTTGTCCACCACAGGCAGGAAAACTTCCCGGTCCCGTTTCTCCTCCTCTGGCGTCCGCTCCACCGTCAGCTGGTAGAGCTTCAGCGAGATGATGTCGTGGTTGTCTGCAAAAAAAAAAGGTTTTATTCCCTGTTAGTCCTGTTTTATTCCATGCTCATCCAAAGGTTTTATTAAATCCACCCAGGAATCCCAAATCTACTGGGGAATTCCACCTGGAGCCCCCAAATCCCACACGGAACCCTCAAATCCACGTGGGGGACCCCAAATCAACTGGGGGATCCCATCTAGAGCCCCCCAAATCCACTTGGGAACCCCAAATCCAGTTGAAAATCTCACCTAGAACCCCCAAATCCACTCAGGAATCCCAAATCCACTGGGGAACTCTACCTGGAGGCCCCAAATCCACTCAAGAATCCCACCTGGAGCCCCCAAATGCCACCCAGAACCCCCAATCCCCGTGGGGTCCCCCCGGCCGTACCGGACAGGTCCCCGGTGACCGAGGACGTGCCGAAGTAGTAGCCGCGGGGCAGGCGCACGCCGGGCACGTCGATGCAGTCCCGCCACTCGTGCTTGCCGTCGATGTCGATCAGCACCTGCTGAGCCAGAGCCCCTCAGGAACCCCAAACCCACCCGGGAACCCCAAATCCACCTGGGAATCCCACCTGGAACCCTCAAATCCCAACTGGAACCCCCACATCTCCTCAGGAACCCCAAATCCACACTGGAATCCCACTTGGAACCCCCACATCCCCTCAGGAACCCCAAATCCACACTGGAATCCCACCTGGAATCCCCAAATCCCACCTGGAGCATCCAAACCCACCCAGATCCCAACTGGAACCTCCAAATGCACTCTGGAATCCCAACTGGAACACTCAAATCAACTCAGGAACCCCAAATCCACTTGGAATCCCACCTGGAGCATCCAAATCCACTCAGGAACCCCAAATCAACTTGGGAATCCCACCTGGAACCTCCAAACCTACCTAGATCTCACCTGGAACCCCCAAATCCCACCTGGAGCATCCAAATCCACTCAGGAGGCCCTGATCAACTCGGGAATCCCAGCTGGAACCCCCAAATCCCAACTGGAACTCCCAAATCCATTTGGGAACCCCAAATCCACACTGGAATCCCAACTGGAACCCCCAAATCCCAACTGGAACATCCAAATCCACTCAGGAACCCCAAATCCACTTGGAATCCCATCTGGAGCATCCAAATCCACTCAGGAGCCCCAAAACCACTTGGAATCCCACCTGGAACCTCCAAACCCACCCAGATCTCACCTGGAACCCCCAAATCCACTCGGGAACCCCAAATCAACTCAGGAATCCCAGCTGGAACCTCCAAACCCACCCAGATCCCCCCTGGAACCCCCAAATCCCAACTGGAACCCCCAAATCCACTCAGGAGCCCCAAATCAACTCAGGAATCCCACCTGGAACCTCCAAATCCCAACTGGAACCCCCAAATCCACTCGGGAACCCCAAATCAACTCGGGAATCCCAGCTGGAACCTCCAAACCCACCCAGATCCTACCTGCAACCTCCAAACCCACCCAGATCCCACCTGGAACCCCCAGATCCCACCTGGAACCCCCAAATCCCAACTGGAACGTCCAGACCCACCCAGATCCCCCCGGAACCCCCGATCCCCCGGGCAGGGCGGACCTCCGGCCCGGACTGACCGTCAGCCTCCTCTTGACGTAGCGGATGACCAGGAAGGTGTCGTGGTTGAGGTTGCGCACCATGGCGGTGCAGCCGCCCAGCTCGGTGGGGCGCCCGTCGCGGTCGTGGTCGTAGGTCAGCGAGCCGTTGTTCACCATGGCCGAGATGTAGGGGAAGACACGCTGCCCGCGGGGGAAAAACGGGATTTGGGATCCAGCAGGTGGGTTGGGATCACGGGGAGATGGTGGGAAGGAGAGGTGGGGTCCTCCACCCCACAGGGATCTGCTCAGAACAACCTGGCAACGATCCCAAAGTTCTCCAACCAACACGGGAATGGTCCCAAAGTTCTCCAAAAATACGGGAATGATCCCAAAGTCCTTCACCCCACAGGGATCTGCTCAACACAACACAGGAATGATCCCAAAGTTCTCCAACCAACACAGGAATGAACCCAAAGTCCTCCAACCACGATCCCAAAGTCTTTCAACTGACACTGGAATGATCCCAAAGTTCTTCACCCCACAAGGATCTGCTCAACACAACAAGGGAATGATCCCAAAGTTCTCCAACCAACACTGGAATGATCTCAAAGTCCTTCACCCCAAAGTTCTCCAACCAACATGGGAATGATCCCAAAGTTCTCCAACCAACACTGGAAGGATCCCAAAGTTCTCCACCCCACAGGGATCTGCTCAACACAACAAGGGAATGATCCCAAAGTTCTCCAACCAACACTGGAATGATCCCGAAGTTTTCCAACCAACATGGAAACAATCCCAATCTTCTCCACCCCACAGGGATCTGGTCAAAACAACCCGGGAACGATCCCAAAGTCCTGCACCCCAGAACGATCTCCTCAACACAACCTGGAAATGATCCCAAAGTTTTACAACCGTGATCTGAAAGTCCTTCAGCCAACACTGGAATGATCCCAAAGTTCTCCACCCCACAGGGATCTGCTCAACACAACCTGGGAACGATCCCAGAGTTCTCCAACCAACACTGGAATGATCCTAAAGTCCTTCATCCCAAATAACCTGCTCCAGAAGACACCGGCACCATCCCGCTCCACCCTACGGATCCCAACCCCCAAAAATCTCAGAAACCACCGGGATGACCCCAAATTTTGTCCCCACGGATTCCAAACTCCAAAAATCTCCTCAGAAACCACCGGGGTGACCCCAAACTTTGTCCCCACGGATTCCAAACCCCAAAACTCTGCGGGAACGGGGAATTCCAGGTGGGACAGCAGGAGGCAGTACCTGGTTTCCAGGGCTGTACCTCCTCTTCTGAGCCTGCCCTCCAGGATTAGCACAAAGCAAGAGAGAGCGACACGGTCACGGAGCCCGGCAGCGCCCGAAATCCCAGGAAATTCCCCCTGGATCCGAGTCCAGCAGGGCCCAAAATCCTGGGAAATTTCCTTTTTCCCCTTTCTGGAGCTCTGTTGGACCTTCTAGAGGTCTTTTTGTCCTTTTGGAGGCTCCTTCTGGAGCTCTTTTTGACCTCTTTGGAGCTATTTTTGAACTTTTTGGAGATATTTTACCTTTTTTGGAGCTCTTTTTGACCTTTTTGACCTATTTTTTGTCTTTTTTCAAGCTCTTTTTGACCTTTTGGAGATCTTAATGATCTTTTGGACCTCTTTTTGTCTTTTTTTGAGCTCTTTTTGACCCTTCTGGAGATCTTTATGACCTTTTGGAGCTCTTTTTGTCTTTTTTGAAGCTCTTTTTTACCTTTTTGGAGACTTTTTGTCTTTTTGGAGCTCTTTTTGCCATTTTTTGCCATCTTTATGACCTTTTGGAGCCCTTTTTGACCTTCTCCAAGACCAGGCAGGACAGGGCTTGGAGCACCTTGGGACAGTGGAACCTGTCCCCACCCAAGTGGTGCCATTTGTCCCCTCCAGCTGGATTTTTCCCCCTTTTCCGCAGGAACGACACCAAAAATCCCAGGAAATGTGACAACTTTTCGACCTTTCCTCAGCTTCTACTCCAGCTTTACTCACACCCTACTCCTGGTGGACGTGGCACCACCAGCTCAGCTGGAAAATCCTCTCCCAATTTCCCTGACCGAAAAAAATGTGGAAAAGGAACGGGAAGAGGAGGAGGAGGAGGAGGAGCTGCGAGGATGAAGAGCGGCGTGTGACACCGCCGTGGGTCTCACCTCCTGCTGCTTCTCCTCGTTGGGATACGTGTCCACGAACACTCCCAGCCCCAGGAAGTTGTCCTTGCTGCCAAAAACAGGTCCTGGAAGGGGAAAGAAAAGTTGGGAAGCTCAGGGAAGGCCTTTGTCACTTGTTTGGGAAGGTCCTCAAGGACCATCCAGTCCCATCTGTGTGGATGTTCTCCAGGAGACCAAGTCGCTCAAGGTCCTGTCCAAAGTGTCCCCAAAGCCCTGTCCAAGGTATCCAAGATGTCCCCAAGCCCTGTCCAAGGTGTCCCAGGTGTCTCCAAGGTGTCCCCAAGCCCTGTCCAAGGTGTCCAAAGTGTCCCCAAAGCCCTGTCCAAGGTGTCCCCAAAATCCAAGTTGCTCAAGGTCCTGTCCAAGATGTCCCCAAGTCCTGTTCAAGATGTCCCAGGTGTCCCCAAGCCCTGTCCAAGATGTCCCAGGTGTCCCCAAGCCCTGTCCAAGGTATCCAAGGTGTCCCAGGTGTCTCCAAGGTGTCCCCAAGCCCTGTCCAAGGTATCCAAGGTGTCCCCAAGCCCTGTCCAAGGTGTCCAAGCTGTCCCAGGTGTCCCCAGGGTGTCCCAGGTGTCCCCAAGGTGTCCCCCAGGTGTCCCACGGCAGGCCTGGCCTCACCCGGCTGCATCCTGTCCTTGGTGTACCAGATGGCGAAGCCGTCCCCGTTGAGGTTCTTCTTGCCCTGCCCGTGGATCCTGAAGTGCACCTGCATCTCCCAGTCCCGCAGGTAGCAGGGCTGGAGGGGAACCCCAGTTCCAATTTGGGAATCCATTCCCAGTTTGGGACCCCAATTCCCAGTTTAGGAATCCCATTCCAAGTTTGAGAATCCCATTCTCACCTTGGGAACCCAACTCCCAATTTGGGAATCCCATTCTCACTCTGGGAATCCCATTTCCTTTTTAGGAACCCAATTCCCAATTTGGGAACCCAACCACTCTGGGAATCCCATTCCCAATTTGGGAATCCCATTCTCACTCTGGGAATCCCATTTCCTCTTTAGGAACCCAATTCCCAATTTGGGAACCCAACCACTCTGGGAATCCCATTCCCAATTTGGGAATCCCATTCTCACTCTGGGAGTCGCATTCCCACTTTGGGAACCCCATTCCCAATTTGGGAGTCCCATTCCCAATTTGGGAATCCCTCTCCTGACCCTCTCCCCCTCCATTCCCGACCCTCTCCCCATTTCCCTCCATTCCCGACCCTCTCCCTGGACCGTCCCGGTTCTCTCCATCCCCGGTGCCCCCGCTCACCACCCGGTTCCACACGGCTCCCTGCTTGCTCTGCACGTCGGGGGTGAGGCGGATGAACTGGGTCATGACCATGGCGTTCCCCAGCAGGTCCCAGAGCCCCGAGCTGGCCGAGCCCACACCTGCGGCCCACACGCACCGTCGGTACCGGGACAGCGGGCACCGCGCACCGGGCGGCACCGGGCAGCACCGGGCGGCACCGGGCGGCACCGGGCGGCACCGGGCAGCACCGCCCGCCCTCCCCGCTCACCCTGGTACGGTTTGGACAGCGAGTGCTCCCGTTTCAGGTGCTCCTCGGTCTGCTCGGCCGCCGCCCCGCCGAGCCCCAGCGCCACGGCCAGCACGGCCAGCCCGGCCCGCCACCGGCCCGCCGCCGCCATCTTCCCCCGCCGCCGGCCCCGCGCGCCCATTGGCTGCTTCGCGCCGCTGTTCCCGCCCACCGGCGGGAGCGCAGATGGTGATTGGGCAAGTGAGGTGTCTGTCAGCTCGGGGTGCAAGGGGGGTGGTGGGTAATGTAGTTCTGGCTCCTGGTGATGGCAGCCGCCACTGGGGTGGGCGAGCTCCCTTCTCCGGGGCCCTGGTGCCACCCTGGGTCTTGGTGCCACCCTCAGGGCTCCTGGTGCCACCCTCAGGGCTCCTGGTGACACCCTCAGGGCTCCTGGTGCCACCTCCAGATATTCTGGTGCCACCTCCAGATGTCCTGGTGCCACCTCCAGAGCTCTTGGTGGCCCTCAAGGTCCTGGTGCCACCTCCAGACCTCCTGGTGCCACCTCCAGGGCTCCTGGTGCCACCTCCAGAGGTCCTGGTGGCCCTCAAGGTCCTGGTGCCACCCCAGGTCCTGAAGTCCCCAAGTCCTGCGGGGGCGTGGCCACATGCAAATTCCGACGGGGGCGTGCTTAACCGTATGACGTCATAACTAGTCACGCTCAGCGGCGTTTCCCCTGGGGCGTGGCCATGCGTGACGTCACGGGTGAGGGCGTGGCATTTTAATTCCGGGGCAGAGCGTCCCTCTCCCTGCTGCTTCCTCCTCCGTGCGTGACGTCACGTATGAAGTCACGGCCAGAGCGTCCCTCCCCCTGCTGCTTCCTTCTCAACATGTGACGTCACCGCTGGAGGCGTGAACAGAGTGCCCCTACTTCCTTCTCGATGCGTGACGTCACCTCTGAAGGTGCCCACAATGCCCCTCCTGCTGGGTGACGTCACCCTCCGGCCGCGAGGCCTGGGCGTGTCCTCCGCGGGGGCGGGCGCGCCCGTGACGTCACCGCGTCGCCGCGCCCGCCCGTGCGTGACGCTGCCGCCAGTGCCCAACATGGCGGCGGGCGGCGGCGGCGGCACCGGGGGGACGCCGCTCCGCCCGGGCCCCTTCCCGTTCCCTCCGCCGCCGCTGCCGCCGGCGCTTCTCCCGCTGCTGCTGCTGCTGCTGCCGCTGCCCGGCAGCGCCGCCGCGCCCTCCGCCGACACCGTGGTGCTGGGGCTGCGCTTGGAGGAGAGCAGCAAACCGGCGGCGCCGCCCGCCGCCGCGGAGGAGCAGCGCGGGCCCATCCGCCTGACGGAGGGCAGCGAGGCCTTGCTCCGCCTCTACGGGCTGGGGCTGGGCCCCGGCGCGGCGCAGCGCGTGGCCTTCGCCGAGCTGCGGCCTCACGGCAACGCCTCGAACGGTAACGCCACGTGCCGGGAGCGCTCGCAGGACCTGCTGGTGCGGCCCGGGCCCGCCGAGCCCCGCGACACCTCGGCGCTGCTCCGCCTGCGGGTGCAGCCGCTCCGCAAGCACGAGCGGGCCAAGACCTACGTGCTGTGCTCGCAGCGCCGGCCCGGCCAGCCCTGGCTGCCGCACCAGGGCGCGGACGGGCACGTCGTGGTGCTGGAGGAGAAGAAATCGCTGCTGCCGCTGTGGCTGCAGGTGATTCTGATCGCCGGGTTGTTGGTGCTGTCCGGGATGTTCAGCGGGCTCAACTTGGGGTTGATGGCGTTGGACCCCATGGAGCTGAGGATCGTGCAGAACTGCGGCACCGAGAAGGAGAAGCGCTACGCCCGCCGCATCGAGCCCATCCGCAGGAAGGGGAATTACCTGCTCTGCTCCTTGCTCTTGGGGAACGTGCTGGTCAACACCACGCTGACCATCCTGCTGGACGACCTGATCGGCTCCGGCATCGGCGCCGTGGTGGCCTCCACCATCGGCATCGTCATCTTCGGCGAGATCGTGCCGCAGGCGCTGTGCTCGCGGCACGGGCTGGCCGTGGGCGCCAACACCATCGTGGTCACCAAGTTCTTCATGCTGGTGACCTTCCCGCTGTCCTACCCCATCAGCAAGCTGCTGGACTGCGTCCTGGGCCAGGAGATCGGCACCGTCTACAACCGGGAGAAGCTGGTGGAGATGCTGAAGGTGACGGAGCCCTACAACGACCTGGTGAGGGAGGAGCTCAACATGATCCAGGGAGCGCTGGAGCTGCGCACCAAGACGGTGGAGGACGTGATGACGCCGCTGCAGAACTGCTTCATGATCAACAGCGACGCCATCCTGGACTTCAACACCATGTCGGAGATCATGGAGAGCGGCTACACGCGCATCCCGGTCTACGAGGACGAGAGGTCCAACATCATGGACATCCTCTACGTCAAGGACCTGGCCTTCGTGGACCCCGACGACTGCACGCCCCTCAAGACCATCACCAAGTTCTACAACCACCCCGTGCACGTGGTGTTCCACGACACCAAGCTGGACGCCATGCTGGAGGAGTTCAAAAAGGGTGAGGAGAGGGGCCAGGAGGAAAATTCCAGAGGGGATTTGATGGTCAAGGATGGAGCTGGACGTGCCAGAGCGGCCACGATCCCACGGGAACGAGTGGCAGCTCGGGGGTCACCAAATTTGAGGGTCCTTCCAACCCCAAACCATTCCATGATTCTGTGTTCTGGTTCAATTGGGAATTTGGGAAGGAATTCTTCCTTTTGATTCCAAAATTTGGGGATTCTGACTTCCTGCATTTGGAGCTTGCCCATACCAGATCTCCAGTGGCCACAATCACAAAGGGACAAGTGACAGCTCGGGGGTCACCAAATTTGAGGTTCCTTCCAACCCCAAACCATTCCATGATTCCATGTTCTGCTTCAGGTGGGATTTTGGGAAGGAATTCTTCCTTTTAATCCCAAAATTCAGGGATTTGGACTTCCTGCATTAGGAGCTTTCCCATGCCAGGAGCGTTTTCCTTATTTTTAATTCTTATCCCTGGAGGTCACCAAATTTAAGGTTCCTTCCAACCCCAAACCATTCCATGATTCCATGTTCTGCTTCAGGTGGGATTTGGGGAAGGAAAGTCCCAAATTTGGGGATTTTGACCTCGTGGATTTGGAGCCTTCCCATGCCAGGAATGTTTTCCTTGTTTTTAATTCTTGCTCTGCTTCCCAAAAATCGGCAGCAGGAGGAGGAAGAGGATGTGGGAAAGTTCCCAGGTGGAATTTGCCTTTTTTAGGTTTTTTTCCCAAGTTTTTCCAATCCAACCCCACAGTTCCTGTGGGATGTGGGAAAATCCAGGTGGGATTTGCCCTTTTTGGGATCTTTTCCCAGGGTTTTCCAGCCTGCCTTCCAGATGAATGAGGTGGGATTTTTCCCTTTTTAGGGTTTTTCCCCATCCCACATTCCCCATTTCCTTTGGGATGAGGGAAAACTCCCTGGGCTCAGCTTTGTGCCACATTCCAGGGACATCCCGGGATTCCCAAACGTTTGGGGGATGCTGTCCCAGTCCAGCCCAGTTCCCCAAACCAGTGAGTGCAGCTCTGCTTGGCTGATCCTGATTAAGGGATTTAGGCTCCCTCCCTCCTTCCTTCCGGCCACAAATCCCAGCCCTGGGATTTTTCCAACGGGAATTTGCAGGGTTTGGGGTTTTGGAGGTGAGCCCCACAAATTCCTGCTGGATTTGGGACATGGCTGAGCCAGGCAGGAGCTGGAGAAGAGGCAGGAGAAGGAATAATTAAGTGGTTGTGTTAATTGTGGGGTTTGAGCTGTGGGGATTGCCCTTGGGGTGGCAATTCCCAAATTTTCCCCGTTTCCAGGTTTTGAGTGGGGAATTTCCCTCTGGAGGTGGGCTGGGAGAGCTGGGAATGCTCCCCTGGAGAGGGGAAATTTTAGGGAGAGTTGGGAATGGTCACCTGGAGAAGGATCCAGGAGAGCTGGGCATGTTCTCCTGGAGAAGAGAAATTCCTGGGAATGTTCCCCTGGAGAAAGGAAATTCCAAGGAGAGCTCAGGTTCCTCCAGGAGAGCTGGAGAGGGACTGGGGACAAGGGATGGAGGGAATGGCTCCAAATGGAAAAATGGGGGTTTAAATGGGATTTTTGGGAAGGAATTCCTGGCTGGGATGGAATTCCCGGAGTAGCTGGAATCCCTGGAAGTGTCCAAAGCCAGGTTGGAGCCACCTGGGACAGTGGGACTGGATGATCCCTAAGGTCCTTCCCAACCATTCCAGAATTCCATGGGGAGCTCTGCTGTCCCAGATGGGGTTAATTAGTGTCATTTACCTTCGAGGGTTAATTAGAGTCATTTTCCTTGGAGGTTTAATTAGTGTCATTGCCCTGGGAGGGAGCCCAGCCCAAGGGCTCGTTTATGTTTTAATGAGTTTATTGCTCCAGGGAGGGATGGGATGGGCTGGGACGTCTTGGGGACATCGCAGGGTGGGGACATCGCAGGGTGGGGTCATCCAGGGGACATTGCAGGGTGGGGACAGCCCGTGGCTGGGACATCCAGGGGACATCCCATGGCTGGGACATCCTGGGGACGGTGTAGGGTGGGGACATCCAAGGGCTGGAACATCTTGGGGATGTCCCATGGTTGGGAGATCCTGAGGACATCCCAGGGCTGGGACACCCTGGGGACATCCCATGGTTGGGACATCTTTGGACACCCTGGGGACATCCCAGGCCGTCATGGGGATGTCCCATTCTAACCCCCCCCGTGTCCACAGGCAAGTCCCACCTGGCCATCGTGCAGAAGGTGAACAACGAGGGCGAGGGCGACCCCTTCTACGAGGTGCTGGGGCTGGTGACGCTCGAGGACGTCATCGAGGAGATCATCAAGTCGGAGATCCTGGACGAGTCCGACACCTACAGTAGGTTCTGGGGCTCTGGCCCTCCCCGAAGTCCCATTTGAGGGGGTTCCTGGTGGTCCCCCCGAGGTGACCCCGCTGTTCCCCGCAGTTGACAACCGCAGCAGGAAGAGGGTGTGCAACCAGAAGAACCGACGGGACTTCTCGGCCTTCAAGGACCCCGACAACGAGCTGAAGGTCAAGGTGTCACCTCAGCTCCTGCTGGCCGCCCACCGCTTCCTGTCCACCGGTCAGTTTGGACATCCCAGGGCTGGGGACATCTTGGGGACATCCCATGGCTGGGACATCCTGGGGACTGGAGGATCCTGGAGCTGGAGGAGCTCACAAAGTCCTGGTGTCCCCTCTGGTCACTCCGAGCAGAAATTTTGGCTCTTGTCCCACTTTTTGTTGTGTCCATCCCACCCAAAATGGGAGGGGACAAGGTTGGGGATGGGTGTCCTTGTCCCTTGGGTTTTGATGGCTTCTTTGGGACCTTTGGGATGGACATCCTGGCCCTGGATGGACATTCCAACTCCAGGGGTCTCCTAAACCATCCCAGGATGGGAATTCCAACCCCAAGGGTCTCCTACACCATTCCAGGATGGGAATTCCGACCCCAGGGGTCTCCTAGACAATCCCAGGATGGACATTCCATCCCCAAGGGTCTCCATCCATCCCAGGATGGACATCCACTTCCAGCTGGAGGGATTAAATCCATCTCTGACCTTCTCCCCCCTCTCCAGAGGTGACTCTCTTCACGCCCAACTTCATCTCGGAGAAGATCCTGCTGCGGCTCCTCAAGTACTCAGATGTCATCCAGGAGCTGAAGTTCGACGAGGAGAACAAGAAATCCCCACGGCACTTCCTGTACTGCAAGAACAAAGCGGCCGACTACTTCATCCTCATCCTGCAGGTGATGGGGGCTCCTCAGGGACCTCAGAATGTGGGGTTTGGGCAGTTCCTGTGGGATTTGGCAATTCCCGTGGGGTTTGGGCAATTCCTGTGGGGTTTGGGAAATTCCTGTGGGGTTTGGGCAATTCTGGTGGGATTTGGGCCATTCCTCTGGGGTTTGGACAATTCTCCTGGGATTTGGGCAGTTCTTGTGGGACCTCATCCCTTGGGGTTTGGACAGTTCCTGCGGGACTTCAGAACTTGGGGGTTTGAGCAATTCCCATGGGATTTTGGCAATTCCCATGGGATTTGGGCAATTCCTGTGGGATTTGGGCAATTACTGTGGGACCTCAGAACCTGGGGTTTGGACAATTCCATGGGATCTCATCCCTTGGGGTCTGGGCAATTCCTGTGGGATTTGGACAATCCCATGGGATCCGGTCCCTCGGGATCTGGACAATCCCATGGGATCTGGTCCCTCGGGATCTGGACAATCCCATGGGATCTGGTCCCTCGGATCTGGCCGTGGATCGACGTTGTTTTCCCCGGCAGGGCAAGGTGGAGGTGGAGGCTGGCAAGGAGTGCATGAAGTTCGAGGCGGGAGCCTTCTCCTACTACGGGGTGATGGCCCTGAGTCCTCCTCCTGGATCTGGTGAGCATCTCCAGAACCTTCCCGGGATCCCCGGGTGGGAGCTGCCGCCGGGAACGGGACATTCCCGAGGTTCCCAACCCCAGCAGAGTCCTGGGGACAGCAGAGCTCCTCATGGAATTCTGGAATGGTTGGGAAGGACCTTAAGGATCATCCAGTGCCACCACTTAAACCTTCCATTGTCCGTGGTGGCTCCAACCTGGCTTTGGACGCTTCCAGGGATTCCTGGGTGGGAACAGGAGATTCCCGAGGTTCCAAACCCCATCCTAGGGACAACCGAGGTTTAGCTTTAAGTTTAGGTCTAGTTTTGGGTTTAGGTTGGAATTCCATTTTCCCGCGGAAAATGGGATTCTTGTTAAAGCTGCCCTGTTAGGAAGAGTTTTAAGTTTTAGGATCCCACCCTAAAAACTTTACATTCAGTTTATTAAACCTAAATCTAAACTCAAACCTAAACCTAGACCTGGAAGAATTTTAAGTTTTAAAATCCCACCTGAAAAACTTTACATTTATTTTACTAAACCTAAATCTAAACTTAAATGTGGAAGAGTTTTAATAGAATCCCACCCTAAAAACTTTACATTCAGTTTACTAAACCTAAATCTAAACCTAAACCCAAACCCCCACGAGGCAATTCCAGAAACCCAAACAATTCTGCCTCCAGAACGGGGTGAAAAGCACAAATTAAGGGGTCGAGCTCTTCAGAGTCCATCCATGGGGAGCAAAACCGGGATGGGGAATGTTGGGAAGGACCTGGGGACGATCCCAACCCTTCCCAACCCCGCAGAAATCCGTTCCCCGTCCCACATGAGCGGCCTGAACCGCTCGGCCTCGCTCAGCTACCACGAGCGCTCGGAGTCGGGCTCGTCGCCGGTCAGCGGCAGCAACAACCAGCTCAACGCCGGCGGCGCCCAGTACGTGGCCGACTTCAGCGTCCGCGCCCTCACCGACCTCCAGTTCGTCAAGGTGAGCGTTCCCGGCCGGAATGGGGCTGGGAGGACTCTTTGGGATGGGATTCCCCATCCAGGAGGACCAGGAGAACCCATTGGGATGGGATTCCAATCCATCAGGGCTGGGAAAACTCTTTGGGATGGGATTCCCCATCCAGGAGGACCAGGAGAACCCTTTGGGATGGGATTCCAATCCATCAGGGCTGGGAAAACTCTTTGGGATGGGATTCCCGATCCAGGAGGACCAGGAGAACCCTTTGGGATGGGATTCCCGACCCATCAGGGCTGGGAAAACTCTTTGGGATGGGATTCCCAATCCGTGAGGACAAGGAGAACCCATTGGGATGGGATTCCCGACCCATCAGGGCTGGGAAAACTCTTCGGGATGGGATTCCCAACCCATCACTCCATTCCCGACCCATCAGGGCCAGGAAAACCCATTGGGATGGGATTCCCAGCCATGAGGGCTGGGAGAACCCTTTGGAATGGGATTCCTCACCCATCACCCCATTCCCAACCCATCAGGGCCAGGAAAACCCTTTGGGATGGGAATTCCATTCCTACCCCACTTTGGGATGGAAATTCCATTCCTACCCCATTTTGGGATGTGAATTCCATCCCTACCCCATTTTGGGATGTGAATTCCATCCCTACCCCACTTTGGGATGGGAATTCCATCAAATACCCCATTTTGGGATGGGAATTCTGTCCCTACCCCGCTTTGGGATGGGAATTCCATTCCTGCCCCCTTTTGGGATGGGAATTCCATCAAATACCCCACTTTGGGATGGGAATTCCATCCCTACCCCACTTTGATCCCGCAGATCACGCGGCAGGAGTACCAGAACGGGCTGCTGGCCTCGCGCATGGACAGCTGCCCCCAGTCCCCCGACAGCGCCGCGCCCCGGCCCGACGCCGCCATCCCGGAGAAACCGGAGCCGGCGGCACCGGCCGACGAGACCACGAGCCTGCTCAACGAGAGGAACTGCCTGAGCCGCCGCAGCAACCACAGTGGCCTGGAGAACTCCATCTGACCCCGGCCGCGCCGGCGCGCTCCGGCGTCGGCGTGCCCGCTGCGGGGCCTTGCCCGGTAGGACGAGCCGGTGGAGGAGGAGGAGGATGAGGAGGATGAGGAGGTGGGGATGGAGGAGCTTTGGGATTTGCTGCTGCTGCTGCTGCTCTGCCAGGCCGGCTCGGTTTGGGATGGACGGAGCGGCGCGGGCGGCACCGGCACCGCCGGCACAGCGCCGACGGCTCAGGGAGCTTCGGGTCTCGGTTTGCCGCCGTGGGGACCCTCGGGATGGAAATCCCAATCCTGCCAGGAAATCTGGGATGGAAATTCCAACCCTGCCAGGAAATCTGGGATGGAAATCCCAACCCTGCCAGGAGATCTGGGATGGACATCCCAACCCTTCCACCAATCCCAGGATGGACATCCCAACCCTGCCAGGAAATCTGGGATGGACATCCCATCCCTGCCAGGAAATCTGGGATGGACATCCCATCCCTGCCAGGAAATCTGGGATGGAATTCCAACCCTGCCAGGAAATCTGGGATGGACATCCCAATCCAAATCCTTCCAGGACCCTCAGGATGGACATCCCAACCCTTTCAGGGTCCATCCCAATCCTTCCAGGAACTCCAACCCTTCCAGGAATCCCAGAATGGACATCCCAACCCTGCCAGGACCCTCAGGATGGACACCCCAAACCTTTGGGATCCCTGGAATGGGAATTCCATCTCTTTGGGATCTCCAACCCCATTTTGGGGCAGGAATTCCAAACATTTGGGGTCTCCTACCCATCCTAGGACGGGAATTCCAAACGTTTGGGATCTCCAACCCCATTTTGGGGCGGGAATTCCAAACTTTTGGGGTCTCCTCAGCCCTTTGGGGTCTCCTGCCCCATTTTGGGATATCCTGGCATGGGAATCCCGACCCCACTCCGGTGGTTTTGGGGTTTCCTGGAGAAATCCCAGCCCCGTCCCCGCTGGCCTGGGGATTTTGGGGTCTGGATTTTGGGGTCAGGATTTGGGATCTGATTTTGGGGTCTGGATTTTGGGTCTGATTTTGGGGTCTGACTTTGGGGTCTGATTTTTGGGGTCTGACTTTGGGGTCTGGATTTTGGGGCCTGGACTTCAGGGTCTGGATTTTGAGGTTTGGATTTTGGGGTCTGGACTTTGGGGTCTGACTTTGAGGCCTGGATTTTGGGGTCTGGATTTTGGGGTGACACATCGCTAGTGACCAAAGTTGTACAGGCAGGAGGGGGCTGAGGGTCCCCCCCAAAACCCCCCCTGGGGTTTTTTGGGGTCAGAGAGCTTGACCCCAAAAAAACAAAAATAAGCACAAAAAAGTTCCCCCTGGGTGAACTCCTGTAAGTTATTGGGAGAAGGTTGAATTATTTTTGTTAATCACATCTCGACGATCAGTTCCTAGCTCCTTCCGCAGGGAGATTTTAGAAATAATAATAATAATAATTAATTAATAATAATTAATAATTAATAATAAGCCAGGAAAGAAAAAAAACAACAAAAAAATACTTTTTTATTAAATCTTCCTCTATGCAAACCCCTCCTGTTCCTCCCCCCCTTGGGGAATTCCTATTTATTGTTCAGGTTTGATTTGTATTTTCTGGGGGCTCTCGGGTCGCGGTGGGGGTTGGGGGGAGGGGCGGGGGGGGCCGGGCCTCCCCCTCCCGGTTCTGCCCCTCCCCCCACGCCCCGGTTGTCGAACCCGCCGTGGAATTTGTATTTCACGGGGGTTGTTTTTTGTTTTGATTTTTTTTTTTTTTTGGCCAGATGGGTTAATAAAGATTCTATATCTGTACCTGGCTGCGCTCGGTGCCGCGCGGGGCGGTCCCGGTTACCGGGGAAGGGTCGCGGTTACCGGAACCGCGTTAAAAAGGACGCGGCGCCTTTAAATCCCCCCCCACCCGCGGGGTTGTGCTAAACCACGCCCCTTAACGGCATCGCGGGCGGTGATTGGCTGCGAGGGAAGTGAGGCGGGACTACAGGGGAAAGGCGGGATGTGATTGGTGGGAGGCGGGGGGTGGGCGGGGCGCGCTGGCGGAACACGGAAGTGGAAGCGGCGTGAGGCGGCAGCACCGGAGCGGGCACCGGGAATGAGCCCCGGGCACCGGCCCCGGTCCCCTCAGGCGTCCAGCAGGTCCCGCACGGCCGGATGCGCCCCGTCCCGCGGGCTGCGGCCTCTGGCGTCGCGGAGGGCAGCGAGGCCCGGCTGCCGGCGCAGGAGGAGGGCGCAGAGCTCGCGGTGCCCCTGCTCGGCGGCCTGCACCGGGGGAAACCGGTGTCACCCCCGGGAGGAGGAGCCCCGTGTGCTGCCGGTGCCCCCCGCCCTGTGCTCGCCCCGGCCGTGCCGGTCCCACCTTGTGCAGGGCGGTGCGGCCGTCGCTGTCGGCGGCGGCGGGGTCGGCTCCGTGCCGCAGCAGCAGCTCGGTAACGGCGCGGTGCCCGCAGAAACACGCCCGGTGCAGCGGGGTGGCCCCGCCGGGGGTGCGGGCGTCGCTCGGGGCGCCGCGTTCCAGCAGCAACCGGCACACGGCCAAGTGCCCGTTCCGGCTGGCGTAGTGCTGCGGGCAGCCGGTGCTTCAGCGGCCCCGGGATCACCGGGCGGGACCGACCCCCGGTAACCCCGGTGCCAGGGCGGGACCGACCCCAGAGACCCCCGGTGCCAGGGTGGGACCGACCCCGGGACCCTCGGAGCCCTCCGTGCCCCTCGTACTCCGTCAGGACCCCCGGTGCCCCCGGTCAGGATCCCCGGTGCCCCCCGGTGCTCCCGGTATAGCAGGGACGTGCCCCCCGGTATAGCAGGGCCGTGCCCCACGGTGCCCCCGGTGTACCAGGGCCGTGCCCCCCGGTGTCCCCGGTGCCCCCCGGTGCCCCCGGTGTACCAGGGCCGTGCCCCCCCGGTGTCCCCGGTGTACCAGGGCCGTGCCCCCCGGTGTCCCCGGTGCCCCCCGGTGCCCCCGGTGTACCAGGGCCGTGTACCCCGGTGTCCCCGGTGCCCCCCGGTGTCCCCGGTGTACCAGGGCCGTGTACCCCGCCCGGTCCCGCTCCGCGGGGTCTCCTCTCCGCTCCAGCAGCTGCAGCACCCGCGCCTCGTCCCCGTCCCGCGCCGCCGCCCAGATCCCTGCGGGCACCGGGCCGCCTCAGCCACGGACGGGCCCTGCCCGGTACCGGCACCGGAGCCCCCCCGGTACCGACCCCCATCCCGGAGCCCCCCCGGTACCGCTGCTCCAGCCCAGCCCGTACCCCCTCCGCCACCCCAACCCCTGCACAGAGTCCCCGCTGCCCCTCCGGTACCGGAACCCCAGCCCGGACCCTCCCGATGCCCCTCCGGTACCGGAACCCCACACCGCCGGTACCGGCCCTTCCGGACCCCGCTCGAAGTCCATCTCGGGCAGGCTCTGGTGCACGCTGGGCACGGCCGCGGGCCCCGGGCAGCAATGCCCGGTCAGCGCCGCCCGGTCCCGGCAGCACCGAGCGGGCGGCGAGCGACGGCCACCGGCCATGGCAGCGGCGGCGGAGAGAGCCGAACGGCGGCGGAAAGAGCCGAACGGCGGCGGAAAGAGCCGAATGGCGGCGGAAAGGGCCGAGGGGAGGCGGAAAGAGCCGAACGGCGGCGGAAAGAGCCGAACGGCGGCGGAAAGGGCCGAACGGCGGCGGAAAGGGCCGAGGGGAGGCGGAAAGAGCCGAACGGCGGCGGAAAGAGCCGAACGGCGGCGGAAAGGGCCGAGGGGAGGCGGAAATAGTCGAATGAAACGGAAAGAGCCGAACAGCGGCGGAAAGAGCCGAGGGGAGGCGGAAAGGGCCGAGCGAGATCGGGAAGAACCGAAAAAGGGTCGGAAAAAGCCGAAAGAAACCGGGAAGAGCCGAAAGAAACCGGTAAGGGCCGAAATAAACCGGTAAGGGCCGAAAGAAACCGGTAAGGGCCGAAAGAAACCGAAGGGCCCCGATTCCAAACCGCTCCTGCGCATGCGCGCTCGCCACACCCGGTGCCGCCGCCGGGGGGCGCCACCGGCCGCTCAAAGCCGCTTTGGGGTCCCGGGGTTCGGACCCCCCCCCCAAATTTTGGGGTCCCCAAAAGTCCCACCCCCATCAGCAGCGGCACCCACAGGGCTCCAGCTCCCCATTTGGGGGGGTCCCCAAGGCTCTTCCTCCACTCGAGGTTCGCAGGGGTCACCCCCACAGCTTTATGGGGTCCCCCCCACAGCTTTATGGGGTCCCCGAGCTCCTTGTTGCTCTGCAGTGGGGGTCCCCCAACAGCAATGGGGGTACCCCAGAAGTAATAGGGGGTCCCCCTCCCCATTAGGGGTGTCCCACAGGTCCCTCCCCTACTTTGGGGTCTCCTTGGGGACCCCCTCCCCAGTATTGGGGTGTCCCGGAGCCCCCTCCCCAATATTGGGGTATCCTTGGGGTCCCCTCCTCAATGTTGGGGTGTCCCCCCCAAGGCTTTCCCCGCCCCCCGCCCCATTTCCCACGGCCCCGACCCCCCCCAGCCCCTCCCCCATTTCCGGCTCCGTTCCCAGCGGAGCCTCCCCGGGGATGGGGGGGGGGAGCCCGGCCCGGCCCCCCCGCCTGGGAACGGCGCCGCTTTTTTATCCTTTTTTAGCCCCGCTGGAGCTTTTGCCATGAGCTCAGCACCGGGGGAAGGGAGCTGAAAACTTCCCCCAAAAGCTCCAACAAAACTTCCCCAAAACTCCCAAAAACACCCCCAAAAGTTCCCCTAAAACCTCCCCCTAAACCTCTCCAGAACTCCCCCAAAGCCTCCCAAAAACCTCCCCCAAAACTCGCCCAGAATTCCCCCAAACCTCCCCCTAAACTTCATTAAAACTCCTCCAAAATCCCCTGAAAACCTCCCCCAAATCCTCCCCCAAAAATTCCCCCAAACCCCCTCAAAACGCTCAGAACCTTTTCCAAAATTCCCCTAAAACCTCCCCCCAAAATGTCCCCAAAACTCCCCCAAAACCTCAAACAAAACTTCCCTAAAACTCCCCAAAAACTCCCCCAAAATCCCTCCAAAACCTCCCCCAAAACTCCTCTAAATCCCCTCAAATCCTTCTCCAAAAATTCCCCCAAATCTCCCACAAAATTCCCCCAAAACTCCCCTAGAAAAAGCGAAAAAAAACCCCAGAATTTATTTGGTTTTTTTCTGGAAGTCCTTTTATTATGAATATAAAAATACTCAGGTATTTACAAGAAATAAATATATTTCGGTAACAAATAAATTACAGCGGGCGGGGGCTGATACAAAAAGGGGCGGGGGGCGTGCAGGGGGTGGGCACAGGAGGGGGGACACGAGGGGACAAAGTGCCAGGGCAGGGTGGGGACAGAGCCCTGGCACGGGTGGGCACGCAGGGAGGGCAAATAGAAAAAAGTCAGGGAGAAAAACCCGAAACGAGCCCAAAAAAAAAACCGTCCCGAGGGCACCGGGCACGGGTGGGCACGGGTGGGCACGGGTGGGCACAGGGCCCGGGGGTGTCCCCAAGGCTGTCCCTCCGTGGGGACACCGTACCGAAGGTTGGTGGCACGGCCGGGTGGCAGCGGTGCCGGGGTGACAGCTCTGTGCCCAGGGAGGGTGGCAAAGTGACAATCCTGGTGCCAGGGTGGCAGTGCCACCCCCATGGGTGCCAGGGCTGTCCCCAAGGCAGGTGGCAAAGTGACAATCCTGGTGCCAGGGTGACAATGCTGTCCCCAGGGTGGGCACTGGCACTGGGGTGACAAGGGGCAGAGCCTGTGGTGACCCTGCTGTCCCCAGGGCTGGTACCAGTGTGGCAATCCTGTCCCCAGGGTGGGTGCCGGTGCCAGGCGCCCATCCCCAGCCAGGTTTTGGTGCCAGGCTTCTATCCTCATCCGGGTTTTGGTGCCAGGTGTCCATCCTCAGCCAGGATTTGGTGCCAGGATTCCATCCCCAGCCAGGTTTAGGTGCCAGGCTTTCATCCTCAGCCAGGATTTGGTGCCAGGCTCCCATCCCCAGCTGGGTTTTCGTGCCAGGTGTCCATCACGAGCCAGGTCCTGGTGTCAAACTTCCATTCCAGCCGGGTTTTGGTGCCAGGCGTCCATCCTCAGCCGGGTTTTGGTGCCAGGCTTCCATCCCCAGGTGGGTTTTGGTGCCAGGCGTCCATCCTCAACCAGGTTTAGGTGCCAGGCTCCCATCCCCATCTGGGTTTTGGTGTCAAACTTCCATCCCCATCTGGGTTTAGGTGCCAGGCGTCCATCCTCAGCCAGGATTTGGTGCCAGGCGTCCATCCTCAGCCAGGATTTGGTGCCATCCACCCATCTTCAGCTGGGTTTTGGTGCCAGGCTTCCATCCTCAGCCAGGTCCTGGTGTCAAACTTCCATCCCCAGCCAGGATTTGGTGCCATCCACCCATCCCTGGCCGGATCCCGACACCATCTCCGCCGTGCCCCTCGGCGGTGCCCGCGCCGGCCGCGGCACCGGGGCGGGCGCGGCTCACACCGAGGACTCCTCGGGGTTGGAGTCGGGCAGGGGCTGGCGCTGCTGCAGTTTGCGCCGCAGCTCCTCGGCCAGGTCGGCGCAGGCCGGGCGCTCCTCGGCGCCCAGCGCCAGGCGGATGTACCCGTTGGAGGCCGAGCCGCGCAGGGGGCCCAGGTGGATGCGGGTGGGCGAGTGCAGCGGCTGCCCGGGGATGCCCGCGGGCGGCGAGGCGGCCCCGTTGTGGCAGCGCGCGGCGCCCGCGGCGTTGGCGTGGCCGGGCACGATTTTGAGCGAACCGTCCGAGTAGTAATAACTGGCCGGGTCCCAGAGCTTCTCGTCCGAGTCGGAGGCGGCGCTGGGCACGAAGCGCGGGCTGGGCGGCTCCTTGGGCAGCTCGATGGGGTACACCAGGGTGCTCTCGATGGCCTTGGCGCCCTTGCCCAGCTCGTGGCGCAGCCGGCGCCACAGCGACAGCACGGCCAGCAGCAGCAGCAGGCACAGCGCGCCCAGGCACACGGCCAGCACCCAGACGGCGCCCAGGCCCTGCGGCGGCGCCCGCGTCTCCAGCGGCGCGCCCGGGCCGGGCAGCACGGCCACGCGGTACTCCTGGGCGGGCAGGCGGGCGCCCTGCTCCTCGGCCAGGCAGCGGTACGTGCCGCTGTGCTGGGCGCCCGCGCCGGGCACCACCAGCGCCCGCAGCCGCGCCTCGCCCGGCAGCAGCGCCTGCTGCGCCGCCAGCGCCCGGCCCTCGAAGGTCCAGAGGGCGCGCGCCAGGTTGGAGGCCAGGCGGCACGTCAGCACCAGGTCCGTGCCCGCCACCACCGTCACGTTCTTGGGGGTCAGCGGCCCTGCGGGCACCGGGAGGTCAGCGGGGACGGGGTGGGCACGGGAGGGGTTCGTGAGGTGGGGTGGGATCCGTGGGGTGGGATCCGTGGGGTGGGATCCGTGGGGTGGGATCCGTGGGGTGGGATGGGATGGGATCCATGGGGTGGGGTGGGGTGGGATCCATGGGGTGGGGTGGGGTGGGATCCATGGGGTGGGATGGGGATGGGATCCATGGGGTGGGGTGGGATGGGATCCATAGGATGGGGTTCATGGGATGGGATGAGATGGGATCGGTTGAATGGGATCGGATGGGATCCATGGGACGGGATCCACAGGATGGGATCCATGCGATGGGATGCGATCCATGGGATGAGATGAGATGAGATGGCATCAATGGGGTGGGACGGGATGGAATGGGGTCCATGGGATAGGAACAATGGGATGAGGTGGGATCGATGGGATGGGATCTGTGGGGTAGGATGGATGGGATGGCATCAATGGGCTTGGATAGGATGGGATCCATGGGATGGGGTGGGGTAGGATCCATGAGATGGAATCCATGGGATCCATGGGATGAGATGAGATGGCATCAATGGGTTTGGATGGGATGGGATCCATGGGATGGGGTGGGGTGGGATCCATGAGATGGAATCCATGGGATCCATGGGATGAGATGAGATGGCATCAATGGGGTGGGATGGAATGGAATGGGATGGAATGGGGTCCATGGGATGGCAACGATGGGATGGGATCCATGGGATGGGATGGGATCCATGGGATGGGATGGGGTGGGATGAGGTCCATGGGATGGCATGGGCACACCCACGTGCCACCCTTAGTGTCTCACCTTGCTTGGCCACCTGCGGCACGGAGCAGGCCGTGGTGTCGGAGCTCAGCACGTCCTGCACCAGGTGGGACCTGCGGGAGGAGGGCACAGTCAGGGGGTAACCCTGGCAATCCCTGATCCCACCCCTGGCACTGCCCAGACACCCCAAAATGCCACCCTGGCAGCCCTGCACAGACACCCCACTCCTGGAGCAGCCTCGGGCCGTGCCCATTCCCTGAGCAGTGCCCAGCACCCTCTGGGTAAAATCCAGCCTGAGACTGCCCTGGGTGCCATCCCCAAGCCCCGGGTGCCATCCCCAAGCCCCAGGTGCCATCCCCAAGCCCCAGGTACCATCCCCAAGCCCCAGGTGCCATCCCCATGCCCCGGGTGCCATCCCCAAGCCCCAGGAACCATCCCAGTGCCCCAGGTACCATCCCCATGCCCGGGGTACCATCCCCATGCCCCGGGTGCCATCCCCATGCCCTGGGTGCCATCCCCAAGCCCCAGGTGCCATCCCCATGCCCCGGGTGCCATCCCCATGCCCCAGGTACCATCCCAGCGCCCTGGGCACCGTGCCCATCCCGCGTGTGCCGTGCCCGTACCCGTTGTGCCCGTCGGTGCGGACGCAGGCGCTGCCGTTGCGGCTCCAGGCGCAGTAGGGGTCCCGTGCCAGCACGCAGTCGGTGCAGGAGCGGTAGCGCCCGCACTCTGCCAGGGGCAGCTGTGCCACCTGCAAGCGGGACCCGGCGAACAGCAGCTTCTGCCAGGGCAGGGCAGGGGTCAGGTGGGTGCCACCGGTGCCACCGTGGTGCCACCGCCGCCCCCCTGGCACGCTCACCTTGGTGCCCGCCAGTACCAGGCTCTCGACGGGCTGCGGCGGCTCGAACACCTGCAGCTCCTCCACCAGGTGGGTGCGGGTGCCCAAATCCAGCGCCTTGTGCACCCAGCCGTCACCTGCGGGCGGGCACGGCGGGCACTGAGCCACGGGCAGCGCGGGGGCGGCCACGGGGGTGCTGTGCCTCGGTGCCTCCTCAGTGCCCTGTCCCCTCTGTGCCCTGTGGGTGCCTTGTGCCCTCTGTGCCCTGTCCCTCAATGCCCTGTCCTCTCTGTGCCCTGTCCCTCAATGTCCTGTCCTCTCTGTGCCCTGTGGGTGCCTTGTGCCCTCTGTGCCCTGTCCCTCGGTGCCCTGTCCCCTCAGTGCCCTGTCACTGCTGTGCCCTCTTCCCTTGGTGCCATGTCCCTCAATGCCCTGTCCTCATTGTGCCCCCCGTCCCTCTGTCCCTGTCCCCTCAATGTCCCCTCTGTGCCCCCTGTCCCTCTGTCCCTGTCCCCTGGCATCACCTGTGCCAATGAAGAGCACCTCGTAGGTGGCCCTGCCCATCCCTGCCATGCTGTGCCCCCTGTCCCTGTCCCTGTGTCCCTGTCCCTGTCCCCTGGCATCACCTGTGCCAATGAAGAGCACCTCGTAGGTGGCCCCGTCCAGCCCTGCCACGCGATCCACCACGAGCTGGGTGAAGTTGGCATCCCTCTTGAGCAGCAGCGGGCGGCCGCGCTGGGGTGGCACCGGCTGGTCCATCAGCGGGTGCTTCTTGGCGAAGTTGAGCGTGTTGTCGGGCAGCTCCAGCGAGCTGGCAAAGCCGTTCTGCCGGTGCCAGTCCGTGATGCACTGCCGGGGGCACGGGGGGCACCGTCAGGGCACGGGGGCAACGTCAGGGCATGGAGGGGCAACGTCAGGGCACGGGGGGCACCAGGGTGGGTCCCAATCCCTCTCAGGAGGGCATAGATGGATCCCAAACCCCTCTCAGGATGGCAGAGATGGCTCCCAACCCCTCAGGGATGGGTGCCAACCCCTCACAGGGCACCTCCAGCCCCACGGATGGATGCCAACCCTCATGGATGGCTCCCATCCCTCATGGATGGCTCCCAACCCCTCAGGGATGGATGCCAACCCTCATGAGTGGATCACAACCCCCAGGGATGGATGCCAACCCCTCAGGAATGGCTCCCAACCTGTCAGGGATGGATCCCAACCCGTCAGGGATGGATCCCAACCCTCATGAGTGGATCCCAACCCCTCATGGATGGCTCCCAACCCTCAGGGATGGCTCCCAACCCCAAGGGGTGGCTCCCAACCCCTCATGGATGGTTCCCAACCCCTCAGGGATGGATCCCAACCCCTCAGGAATGGCTCCCAACCCTCAGGAATGGCTCCCAACCCTCATGGATGGATCCCAACCCCTCAGGGATGGATCCCAACCCTCAGGGATGGATCCCAACCCCTCAGGGATGGATGCCAACCCCTCAGGGATGGATCCCCACCCCTCAGGGATGGATGCCAACCCTCATGAGTGGATCACAACCCCCAGGGATGGCTCCCAACCCCCAGGGATGGCTCCCAACCCTCAGGGATGGATGCCAACCCCTCAGGGATGGATCCCAACCCCTCAGGGATGGATGCCAACCCCTCAGGGATGAATGCCAACCCCTCAGGGATGGCTTCCAACCCCTCAGGGATGGATCCCAACCTCTCAGGGATGGATGCCAACCCTCATGAGTGGATCCCAACCCTCAGGGATGGATCCCAACCCTCAGGGGTGGATGCCAGCCCCACAGCTGCCCCCAGCACCCCCAGCCGGACGCGTGCCCGCTCTCACCGCGCCGGGCCGGGGCGTGGGCACCTCGCCCGAGTAGCGCCCCCACTTCTGCGCCTGCTCCCGGTACTCCTTGTAGGGCCCCTCGAAGGCCTTCCTCACCTCCAGGATGGGGTAGCGGCAGATGGCAGAGACGTCCACGTCCCCCCTGCGGGCACAGCGGGCTGGCAGACAGCGGGCACCAGGACAGGGACACCATGGGCACAACGAGCACCGGGGCAGGGACACCACGGGAAGCATGGGCACCGTGACAAGGCCACCATGGGCACCATGGCCACAAGGACAGGGACACCATGGGCAGCATGGGCACCAAGGAAGGACCACCATGGGCACTGGGACAAGGCCACCATGGTCACTAGGACAAGGTCACCATGGGCACAATGGGTACCAGGACAGGGCCACCATGGGCACCAGGGCAGGGCCACCATGGTCACCAGAACAAGGCCACCATGGGCATCAGGACAAGGCCACCATGGTCACTAGGACAGGGCCATCATGGGCACTGGGACAAGACCACCATGGACACTGGGACAAGACCACCACGGTCACCAGATCAAGACCACCACGGGCACTGGGACAAGACCACCACGGGCACTGGGACAAGACCACCATGGGAACTGGGACAAGGCCACAATGGGCACCAGGACAAGGCCAGAATGGTGACCATGGTCACCAAATCAAGACCACCATGGGCACTGGGACAAGACCACCATGGGCACTGGGACAAGGCCACAATGGTGACAATGGCCACCAGATCAAGACCACCACAGCCATTGGGACAAGACCACCACGGTCACCAGATCAAGACCACCACGGGCACTGGGACAAGACCACCACAGTCACCAGAACAAGACCACCACGGGCACTGGGCCCAGGCCCCCCGGTGCACGGGCCGGCGCGGGCACGGCGGGCACTCACCAGCGGGCCTGGAAGACGCCGAAGAAGGCGGTGTCCTGCCAGCGGGCACCGGGCAGGGTGAAGACGGCCTGCAGGCGGTTGAAGTGCAGCTGCTGCTCGGGCGCCGAGCACACCAGGCGCGCCTTCAGGAACGACGTCCACTTCTTCTGCAGCGTCCGCGCGCCGCCCACGTCCCCCTGCCGGGCACAGGCCGCTGTGGGCACCGCGGGCACCGGGGCACGGCCGCTGCGGTGGCGTGGTGACCACGGGCACCAGGGCAGGGGCATCGTGGTGACCACTGGGACTGGGACACAGCCACTGTGGGCACCACGGGCACCAGGGCAGGGATATCGTGGTGACCAGTGGGACTGGGACAAGGCCACCACGGGCACCCCACAGGCACTGGGACATGGCCAAGGTGGGCACTGTGGGCATCATGGGCACCAAGACACAGGCACCAGGACAGGGCCACCACAGGCACTGGGACATGGCCACCATGGGCACCAAGACAGGGCCACCATGGTGACCATGAACACCGGGACAAGGCCACCATGGTGACCACTGGCACTGGGACAAGGCCACCATGGGCATCAGGACAGGGCCACCATGGTGACCATGGGCACCACGGGCACCAGGACAAGGCCACCATGGTGACCACTGGCACTGGGACAAGGCCACCATGGGCACCAGGACAAGGCCACCATGGTGACCACTGGCACTGGGACAATGCCACCACAGGCACCAGGACAGGGCCACCATGGTGACCACTGGCACTGGGACAATGCCACCACAGGCACCAGGACAAGGCCACCATGGTGACCACTGGCACTGGGACAATGCCACCACGGGCACCAGGACAAGGCCACCATGGTGACCATGGGCACCGGGACAAGGCCACCATGGGCACCAGGACAGGGCCACCACGGTGACCATGGGCACCATGGCAAGGTACCCTGCAGACTGTGCCACCACCCGCTCGCCGTAGCACTCAATGCCCAACCCCATGCCCTCAGACAGCTCAGGGCGTGTCCCCAGGTGTGTCCAGGTGTGCCCAGCGTACCTTGCAGACCCGTGCCACCCGTGCCACCACCTGCTCGGCGTAGCAGTCGTACTCGACGGCGCGCTCGCTGAAGAAGAAGTAAACCTTGTCGTCGTCGCCGCTGCTGCCCGCGCTCTCGGGCACGAAGGCCGACGCCACGAAGTGAGGCTCTGCAAAAGCACCCGGTCACGCCTGTGCCCTCCCCGTGTGCCCCGTGCCCTCCCCGTGCGCCCCATGCCCTCCCCGTGCCCTCCCCGTGCGCCAGGCTGTGCCCACCGTTGAGCCACGAGGTCAGGTACTCGGTCTTCACGGAGTAGTGCGGGCCCAGGTTGCGCAGGATGACGGGCTCCGTGCCCAGGAAGTTGTTGAAGGTGGCAGAGTAGAGCTCCCCATCTGTGAGGGAGGCGTTTAAGGAGGCTGGCGGGCACGGTGGCACCCCCCCTGTGCCCCCAGAAGTGTCACCTACCCACGATGAGGCCGGTGTGGCCCTTGGTGGGGTCGTAGGGACATTTGCCTTTGCCGTCCTCGAACGCCACCGGGTCCAGGGTGAAGCCGGAGAGCTCCTGGGGGGGCACGGGGGTGGCACTGGGTCATGTCTGTGCCACCCAGACAGGCCCCAGGGACATGGGCACCCTGCAGGTGACACTCCTGGGGACAGGGACAGCCCTGGGCCACCCTCCTGAGCACAGGGACAGTCCTGGATGAGGGATGGGGACATCCCTGGATGGTCCTCCTGGGGACAGGGACACCCCTGGATGATCCTCTTGGGGACAGGGACAGCCCTGGGCCACTCTCCAGGGACAGGGACACCCCTGGATGATCCTCTTGGGGACAGGGACAGCCCTGGGCCACTCACCAGGGACAGGGACACCCCTGGATGGTCCTCCTGGGGACAGGGACACCCCCAAGATAACCCATCAGGGACTGTCCCTGTCCCTCACCCAGGGTTGCTCCTGTCCCTGATGACCCATCTGGGCCGCCCCAAGTGCACAGGAGACACCCCCAACCTGCCCTCATGGCCACAAAATCACTCTAAATGCCATCCCTGGGGACAGGGCCACCCCTGGGCACAGAGCCACGTCCCCGGGGAGGGCAGGGGACATTGGGGACCCGGGTTTGGGAGCCCACTCACGATGTAGGTGCACTTGGGCTGGAAGGCGTAGGTGCCGCAGGCGTACAGGTGGGAGCTGTTGTAGCTCTGCAGGAAGCGCACGTAGTTGAAGCAGTCGGTCTGCGAGGGGACACGGGGACATTAATGGGGACAAGGCAGGTGGCACTGGGAAAGTGGCACAGTAAAGGTGTGGGGACAGGGGACACTGCACAGGGAAAGTGGCACGGTGAAGGGGTGGGGACAGGGGACACTGCACAGGGACAGTGGCATGGGACAGAGGTAGAGGACAGGGGACACTGCCACCACATAGGGACAAAGGGAAATGTGGCACAGCACGGGGACACAGGGACAGGGATTCTGGAGCTGGCATGGCACAGGACACAGGGACACAGGGACAGGGACTCGAGCTGGCATGGCACAGGGACACAGAACATGGCACAGGGACACAGGGACAGGGATTCTGGAGCTGGCACAGCACGAGGACACAGAACATGGCACAAGGACACAGGGACAGGGATTCTGGAGCTGGCACAGCACGAGGACACAGAACATGGCACAGGGACACAGGGACAGGCCCCTGGAGCTGGCATGGCACAGGGACACAGAACATGGCACAGGGACACAGAACATGGCACAGGGACACAGGGACAGGCCCCTGGAGCTGGCACAGTGCCCCAAACCCCCCCAGCGCCCCGTGCCCACCTGGTTGTTCTTGCCCTTCTGCACGCACTCCGCCTTCTTCTCCACGGGCGCCTCCCAGGAGATCTGGGGGTGGCACAGGGGTCAGGGGCTGGCAGGGCACCCCCCACCCCAAACCCTGCCCGTTTTTGGGGTCCTCACCGCCGCCTTGAGCTCCACGGTGCCCGTGGCCAGGGCGAACACGGCCTCGCGGGCACCCACGTAGAGCAGCGCCTCGGCCTCGTCCAGCGTCAGCGTCAGGTAGTGAGAGACCCCGCCCTGGGAGAAACGCCTGGCGGTGTCCTGCAGCTCTGCGGGGACAGGGGACATGGGGCTGGGACACCACAGACCGTGGGGACACCAGGCTGGGACCCCACAGCTCTCAGGGGACAGGGGACACTGAGCTGGGACACCACAGACTGTGGGGACACAGGGCTGGGACCCCACAGCTCTGAAGGGACATGGGGACCCCGCCATGCAGCTCTGTGGGGACATCACGCTGGGACCCCCCTCCCCCACAGCTCTGTGGGGACACAGGGACCCAGAACAGGGACCCTCGGGGCACCCCCCGCCCCTGCCGGCCACCCCCAGCCCCGTGGCACACAAAGGTCCCTTTGTCACCGAACACAGTGGCCTTTGCAGGGACCCTGTGCCCCCCCCGGCCACCCCCGGGCTCAGCAGAAAGGAACCATTGAGGGGACAGCGCCAGGGCCCCGGGCGGGGACAGGGACAGGGGCTGGCACGGCACGGGGGCGGCACGGGGACAGGGGCACTGCTGAGGGTGGGGTCCGGGCGGGGGGACAGGGGACATGGCACAGGAAAGGTGTGGGGACAGGGACAGTGGCACAGTTAAGGAGTGGGGACAAGGGACAATGGCACAGTAAAGGTGTGGGGACAAGGAACACTGCATGGGGACAGTGGCACAGTAAAGGTGTGGGCACAGGGACATGGCATGGGGACAGTGGCACGGAACAAGGCCAGAGGACAGAGGGCACTGCCACCACATGGGGACAGGGGAATGGGGCACGGCGTGGGGACACAGGGCACGGCAGGGGGACAGGGACACCGGCTGGTGGCACGGGACAGAACCTCGGGGTGCTGGCAGGGCAGGGGCACATGGCAGAGGGATGGGGACAGGGGACACAGGGGACATGGCTGAGGGACAGGACAGGATGATGGCAGGGTGTGGGGACAGGAAACGGCAGAGGGATGGGACAAGGGACATGGCAGGCGGATGGGACGGGGTGGTGGCAGGGCGTGGACACAGGGGACATGGAGGAGGGACAGGACAAAGGAGCTGGCACAGGGATGGGGACAGGGGACAGAGATGGGGACAGGGGACACAGCACAGGGATGGGACAGGGGACAGGGATGGGGACAGGGGACATGATACAGGGATGGGGACATGGGACAGGGGACACAGCACAGGGATGGGACAGGGGACAGGGATGGGGACAGGGGACATGATACAGGGATGGGGACATGGGACAGGGGACAGGGATGGGACAAAGGGCACAACACAGGGATGGGACAGGGGACAGGGAACAGGGATGGGGACAGGGGACACAGCACAGGGATGGGACAGGGGACAGGGATGGGGACAAGGGACACGATACAGGGATGGGGACAGGGAAAAGAGACGGGGACAGGACAGAGCATGGGGCAGTGACCCTGTGCCACTGGGGATGGCACACCTGGCACATGTCTCCCCACAGCCCAGTTTTGGGGACACTCTGCCCCCTCACAGCCCAGTTTTGGGGACACACACCCACCCCTCAGTGCTGACCAACAGACTCCAGCGGTGTGGAGGGACAAATGTCACCCCGCATGTCACCCCACAAGCCACCCCTGAACCCCCTGGCACTCACCCTCGTAGGGCACAGTCCTCCTGGGCACAGCACTCCACGGTGCCCCCGGCGTGCCAGCAGCAGCGGTGACCAGGGCCAGCAGCAGCAGGGCGGTGACAGCAGCCATGGCACCGGGGGGACAGCGCTGGGGACAGCGCTGGGGACACCGCCGGGTCCCTGCCGGGGGACACGGCCACACCGGGGCCCGTCAGTGCCACGGGGCAGCGGCGGCGGCGGCGTCACGCGCGGGCACAAGGGTGTCACGAGTCCCCCCACGCCCCGTGGGACACGGTGGGGGTGGGATTATGGTGGGGGGGGGATAATGGTGGCCCGGGTGTTTGCCACGTCCTGCCCGGGACCCCCCGGTGCCCCCGGGGGTGCCCCCGAGGGTGCCCCGGGGCGGGCAGGATGCGGCCGGGAATTGTTCTGACCTGGCCGGCGGGAAGCAGGAAGTTTGGGGGGGCTCGGGGGGCCCCCGGTGAGGGCTCGGGAAGGATTTCCGGCAGGGTGGGGGCACGGGAAGGGCCGTGGGAATGGGGGACACCCCGGCCCGGCTTCCTGCGGCGGCGGGGGAGGGTGCCACGGGCACGGCTGGGGTGCCACGGGCACAGCTGGGGTGCCAGGGACACATATGGGGTGGCACAGGGGACATCTGGGGTGCCACGGGCACAGCTGGGGTGCCAAGACCATCGTCAGGATGTCACGGGCACAGCTGGGGTGGCACTGGCACGGTTGGGGTGCCACAGGCACAGCTGGGGTGTCACAAGCACATCTGGGCTGCCAGGGACACATCTGGGCTCCCATGGGCACAGCTGGGGTGCCAAGACCATAGTTGGGGTGCCAAGGGCAGAGTTGGGGTGCCATGGGCACAGCTGGGGTGTCACAAGCACATCTGGGCTGCCAGGGACACATCTGGGGTCCCATGGGCACAGCTGGGGTGTGACTGGCACATCTGGGCTGCCACGGGCACAGCTGGGGTGCCAAGACCATAGTTGGGGTGCCACAGGCACATCTGGGGTGCCACGGGCACAGCTGGGGTGCCCGGGGGGACATTTGGGGTGCCAAGGGCAAGGCTGGGGTGCCAGGGACACATTTGGGGTGCCCCGGGGGACATTTGGGGTGCCACGGGCACAGCTGGGGTACCAGGGACACATCTGGGGTGCCCTGGGCACATCTGGGGCACCTCAGGACCGGCCAGGCTGCCGCGGGCACGGCTGGGGCTCAACAGGCAGAGCCGGGCTCGCAACAGGCACGGCGGCCACAGGGACAAAGCACGGCGACAGTGCCACCGGCCGCGGGCACCGCCGGTCCCCGCAGCGGGGACAGCCACCCGCGGCCCGCCACGGCCAGGCCGGTGGTCCCGCGGTCGCACGGGGGGTCCCCACGACGGTGCCACCGGGGTCCTGACGGAGGTGCCACCCCAGGGTGCCCACCCGGGGGTCCCCACGCCGCCGCCCACCCGCGCCCCGGTACCCCCCGTTCCCGCTCCCGTAACCGGGGGGGATCCCCGCTCCCCGGCACCCCCCGCTCCCGGTGCCAATACCGGGGGGGATCCCCGCTCCTCCCGCTCCCAATGCCGTTACCGGGGGGCGATCCCCGCTCCCCCCGCTCCCGGTGCCGTTACCGGGGGGGGATCCCCGGCACCCCCCGATCCCGGTGCCGTTACCGTGGGGGGATCCCCGCTGCCCCGCTCCCGGTGCCGTTACCGGGGGGGGATCCCCACTCCCCCCGCTCCCGGTGCCGTTACCGGGGGGGATGCCCGCTCCTCCCGCTCCCAGTGCCGTTACCGGGGGGGGGATCCCCGGCACCCTCCGCTCCCGGTGCCGTTACCGGGGGGAGATCCCTGCTCCCAATGCCGTTACCGGGGGGGATCCCCGCTCCCCCCGCTCCCAATGCTGTTACCGGGGGGGGATCCCCGCTCCCCCCTCCCGGTGCCGTTACCGTGGGGGGCAATCCCCGCTGCACCGGCGACCCCGAGCGGCGGCGGGGGGGGCAATTCCGGCCCCCCCATCCACGGGTGTGTGTCGGGGAGGGGGGGAGCCGGTGGCGATCCCCGGTACCGGGAGGAACAAAGCGCCTCCTCCTCCTCCTCCCGCCGCCCCCGCGGCTCCGCCACAACAATACCGGGGCGGGGCGGGGGGGCTGCACTCACCTCAGGGCGCGGCGGCGGCGGCGCGGCGGGGCCGTGAGGGGGTTCGGGGGTGCGGGAGCGGCGGGAGGCGGCGGGGCGGGCCCGGGGGCGCGGGGGGGCCCGGCCGGGGCGCGGGAGGCGGCGGCGGCGGCCGTGAGGGGCGGCGGCGGGAGCGCGGCGGGGCCCCGCCCCCCGTGACGTCACGGCCGCCCCCCTCCGCCGAGCGGCGGGCCCGGGTCGGAACCGTTCGGTCAGACCGGAACCGTTCGGGTCAGAACGAAACCGTTCGGGTCAGACCGGGTCAGATCGGGACCGTTCGGTCAGAGCGGAACCGTTCGGTCAGATCAGAACCGTTCGGTGAGAGCGGTACCGTTCGGGTGAGATCGGAACCGTTCGGGTCAGATCGGGACCGTTCGGTCAGATCGGAACCGTTCGGTCAGATCGGGTCAGATTGGAACCGTTCGGGTCAGATCAGAACCGCTCGGTCAGATCGGAACCGTTGGGGTCAGATCGGAACCGTTGGGGTCAGATCGGAACCGTTCGGTCAGATCGGAACCGTTCGGTCAGATCGGAACCGTTCGGTCAGATCGGGTCAGATCGGAACTGTTCGGTCAGATCGGGTCAGATCACAACCGTTCGGTCACGTCGGAACCGTTCGGGTCAGATCAGAACCTTTCGGGTCCACTCCCGTAGGATCGGAACCGTTCGGCTCCAATCGGAACCGTTCAGCTCTAATCTCACCCCGGGCCAGTCGGAACCGCCCGCGCTCAGCTGGGCTCGGAACCAGTTGAGTCTTACTGGGACCAGTTGGGACAACTAGGCTCGGCCCAGCGCGGCTCGGCTCAGTTTGGGTCAGATTCAGAAGCAGGCAGCCCAGTTCAGCCCCACTGGCCTGGCTCAGCCCAGTTTGGGTTGTCCCGGTTGGGCTCAGCCCAGTTTGGGGTGTCCCAGTTGGGCTCAGCCCAGTTTGGGGTGCCCCAGTTGGGCTCAGCCCGGTTCAGGCCACCTTAACCAGGCTCAGCTCAACCCAGCTTGGCTCAGCCCAGCCTGGGTTAACCCGGTTCAGCCCGGCCTGGTTTAACCCGGCTCCCAGTGCCACCCTGGTGCCATCCCAGTGCCCAGGATCCCTTCATCCCTTCCCCGAGAGGATGAGGACGAAGCCCAGGTGGGCACCAGGTGTGGCGGCAGAGCCGTGTCACCTCCAGGGACAGGACAAGTGCCACGCGGTGCCACCCCCGCTGTGGTGCCACCCCCGCTGTGGCACGGCCCAGCTGGCACGGCCGCCGGGCACCTCTCCAGGCGCTGGCACCGCGCTCCGCTAATTAACGGGGCCGAGATAACGAGGGCACCGCAGCGGGCACCGAGCTGCTTCCCCAGAGCCAGCAGGGACAGGGAGGGGCTGCCCGTGTCCCCTGCACCCCAAAATGCCTGGGGACACAACCCTGGGGGGCACTCTGGGACCCCAAAATGCCCAGGGACCCCTCGGTGCCCAGGGACCCCCAAATGCTCAGAGACCCCCAATGCCCAGGGACCCCTCAGTGCCTGGGTACCCCCCAATGCCCCTCAATACCCAGAGACCCCCAAATACCCCGGGTTCCCCAAATGCCCAGGGACCCCCAAATGCCCAGGGACCCCTCAATGCCCATGGACCCCAAATGCCCGGGGTGCCCCAATCCCCAGAGACCCCCAGTGCCCGAGTACCCCCCAATGCCCAGAGACCCCTCAATACCCAGAGACCCCCCAATACCCAGGGCCCCCCAAATGCCCAGGGTGCCCTCGATCCCCAGAGACCCCTCAACGCCCAGGGACCCCCCCCAGTGCCCTGGAACGCCTCAGTGCCCCCTCCGGACCTTGGGGACAATTCGGGGGTGTCGGTCCCCCCCCGCGGCCACCACGTGTGCCCTCACCGGAAAGGGGCGTGGTCTCATTGGGGGCGTGGCTTTCACATAATCCACCAATAGGAAGCGGCGAACTTCGCACTGACCCCGCCCCCTACCCCGCCCCTCCGCCTTCAGGCGCACAAACGTCAATCAAAACGTGGCGGGCTGGCGGCTCGACCAATCACAGACAGCTACTGGCGCGTAGGGCGGGATTTAGCGGGTATCAACCAATCACAATTTGCGATGGGCGGATCCTCGTGTTCGCGGCGCGTTTCCGCCTAACCCGGAAGTTCTGCTACGGTGCTTCCGGTGCGGCGGCGGCGGCGGCGCGGCCTCGTCAGGGCCCGCTCCGGTTCCCGCTCCGGTTCCCGGCCCCGGCCCCGGCCCCGGCCCCGTTCCCGCTGCAGCCATGGCGGACGTGACCGCCCGTAGCCTGCAGTATGAGTACAAGGCGGTGAGTGCGCGCCCGGTGCCCTGAACCCCCTTCCGGTACCGTGAGTTTATCCCGGTACCGTGAGTTTATCCCGGTACCGTGAGCCCGTCCCGGATCCCCCAGTCCCATTTTGGGGTTCCCCATCCCCACTTTGGGACCCCCATCCCCATTTTGGGTTCCCCACCCCCACTTTGGGACCCCAATCCACTCCCTCAACCCCATTCCCATCACCCCAAATTCCATTTTAACTCTATTTCACCCCATTTTAACTCAATTTAATTCCATTTTAACTCCATTTTATCCCATTTAACCCAATTTAATCCCATTTCCCCCCCCCAGAACTCCAGCCTGGTGCTTCAAGCCGACCATTCCCTGATCCAATGGGGAATCCCATTTTAACCCCATTTAGCCCCATTTTTTACCCCATTTAACCCTATTAAATGCCATTTAATTCCTATTTTAACTCAATTTAATCCAGTTTTGACCCAATTTTTCCCCATTTACCCCCCAGAACTCCAACTTGATGCTCCAAGCCTGATCCAATGGACTTGGAATCCCATTTTAACCCCATTTTGACCCCATTTAACCCCAATTTAGCCCAATTTAGTCCCATTTTTTTCCCCCAGAACTCCAACCTGGTGCTCCAAGCTGACCGTTCCCTGATCCAATGGGGAATCCCATTTTAATCCCATTTTGACCCTTTTTAACCCCATTTTAACCCTTTTAAACCAAATTTAATCCCGTTTTTCTCCCCTCCCAGAACTCCAACCTGGAAGCTGACCTTTTCCTCATCCACTGGACTTGAAATCCCATTTAAAACCCATTTTAACCCCATTTAACCCCATTTAAATCCCATTTAAATCCCATTTTAACCCAATTTAACCCCATTTTAACCCAATTTAATTCAGTTTTTCCCATTTTTTCCCCCCAGAACTCCAACCTGGTGCTCCAAGCCGACCATTCCCTGATCCAATGGGGAATCCCATTTTAACCCATTTTAATCCCATTTTGACCCTTTTTAACCCCATTTTAACCCTTTTAAACCAAATTTAATCCCATTTTTCTCCCCTCCCAGAACTCCAACCTGGAAGCTGACTGTTCCCTCATCCACTGGACTTGGAATCCCATTTAAATCCCATTTTAACCCATTTTAACCCCATTTTAACCCAATTTAACCCCATTTTAACCCAATTTAACCCCATTTTAACCCAATTTAATCCCATTTTTCCCATTTTTTCCCCCCAGAACTCCAACCTGGTGCTCCAGGCCGACCGCTCTCTGATCGACCGCACGCGCCGGGACGAGCCCACGGGGGAGGTCCTGTCCCTGGTGGGGAAGCTGGAGGGGACCCGCATGGGGGACAAGGCCCAGAGGACCAAACCCCAAATGCAGGAGGAGAGAAGAGCCAAGTGAGCAGAAATTTGGGAATTTTCAGCCTGGGATCGTGGGATGAAGGGGTTTTCAGGGGTTGGGTTCTCCAAAAATTGGGGTTTTTTGGTGGTAAATAGCCCAAAAAAATCTGATTTTCCTGGTATTAAATATCCAGAAAAATCTATCTGCTTTTCTTGGTGCTAAATATCCCAAAAAACTGATTTTCCTGCTGTGAAATATAAAAAAATCTGCTTTTCCTGGTTCCCAGTTTCCCACAAAATCTATTTTTCCTGGTGCTAAATATCCAAAAAAACCTGATTTTCCTGGTGTTAAATATCCCAAAAAATCTGATTTTTTTTCCTGGTGTTTTATTTCCCAAAATATCTGCTTTTATTGGTGCTAAACATCCCCCCAAAAAAATCTGCTTTTCCTGGTATTAAATATCCCCAAAAATCTGCTTTTCTTGGAGTTTTCCTTTCTCCAACTCAACAATTTTGGAAATATTTGGAGTGGAAAAGCCAAAACCCAAACCAACCTTGGGACCACCAAAATAATCACAAAAAAAAAAGAAAAAAAAAATAAAAACAATAAATAATAAATAATATAAATAATATAAATAAATAAGATAAATAATAAAGTTTTTGGGAATAAATTGGTCTGGAAAAAGCAGGATTTGAACCATGAGGGAATTTTGGAGGTGCAACACCCAAAATCCCAACCCCACTATTATTGGAGATACCAAAATCATTCAAAAAAACCAAAAATAAATCAAATTTTTTTTCATTTTTTCCTCCAAAAAAACTCAGATTTGAGCCCTGACCGTCTCTAATTCCCATTTTTTTTCCCAAATTTTTTCCAGGAGGAGGAAGAGGGACGAGGACCGGCATGACATCAACAAGATGAAGGGCTACACGCTGCTGTCCGAGGGCATCGACGAGATGGTGGGCATCATCTACAAACCCAAAACCAAGGAGACCCGTGAGACCTACGAGGTCCTGCTCAGCTTCATCCAGGCCGCCCTGGGAGACCAGGTCAGCTCTGGGATTCATTTTGGGATTTTGGGATTTGGGATTTGGGAATCCGACCCTCGGTGTCCCGTTGGGTAGGTTGGGTTGGGAGGGAGTTTGGAAGTTGGGAAGTTCTACCATGCTGGATCGACCTGGTCTTGGAAGCTCCCAGTGATTCCAGGTCCTTTGGGAATTCCATCCCAGCTCCTCACCCAATATTTCTTCCCAAAATCCCATCCAGATCTTCTCATGGAATCATGGAATTGGTTTGGAGTTGAGGGACACCAAAGCTCATCATGAGCTGGGACATT